GTAGATAATGATGTATCGTACAAATATTTTAATATAATTGATTTTTGTTATTTTAATAATGAATGGATGTAAGGGGAAATTATTATTATTAAGAAATAATAATTATGTATAGTCTCTGTAAAACATTACAAACATGTATTACCCTTTCAAAACTTGGTAATCCTTACAATACATTTCAAAAAAGGGAGGTCCGATATTATGCATTTTATATGTTTAAAAGGGGTATTACCCTTATGTACTTTTATTACATTAATAAACCTTACAGTACCTTATACAAAGTTATACTACTTTATCAGAAATCGAGGTCCGATAATATGTAAATTACTTTTTTTACTTTTTTCACACCATTATAATGTAATATAACCTTTTAGACTTTTTCCCGATGTCTTTACCAAGCTGTATTGCTGTTCTGAAACCATTCCTTGTGCAGGCTGGTTATTCATACATAGACGCACACGTTATTTTACTGCTTAGAATCTATCGACAACTAATTCAGTACACAGGTGATAGAGCATTGGTACACTACTGACATGCTGTATGTTCATTCAAGCGACGAGAAGTCGTGCTACCGTCGATATGTCCATGTGCGGCTTGCAGTTCCATAAACCCAAGTCCAGCGCTGAACAACTCTTTTTCAAGTTTTTGTGGCCTCATTACTGTGTGAGTGCAAGTTTGTGGAACATAGGCATCTGAAAAATAGGACTGCAACAACTTCTCAAACTCGTGACTGTTTTAAATATATGCAACGTTAACACAACAATGTTCTGTTCCTGCAACATATTTGAGTCTAAACTTTTAAGATCTGTCTCGTCGGGACCCACAGTACGACTTTTCACCTTTTAGAGCAAGACGATGACAGCATCTAAGTTCTCCAGCGAGTGGAATTTTGCTAGCACGAAGTTCCTTTAAGGATATGGTAACATTCACGAAGAATTATTGAATTGCTGCATGCAAGATGATTGAATTCAGTAGGGATAAGGTTGCCTGGACGAATGGAACAAGTAAAACTTTGTGTGGAGATCATGTTGTAATTTGACAACAAGATCAGTAGAATAATATTTCGTATGAGTCTCAGAGTAATAATGACACTGTATTCCTTAGTGAAGATTTCTAATGATATTTGGCTTCACAAGGAACAAAATAAAGATTAACAGTACATCATACTCTACAACAGAACAGAATAGCAGAACAAACCTATAAAACTATATTTAGAGGTGTAAGAGCATATCTAACATCTACTAAACTACCATTCTCATTATGGGCTGAAGCAGCAATTCATATCACCTATATTCATAATAGAACACTGTGTACTGTATTACAGTAAATTATAACACTCTACATTACAAATGTTACAGAACCTACAGAACAATTGATAATATACACAAATTCAGTCAATATATTATCATTTGTAACAAAAATCCTACAAAAATACAACAGTAAGGTATAATTGCTTGTTAGATAGGATTAGGCAACAAAAGTAAAGGCCATAAAACTTGGCACAATAATAAAATTACTATCAAACAAAATATTCAATTTCTTGAAGGTAAACCTCCTCAAATTGAAGGGGAGAAAATAGATGATACAAACAACAATACAAACAAGTGTTTAATAATTAAAAATACTGAAACAGATGACAGAATAATGAGAACAGATAATGACAATACAAACAACACTGATCCTAATAAAAAGGGAAAAGTAGTAGAACTAACAGACATAATGGAAGATAAAGTTAAATTAACTGAAAACAAAGTAGAACCTAAATTACATTGATTGGAATGGAAACAGAAACTGACAGAATGTACTGTTGAGCTTGAGCAATGTATACAGAATAAATGTGTAACAAAATGTATGTATGTACTTAGTGAAAAGGACAAAGATAATATTGCTATTCATTTAACAGAATTTAATACTAAAATAAGTGAAATACAATTGGATCCAACTTCATTTTATGAAGCAATTCAATGTCTGGATTGTGATTCATAGATAAAAGCTATGAAAGACAAAATAAAACAATTAGAAAATCATAATATATGGGAAATCACATATCCATACAATAATATTAACATTATCAGAACACAATTTGTCTATAAAATAAAGCAATATGCTGACAATAGTATTGAAAAATACAAAGCACAATTAGTAGTTCAAGGAAACTATCAGATTGATAGCCTTGATTATTATACAGACAATTTATTTGCTCCTACTACTAGACTATCTACAGTGTGATTAATATTAGTATGAGTAGTATCTAATAATTATGAAATACATCAGATAGATATTAAATCAGCATATCTATACAGACAATTAACAGAAGACAAAGAAATATATGTTAAACCTCCTCCAGGTAACTTAATAAATAGATTACAGAATGGACAAATATTACAATTATAAAAAGTGCTATACAGATTAAAACAAGCTGGTAGAAGATAGTATAAAACACTATCTAATATACTACTTAAGTGTGGATTAACAAAATCCAAACATGATAACACTGTATTCTTTGTAAAGAAGAAAGAAATAACTGTAGCCATATTATTTGTACATGTCAACAATATTACTATTGTAGTAATGAACAATAATACTATTGTAATGATAAAACAATCTAATGTATATCATTTACAATATACAGACAGTAGCAAATTATATTGGCTACTTAGTATAGAGATTCAATACAACAGAGAGCATAGATTCATCAGAATGTGTTAGACACATTATATTAATAGTATAATCAAACATTACAAACTTACACAAATGAACAGAGTGTACAAACACTTATACAACTGGGTATACAATTAAAAACAGTATTACAAACTGATACTAATAGAAAACAAATGTCTGAAATACTATACATGAACATGGTTGGTGCACTTAGATACATTACAGACTGTACACAGTCAGATATAGCATTTGTAACAAATCAGTTAGCAAAATACCTTAATGAACCTAGTATAGAGTATTATCTGACACTTAAACACTGTTACATATACTTAAAAACCACAAACAATGTCTGGCTCCAACTCAGCAGTGCAAATCAATTAATATTGAATAGATATACAGATGCAGACAGTATAATGTAAGAAGGACATTGTGTAATATCAGGATATGCATTTTACTTGAGTGATTCATTAGTTTTGTGGTTGAGTAAAAGACAAACACTAGTGGCAAATTCAATGTATAAAGCTGAATTAATAGCTCTTACAAGAGGAACACAAGAAGTAATCACACTTACCCATTTAGCTGAAGAGATTCTGTAAGTCTCTGAAGCACCAATTAATATTTATTACAATAATGACACTGTCATACAAACAGTTACATCAGACAAACTCAAATACTTAGAACAGACAAAGCATTTAGATCATAAGAAAGATTTTATTAAACACTATATTGAATTAGAGTATATAAATGTGAAATACATACAGACAAACAAACAAAGAGCAGATATATTAACAAAAGCACTATATGTACTACAAGTCAAACATCTTACCAGTTTACTTGGACTAGTAAGAGTTTGAAGGGGAGTATCACAAGATGATGACTTTATTACAAGACAATGACTTTATAATGTCTCAGTTAGAATACATGTAATATAACAACAAGAGACACTGAGCAGTCAATTGTCACCTACACCCCTTGTTCTTGCATGCCTACTCTCTTCACAGTAATAGTATGAGCAATTCTCAAAGGTAATAATATACAACATTATCTTTACACTACTGACCCTGAATTGAGTTGAATAATTCACCATCAACAAAATTATTGACAGAGTAATATCATTAGTATTATCATATTACAAAAGTTTTATTCCAATTCCTGCAAACCAAGAAAAACAAAGCCCATCAATCTTTTGTAAACACATTCTTATAAATCAGTCATCATTCTCATACTGTAGTTCATCAATTGTTTCCTATACTAAGCTGCTAACAACTTGGATGTGACAAAATACTAGAACACAGTAACATTCTATCAAGCAGCAAAGGAAATAGTACTTCTTTGCTCTTTACTGTGTACTCTTATACTGGTCTACTGCCAGTGTATGACCCACTAGTCAACACAAAGTACTTAAGTGCTCTGTAAGATGTCACAACTAGACAGTACCAGAAGGCTCACAAATGAGCAGCAGTATTGCCACTCCAGAAAGATCAATGCTTGTTCTAATCACCAAAATGAAAAAATTCGATCCTGCCACATTAATTACATTGGTTATAGGATCTTCCTGGGGTCAAGGCATGCTACCTGCAAAGTACTTCTCCTCAAGAATGGTATTACACATGTCTTGATTGTTGGGGGAGAACTTGAAGTTGAAGATGACCTGTCCCCTGAAATCACTGTGAATAAAATCAATATTGATGACAATGAAAATGAAAACGTTGAGAATGCTCTTAGTGAAGCATACCATTTCATCGAAGATGGGACCAGAGGAAACAATAGGATTTTTGTTTATTGTTACTTCGGCGTGTCTCGATCTCCCCTTATAGTGATAGACTATCTGCATCGCTGCAAAGGTCTCAAAATTTTTAATGCCTTCTATTTTGTGGCAACAGGAAGGCCTCAAATTAATCTGAACGCAGGTTTCAAAAGATATGTAATTGAACAAGCCACGAAGGAGAACAGCAAGATAAAACCAGAACACTTCAATCTCCCAGGCGATTACCGGGCACATCCCTCTGCCACGATTGAAATAAACAAAAAGTATCTGAAGGATAACAAAGCAAGGCTGGAGAAAGAGCTAAGTATATTGTTAAAATCTCCAAAGGGTGCAAAGAGGGATGATATCAAAGTCGATTTCTCAACTGAAGAGGGTAAATGATGAATCATTGGTGTTCTTACTTGATGTGTCAGAAGTGGGCGATTCTTAGGTCATGTGAAATGATGTTGTTTCTCTTTGCAAATGAACCAACAATCATAATAATTTATGTTAACATTTATTTCAGACAAATATTTCACATGTCTCAAATACACAATAGTCTTGCAAATATACACTATTAGAGACAATTATCTGAGACATTAATGACTGAGACATGTTTGCTGCTACTGTGAGTGAAGCAATGCAACCACCAGCAAATTCTTATTCCTCTACAGTCAGCATCCAGATTTTTTGTCTACAACACAAGGGAGCAAAGTCTACCTTTCCTCCTCTTCTCTCAGCCTTAGCACCAAGACCTCAGCCAATAACACTACAAATTGCCCAGTCCATACAATACATATAGTGCTCATTACCACTTACACTCCCTATATCTTAAGCTCTGTTTGGATGCAGGGAATAATATAAAATAACACAGAATAGCTTATCCCAGAATAAGGACATGACATTAGCAAATCATGTTTGATGGAAAACTGATTAGGATTTCTACCTCCATAAGTTAATTTTGCTGTGATGATAATAACTTCAAATTGATCTGGCTTATAAATATATTTTACCTGATAAAGTTGATCTTGCTAAGAAATACAGTCTAGACTGGTTCTATGTGACACTCCGTGACCATTCCACTATTCCTTGTTATTCCCAGTACTATTCCTGCATCTAAACAAGGCCTAGAGGTGTTTTGCTACAAAGTATTTACTTCCTTTTGTACAAGTCTCCAAGGACTACCTCTTTGATTAATTTGCATTCTATTGATGACCTGAAACACAGTAAGTAGACAGAGTTGCTCGTGCTACAATTCATCAACTGTCTACTAGTCATTGATCACAAATTGATTGTTAGAGCACAGATGCAACAATGTATCCTATATAAGGATTAGTGCCGTTCTTGAGCATGATAGACTGATTTTTAGGATACAGACCGACTAGTGTATCAATTGCAGAAAACTAGTAGCACTCTTTGCCCTTTTATTGTGCTTGCATTATTTTTAGCCAGTTGTATTGATCACTGCCAGAAGCAACAACCTTAAACGTCTCAAAAGATGTCACAGCAAGGCAGTACTAGAAAATCGGATGGACATCATCACTTCCGTAACGAAGTCCGTCTTTGCCCCAATCACCAAGATAAGAAGATTGAAGCCTGGCACATTAGTTACATTGGCTACCGAATCTTCTTAGGATCGAGGCATGCTAACTGCAAAGCATTTCTTCTCAAAAACAGTATCACACATGTCTTGGTGGTTGGGAAAGGTCTTAAAGTTGAAGATGACCTTTCTCCCGAAATCACCGTGAAGAGAGTCGACCTCCTTGACCTTGAAAGTGTGAGGATTGAGGATTACCTCGACGATTTGTGTGGTTTTGTTGAAGAAGGCACTAGAGGAAATAACAAGATTCTGGTTCATTGCCTTTTCGGAATGTCTCGATCTGTTGTAGTAGTGATAGACTATCTGCATCGCTACAAGGGCATCGGAATGTTCAATGCTTTCTACTTTGTGGCAACAGGAAGACCTCAGATTAATCTGAATGCAGGTTTCAAAAGGTATGTAATTGAACAAGCTAAGAAGGAGAACAGCAAGATAAAATCAGAACACTTCAATCTCCCAGGTGATTACTGGGTACATCCCACTGGTATAATTGAAATGAATAAAAATTATCTGAAGGACAACAAAGCAAGGCTGGAGAAAGAGCTAGGTATATCATTGGAATCTCCAAAAGATGCAAAGAGGGGTGACATCAAAGTTGATTTCTCAACTGAGGAGGGTAAAACGATGCATCATTAGCATTCCTACTTGATGTCAGATGCAGAACAGATGAATATCTAAGGCTCCCCATATAGGATGCAAGTGATTCTTGTGTCATGTCAAATGATGTTGTTTCTCTTTGCAAATGAACTGGCAATCGTAATAATTTATCATTGTGATGGCTACTGTTTTACATTGCAGCATGAGTGTATTTCATTCATTGTGAATGAAAGGTTATACACAACAATATCTTTGAGCTGTCTGACCACGAGCCGAGCCCAGTAATCTACATTTGACATAATAGAGTTTCAACTTTTTATTATTAGTATTATTGCAAAGGCTTTTTTTTTGCCCTGTACAACAGTAAATATGTGACTGTATACCTTGTTCTCAGAAGTGAAACACTATGCTCATTTTGGACTTCATCAGTTATTTCCCATATTATTATTATAAGCTAAATACTAGTACTCAGATTCAACATTGTATCAACTATATGAAAAGTACTAGCACTTCTTTGCTTTGAGTGTTTTCCCCATATATTATCTGCTACCAATGCATAGTTTACCAGTAGATGCAAAGGACTTGAGTGCCCTGTAAAATGTCCGAGCCACAGCAAGAGAATACTACTAGCACGAGAAGATCGAATGACTCGGAGCAGTCTCATCGCCATCACAGAGAAACTTCTCCATGTCCCAATCATAAAAGTGGAATAGAGTCCTTCCGCTTCAATTACATTGGCTACAAGGTCTTTCTAGGATCTAAAAGCGCTCTCTGCAAGCCCTTCCTCCTCCGAAACGGTATTACACATGTCTTGACTGTTGGAACGGAAATTAGATGCTATGACAACCTGTCTCCCGAAATCATTGTGAAGACTATTGATCTCGAAGATGACGAGCATGCAAATGTCGAGAAAGTCCTTGAAGAAACGCGCCAATTCATTGGAGAAGGGACTAAAGGAAACAATAGGATTTTCGTTCATTGTCTTTTTGGCTTGTCTCGGTCAGCCCTGGTGGTAATTGACTATTTGCATCGAAACAAAGGTCTTAAAATGTTCAATGCTTTCTTCCTTGTGGCCACAGCAAGACCTCAAATAAATCTCAATGCAGGCTTCAAAAGATATTTAATGGAGAGAGCCAAGGAGGAGAATAGTAAGATCAAGCTAGAGCATTTCAACCTTCCAGGTGACCACATGGTGCATCCCTTCGCCACAATTAAAAAGAATAAATATTATTTGAGGAACAACAAAGAAAGATTGGAGAAAGAGCTAGGTATATCGCTTGAGCCTCCCAAGGAGGCTGGGAGGGACCAAATCAAAATTGATTTCTCAACTGAGGAGTGTAAATGATTTCTCATTCGTTTGAATGATACCTATCGGTTTTGAAGCGCTCATTTATTCTGTAATATACAGTATAACTGTAATGTCGTTGGAACCCCGTAAATTTGACGATATCTCTCCATTGATTGTAATTTCTCATCTACATCATTGCTGTTGAGTTGTGAGACATAATGAGCATATACTTTGCTTGCTGGTCTCTAGATTTGGGTTGGCCTGAGTCCAGTAATGCGCCTTCGTGAAAGATACGGCTCTACAACCATACGATACAACGTTAGCGTTAACATTGCTCACCACGCTCTTTCCGGATATCCGCTTAATCGTACCCATCTTGGGGCTTGTTCTTTCAGGTCTCCAGATTCCCCGTCCGATTAGAAAAGGCTGCCGACAGCCTAAAAGTACTATACTACTAGAAATAAGTAAAAAAGATTCTAGTGCAAGAGATCCGAAGCGTCCTCATGACTATGCGGTACAAGGACATGTTCTGCTGAGTTTTCCTTGAATGCTTCGTAGAGATATACGAATCCAAAGAGAAGGAATAGGACCGCTCCGCCTAGCGTCACTGCATATGAATTTGAATCTTTTAATATGTTTTACAGTAATGGAGTCAAATGTAGAGAGGACGAACCGTGTTTTACGGAGATTTTTGTGGAGATGTAGCGTCCGCCAATTACAGCGAAAGCTGTACAACATGCATGGCCTATTGTGGTACCGAGGGAGACGACGTACACGTTCTACGGTACAGGGAAGAAAGCAAAAGATTAAAACATCGTCCATATGATGTGAGATACTTGGAAGAGGAAAACCTACGTGCGCTGCACCTAAAGCAATAGTAGCAATCTGACTCCGGTCTCCCCATTCGCCGAGGAAGGTCAATGCGAAAGCTTGAACAAACACAGGTCCTAATAGCAAGCTGAAGAAATTACGCGCGCCTTCACGCCATGTCTCCTTTTCGCTTTTTCGTGCTCTTGACGGTGACTTCGGTGTTGCTGGCATAGCATCTTCAGTTGGTACTTCACCACGCTCTAGTTCTTCAAGCGGTATAGCATGTCCGTTTTCTGTTATCACTCCCGTTCCGTCTGCAAGTGCGTCATCTTCTTCAATCTCCTCTTCCGCTTCACGCATCTCCTCTTCGATCTTTGCGCTCCCTGAACGCATCTCTCTTCCTTCCTGTAACATCTTTGCACCGAACACGAAGAATAACACCGAAGCTGCGAACTGGGTCCAGCTTTTTGGAATGAGTGTGGGAAGGACGTGGCCGAGTGCGGCGGATAACACAGACATGACGGCGAGAGCGCCGAAAGCTCCGGAGAAGACGACAGCTCGAGGGTGTCGCATGGCGAGGATTGCTGCTATGAGGAATGTCTTGTCCCCAATTTCTGAAGCGATTATCATCGCGAAACCTTGAACGAGCACTTTGAAGTTGCTGGCTCCGTCTTGGATACCATTTTCCATTGCGACCTGAGCTAGTAGTTCTAGGTGTGGAATACCGCGTCATTTTGAGTCGAAGACGCTGCAAACACGAAGAAACATACCTCTAAACTGTTTATACGTCTCCTTTGCGTTTTCGGTGCCGCCCTGTCCCCTTGAGAAGGTTGCTGATGAGGAAGAGTCGTTCAACGACGGTGTCTATGCGAATATTCTCTATGCGACGCTGCGCCGCTGCGGACGAGAAACCATGGCCATCCGCTTTCGATGGCGATCACGTGCGTTGCTCACGACGTGTCACCAACCAACCATCTGCTACCTTTTACTAACCATCATCAACGCTTCAAGTTCACCTCAACGTTGTGCTGCAATCAGACCTATCGACACCATCTATGTGCTTGTCCATTGCGCAAGGAAAAGAAAAGATTTTCCGGAATAACAAGGCTCCAAGCAAGGAACGAACGGCGAACGCGACTCCGTTGTGGGGATGACACCGGCACTAAGCCGTCAACTAACTGTACCCTGCTCCTGGCTGGCGGTGATCTCGGGTTGAATGGCTTCTCTGTCGAACGAATGATCAGACTCTAAGCTTACACAGCACTTCAGATGACTACCAAAATGCTCTTTTTGGTAAACCCACTGCCATTCTGCGATCTTCATTCCTTTACCGATGCTGTAACATTCGGAGAATGACAGATGGCTTGCAAGTTGCATAGCACGGGCCACCGCTGATCTTTTTAGTGGCTGGTGATAAACGTGTCCTTAATGCTCTGATGCACACTCGGGAAGCTTTGTTCCGTCCGGTCACCTCTGGACGAAGTGCACGATCTTTCTGGTTCGAATCGCAGCAATTGCAAATGTTTGGAACCGATATCAATTCAGGAAGACTATGGCTAGCTAGAGAAGGAATATAACTTTTTTGGGTGTTTTCCTGTTTGGACTTTTCTCCGTTCTTCAATGAAACTGGTATTTGATATTTCAAGTTTGAACTTTGTGTGTAAAAGTCGGTTTGTCAGAACAGACTGCGTTTCGTCAAGGCAACGTTCCAGCGCTCATCTCAATGCTTACGGGCTCGAGGACGTATTACCGCACCATCGTCTCCTCTTGCACTGTTTGTAAACTGCACTGTGTCAATCTTCTCGAGTTACGTCCTAGACGGACTTTTGTATGCGAACCACACGGCAGCATCTTAGTTCTATCGTCGGAGACTGAAGACGTCCAAGTAACTCAACTACCCTTTCCCTTCGTGCTCTTTTGCGAACGCCGACTTTCCTACAGTCATTTCCGATGATCGTGCATGAATTAGCTTAGAGGGCTCGGGGAATGATCACACTTGCCCGCCGTTCTAGTTCCTAAACTTGCGCATTGGACGGAGTTTCGTAGACAGGGGACCTTATGGCCTTTACGTGGCCCGAAAATTATTGTCGTGTGTGCTTTTCGACCTACCTCGGGACTGCGGGCATGAAGACGAAGGTATTGCAAGAAGCTTACGTGTTTGGACAGTATGGTTTCGATTGACATGACTGTGAAATGTTGCAGTTATCCCAAACGGCTAGAGACGGTCCTGGAAGACTAGTTATCTATACAGACTGCCGCTCAGCCTCCGAAGGTCACTGCAGGGCAGTCTACTGGCCTAACTCGTGGAGGCACTTTGTACGTCTTGACTCCGATAATGTGGGTCCCCTCAATTTTGTTTTGTAGTTTGCCGTTGTAGGACGTCTGTGGCCCGGTTATAGACGCTCCAGTATACAAACAGCTATCTTAATCTCAATTACTTAGATGCAGTGTCATCGAAGCACTTCGTCCCTTTTAACTCTGGCAATGTGTGATCCTTCAGATTTGTTTTATAGCTTGCTGTTGCAGGATGTTTGTGGCCCAGTCATAGACACTCCAACATGCTAACGGAAATATTAATTGAATGTAGTGTTGCAGGTCGATACTTTCGAAAAGCTCCTTGCTGATGAGCTGCTTTCTGAAATTCAACAAGAACGAGGGTCGGTGCAAAATTCCATTTCACTGCTCGAAAGGGTAAGTTCTGTCTTATAACAAAGTTTGCAGGAGTGAAGGAGTAGAAAGGGACGTCTTTATGCAGAAGGACATTTACTTCACACTCTATAGGGCCATCTGAGAAGGCGGATGGAACTAGGCTGGACCTGAGATCGGGTTGCATATGCATGTCTGTCAACCAGCCAGTTTCCGGGGTAAGTTGTGTCTTTTTGCTGGCCGTTCTCCTCCCTTTGATCACGAGGACCATCCGAACCCCAACATTGACAAAGTCCACGTTGGAGTCTGCCAACGCTCTGTCTGAATCAATGTCGCTCAAGCAAGAAAGCTATTCAGTAAAATAAGCTTGAGACATATCCAATACTAACACCGGTACTAGTCAAGCTGGCTCAAGGTCTAGAATGCATTCACCATCACCGAGTATTCAGTATCACTATCAGTACGAAGAAAACTAGGCCGCGGAGCCTGATTTATCTAACTATCGGATCATATCAGAAGTTGATCTTCTGGTTCCGGGATCTAGGACCGAGTCTGGTGCTTCCGTGCAACTTTCGAGTACAAATTGACTTTAGCAGTAAGTAATTAGCAGAGTTTATCCTGGTCGTGTTTTGTTATCAAGGTTCTGCCTCGAATTTCTTGCGGCTGGAGCACGATAGTGCGATTAAGTGTTTGTTGGGCCAACGAAGTGCGAGCGACAACCCATGCGGGGTAGGATAAGCGCACGAGACCACGTCAGGATAGCGAACGTGGGCGGAAGGCTGGTGGGAAGACGGAGGATCTTTGGACCTTGGGAATACAGTGGAAGAGAGCGATGAAGGAGATTAGGATTAGCCAAGCTAGACTCTAGACTCTAGATTCGGCCGAACGTATTGAATTGAATTGACAATGACACGCAATCTGGTACATTCTCGTAGCTGGTCTATCAAAAGTGATACATGCCGTGACGACATGTATCAACCATGACATCGCCCAAGCCCCACAGAAATATTATACCCTATGAATCATCGCTGCAATAGGCTTTTTGAATTTTTAGTTATATTAGTCTAGTTGGTGCAAAGGGAGAAATCTGCATCGGCAGAACGTCGGCCAGGGTGTTATTTAGGGGAGTAAATTGAAGAAGTGCTTGGGCCAGCGGAAGCGGAGAGAGACGACCGGATGCGGAGAAGTTTCATCATCGATTTGGGCAACTCGAACAAACAGTCCTACTCCTTCACTTTCTCTTTCTACTTATCATCATCTACAGAACTATAAAGCTTTCTCCTAATCTATCACCTCTCTACATTTCACCCCTTATTTACTCTACGCCCACAGCATACGTCTACCCTATCCTATCTTCCACGACTACACTGTTACCATATCGTTTTATTACCTATTAACAGCAGCCTGCCAACCCACTCCGCCATGGACTCTTTTTCCGAGCCCCCAAGCTCTCGGATGCGCGCTGACCTCGCTTTGAGCCTCGAAGACGTCAACAAGCAGGTCGAAGCTCTCAAACAGGAATATGCAACAAAGGGCATCTCGCTCACCGGCAGGATTATCCATGTCACCCACTACCTTCCCCTCACCGCAAGTCTCGCACCCAACAAGAACGGTGTCCTCTCTCCACCACTCACGCCACCCGTCAAGCCTTCCGATGTAGCGTTCTCACCAGCAGAGGAGGAGGCACCAGCCGTTGCGGCGGCAGCAGTGAAACCAGCTGCAGAGGAGCCAGCTAGTTCTGAATCGGACGTGTTGCCGCGTTGGATTATCGGTCCCCGCTGGGGTCACTCTGCAATGTTCAGTGGCATTCAGTCACTTAGCAATGCGCATGACCAGGTCATAATTGGGTGGATAGGTGACCTTGAGCGTGGGTCAGCCTCGACGGGCGAGAAGGTTAAGATTCCGACTTCTGCTGTATCAGACGCGGACCGTGCGGCACTCACCGAGGCCATTGAAAGGCACAAGTCTGAGGACGGTCCGACGAGATACATCCCGGTCTGGTTGGAGGATAATATTGCACACGGTCATTATGATGGGTATTGCAAGACGAGTATGTGATCTTCTGTTGCTATACGAATGTGAAACAGAAGTCTAAAGAATTGTTATGTGTGTACAGCCCTCTGGCCGCTGTTCCATTATCTGTTGTGGCAGGACGTCGCTACTGAGGTAGCAAGCGCAGATGAACACTGGACGGAATACGAAGAGGCGAACTACGTGTATGCTCGACGTGTAGCAGAAGTATACAAGCCCGGTGACCTCGTCTGGGTTCATGACTACCACTTATTACTTGTCCCGCATCTGCTTCGACAACTCATTCCGGACGCAATTACCGGTCTCTTCGTACATACGCCGTTCCCGAGCTCTGAAATCTTCCGGTGTTTGCCACGTCGGAAGGAAATCCTTGACGGCATGCTGGGTGCGAACCTCGTGTGTTTCCAGACTTATTCGTATTCGCGCCATTTCACGTCGTCGTGCATCCGGGTGTGTGGGTATGAGAGCGCCTCGAAAGGGATTGATAACCAGGGACATGTCACGACTGTGGCTCACTGCCCTGTCGGTGTTGATGCGGAGCGCATTGCTAAAGATGTCGTTAGACCGGGGGTCCAGCCTAAACTCGATGCTCTTCGTTCGCTGTATGAAGGCAAGAAGATCATCGTTGCCCGTGACAAGCTCGATGTCGTAAAGGGTGTCGTGCAGAAGCTTCGTGCGTTCGAACGGCTGTTGCAGGATTATCCGGAGTGGGTGGGCAATGTGGTCCTGATTCAGGTCACATCGCCTGCTTTGACGGACTCACCGAAGCTGGAACGTCAAGTGTCTGAGCTCGTTGCTCACATTAATGGCGAGTTCGGAGCGCTTGACTTTGTGCCGGTTCACCACTAGTAAGCGCTGCTCGAGTTTTTATTTTGCTAAATGCTAAATGCTAACATAACTTTTTTTTTTCTGTTATTAAAGCCATCAGACAATCAAGCGAGACGAGTTCTATGCGCTCCTGTCATGCGCGGACCTCGCCGTCATCACCCCTCTCCGTGACGGGATGAACACGACCTCAATGGAATTCGTAATAGCACAACAGCTAACCAAGAAAAGCCCTCTCGTTCTATCAGAATTCATGGGGATCTCAAGCACGATGGAAGAAGCACTCCAAGTGAACCCGTGGGATCTAGGAGGAGTGGCAGCAGCCATCCATCGCGGACTACTCATGTCCGACGACGACAAGATTTCACGACACTCCAAGCTGTACAAATCCGTCACGACACACACGAGCCATACATGGGCTGCATTGCTCGTTCGTCACCTACTCCAGCAGATCGGTACAGAGCACACGGCGCACAGCACGCCCTTCCTTTCGCGGGAACGGCTGAACGAGGCGTACGCTAAGGCGAACCGCCGGTTGTTCTTGTTCGATTATGATGGGACGTTAACGCCTATTGTCAAGACCCCGAGTATGGCTGTACCGTCTGGTGAGACGCTCGAGGCGCTGGAGAAGTTGAGTGCGGATCCTAAGAATGTGGTGTACATCATTTCGGGGAGGGATGGCGAATTCCTCGAGACGCATTTGGGACATCTGAAGAAATTGGGTATGTCAGCTGAACATGGGTCCTTCCTGAGGGAACCTGGACAATCGGAATGGCTCAACTTGACGGAGAAGTTGGACATGAGCTGGATGTCCGAGGTCGAGGAGATCTTCCGGTATTATACGGAACGCACGACAGGAAGCCACATCGAAATCAAGAAAAGCTCAATTACGTGGCATTATCGGTCATCCGACCCGGAATGGGGGTTATTCCAATGCAGACAATGCCAAGACCTACTAGAGAACAACTTGGCGCGTAAAAGACCCATTGAAGTACTCGTAGGGAAGAAGAACCTCGAAGTCCGTCCTCTGGCAGTCAACAAAGGCGAGATCGTCAAACGGATACTCTACGAACATCCCGAAGCGGAGTTCGTGTTTTGTGCAGGGGACGATAAGACGGACGAAGATATGTTTAGGGCGCTTGCACCGTTTACGTCTGCGTTGAACGGATCGAGCGTGATGGACGCGCCTGTTGGTGTGGAGCTGAAAAACGGGAATGGGAACGGGAATGGGAATGGGGAGGAGGGGACGGAAACACCGCCGAAAGAGATTGCGTTGAAACCGGAGGGAGTGTTCTCGATTGCTGTGGGGTCGAGTAGTAAGAAGACGTTGGCGAGTTGGCATGTTACGAGTCCGCATGAGGTTGTTGAGCATTTGTTGGGTCTCGTTTCGCAGTGAGATTGGCGGGGAGAAGCTCTAGTGATTTAATTCCTTCTGATCTCTCTCTCTCTCTCTCTGTGGCTCTCTTTCTTTCTTCTTAATCTCGCTTTTTTGGCCTTGCTTTTGATGTGCTGGTGGTCTCTTCTTCTCTTTTCCTCCGTCATATTTCTCGTTTAGAGGTTGCGTGCTTCATGCTTGGGATTATGGACGAACGACAACATCCATTTCCATGATCATTGACTGTATCAGCAAAATTGGACTTTTGTAGTGCAAAAAGGAACCAGCGACGAAAAACACGAAGTAGCAGTAGTAGTTTGTAAAAAGCTGTGTATCATCATACTGCGTTTGTATATCTTCTCTTCCGTAGTATTCGTGCAGTAGTCGAAATCGGAGTAATAGAAGTGGTTAAAATGTTGTGAGTGATTCAGATTGGTGCAGTATGTAAAATTCCAAAGAGAATGGAGGAGACTGGATGTTCGGTGTGAATATTTAATAATGCATTATTCAATCCCCATTGAGAGTGAGCAATGTAAGTCCTGACAGATGTTTCATGACTGCGTATCAATTGGCCTTTCTTTATCCAAAGACAAATTATTTTTTGCTGAATTATTCTCCGAGTCTGACGCCAGCAGGCTTTATTTCTGCTTACTCAGCATGATTATTCATTCTGTTGACGTCATTTGTTTGTACGTCGATTGCTTAATTCTTTTCTCCATGTCTTACTCATCGATTTTCAAACATAACTCTTTGTCTCGAACTCAGAACTGGTTTCTGCTAGAGTTGACTCATATTGTCTGCTTGACTTCGTGAAGATACGAAAAACAGAAAGTGATGCTAGCGACTTGGATATCTCTTGTTAATGTCCTTATCGCCGAGCCAAGTTGATGAATGAGTCTATAGAGGAGTACGATGGCGTCAATTGACGCAACTTTACAGGATCAGTCACTACTACTGGTGTTGCTTTCTCATGTATCTGGCTTACTCAGACAGACAAGTTCTTCTGACTGTTTTCCTGCTTGTAAAGCATCTTACGACAGACCTTTGAATTCAATCTGGCTCTGGTATATAAGTCATGGGAGTTGGGCTTGAGAACAGTCACCCCATCGCAACACTAGCTGTTTCGCTCGTAACATTCACTATCAGTAACTCTCTCAGCCGCTAGAAATCTAAGAAAATGGCCACTGCTGCTGTCCAGAAACCCCACGACGTCCCAACGACGCTTAACTACTTCGCACCAACAGACGACGACGCACCGTACTTCTACTCACCGTCGGTTGAGGAAATCCCAGATGGCAAGAAACGATCTAACATAGGGTCCGAGTCGCACCCTGCTGTCATTCATGACGTGCGAGGAAAAGAAGAGACTGTCGGGCTTGATAAGACGGGTTTCCAGTTCGTGAAGCATAAGAGTAGTGAGAAGGAGTTCCTGGATGAGGAGAGGATTAAGAATGTGTATTATAAGGAGGTGGAAGAGTTGTTGAAGAAGGAGGCGGGTGCGAAGAGGGTTTTCATTTTTGATCATACTATTCGGTATGTTCTTTGCTCTTTAAACGGTTCGACCTGGTAAATAGCGATGCTTATGTTTATTCCGTTCATAGGCGCAACTACGGCAACTCGGTAGAGACTGGCGAAAGAGACCTTCGTGGACCTGTAACGCGCGCACACGTCGACCAGACATTCAAAGCTTCCATCGCACGGGTGTACCATCACCTCGGCGCTGACGCCGAACGTCTTGTCAAAGGCCGCGTCCGAATCATCAACGTCTGGCGACCCATCGGCGCACCCGTAGCCCACCACCCACTCGCTGTAGCCGATTTCCGCACCGTCAACGTCGATCACGACCTCATACCTACCAAACTCATTTACCCCGACCGCGTGGGTGAGACTTTCTCTGTCAAGTACAGCCCAGAGTTGCAGTGGTATTATTTGAGTGGACAGACGCCGGAGGAGGTTACGTTGATTAAGTGTTTTGATTCGGATGAGGATAAGGCGAGGTTGACTCCGCATACTGCTTTTCTGGATACGTCGGACCCTGCGGATGCACCGCAGAGGCAGTCGATTGAGGTTAGAACGTTGGTGTTCGATCAGGAGTGAATGGTTCGGAGTGGTTGGATTATAGTTCCCGTACGGATCTGCGGGCTCTCTCGATGCTGGTTGACGTTTGGTCTTTGATAAAGAGTAACAATTCACAGTGGCTGTAACATGTCCTTTTTTTGTAGATTATGGATTTTCGCTTTTATTATGAACCGTAATTCTCCTGCTACGAATGCCTTTAAACTTGCTGAGTGTAGTTTAAGCAGACCTAATATTCATTTGCGCGAGTATGTTACAAAGGCAAAATGCTGCTCAGATAAGACTACATACACGTTCAAGAATATTAAAATTAAAAAAGTGTATACACTTAGATGATATTATAGTCATAATCCTTGTCATATATGACTTCTACTCGCTCCTTAACAACATCCTGTCATTGGACTCATGTTAATTTCTGCTTTCATCTAGAAATATACGACGGCTGAGATTAAATAATCGTGGAGTCGTGAAGCTTGAGAAATCCTTCTCTTTCTAATTCGTCTCGTGCAGGTATCCGTTCAAGTACTGTCCTTTCTTGTTCATCCTATCATCCATAGTGCCGAAGCGAATCAATGATGAAAATAAAAATAAAAATAACTATTCAAGTAAGATGAATTATAAATAAATAAATAATTTACGTAGTATTTATTACTCGCTGCTTATTCAGCACGTTTGATTATTCTATTGACATCAAGTCGTCAACCCGTCATGTGTTGATTACATTTTTACTCATTGCAGTGATTCCAGCAACCTTCAGGCTCTAGCGTCTCATCTGCGTTGTCTGCTTGTCTCTTCAAAAACTGAAAGCGAAAGGCACGTAATAGAGGCCCGTACTCGATTTACTAATGAGTCAAAATCGAAAGGATACCTTTGGAAACGAAGTCACTGAATGTGTCTAAAGAGAAGCAGGATGGCGTGAATTGACGCAAGTACTGAACTTTATAATCATCACTACCTATACTTGTGCTGCCTTACTCAGACAACCTTCTACCCGAGTTTCCGCTCGTAAAGGGTCTTATGACCGACCTTTGAATAGAGCTGTGGTTCTGGTATATAAGCCATGGAAGTCGGGTGCTAATATCCCACCACCAGCAACACTAGTACTGTTCTCTCAGCCCGTTGTCTTCAATCAAATTAGCTCTCTGCTCTTTTTAAATCGAAGAGATGGCTACTGCTGCTGTTCAGAGACCGCATGACGTCTCCACGACGCTGAACTACTTCACACCAACCGACAACGAGGCACCGTACAATTACTCATTGTATGTTGACCCTCCTGAGGGCAAGCCGAGGAGTAACGTCGGTCAGGAGCCACACCCAGCTACCATCCACGACGTGCGTGGAAAGGAGGACTCCGTCGGCCTTGATAAGACGGGCTTCCAGTTTGCAAAGCACAAGAGTAGCGAAACGGAGTTCCGGGACGAGGAGAGAATTAAGAATGTATATTATAAGGAAGTGGAGGAGCTGCTAAAGAAGGAAACGGGTGCAAAAAGGGTTTTCATTTTCGATCATACAATCCGGTACGTTATTTCTTGAAGTAATATTTGAAATGACTAATGCATTTTTGCAGTCGCGATTACGATAAATTAGAGGGTACACAAAAGATTGTTCGCGGACCAGCAACACGTGTACACGTCGACCAAACCTTCAAGGCCTCCATCGCACGCGTGTATCATCATCTCGGGGCCGATGCCGAACGCCTCGCGAAGGGCAGAGTCCGCATCATTAACGTCTGGCGTCCAATCGGCGCTCCGGTTGCGCACTACCCGCTTGCTGTAGCTGACTATCGCACCGTTAACGTCGATCATGACCTCGTCCCTACCAAACTCATCTACCCCGACCGCGTCGGCGAGACGTTCTCTGTCAAATACAACCCAGAGTTGCAGTGGTATTATCTGAGTGGACAGACGCCGGAGGAGGTGACGTTGATTAAATGCTTCGATTCGGACGAGGATAAGGCGAGATTGACTCCTCATACCGCTTTTGTGGATACGTCTGACCCTGCAGACGCGCCGAAGAGGCAGTCGATTGAAGTTAGGACGTTGGTGTTTGACGAGGAGTGAATGATCGGGAAGAGCGGATCATGGCTTCTGTATGGATTTATTATAGCTCTCCTTGATATCAGTTCCTTGAATCCTTCACATCGGATGAACTGTGTATGTAAACTTTCTGAGTGCAGTTTATCTAACATTGTGTCTATTTCCGTAGTATTGCACAACCCCAGATTTAGTTCTGAGGAAGGTGAAATCACCGTTCTTGGTTTTGTAATGGATAACAATTTTCATTTGATACTGTGACGAAAACCATGGACATTGTGAACAACAATTAACAAAGGATGCTATCTTCAACTAAGTAGAAGAATTCCCCGGATGCATCGAATTAATTTTCATCCTGAGATTTGATGTACTGTCGTATTTATGTTTTTGATATCTGACTTTGGTGAATGCCAAGGTCGAGCAAAGTGAGGCGCAAATAACATAAGGTTGGGAAAACATAAACTCGACCAACCTGTCACAGTAGTCTCGGCACAGCCACTTTCCCCTTTTGGAAGGACCCTAGCGGCAAAAATCAACGTGAAGACTTTGACTTTTTTTTATATCCAAGAAATTTATTACTTTTTGGAATGTTGAGAGTCTGTAGTCTAACGTTTGACTCATTTATTTGTCTTGTGCATGTAGTTAGATTCATAATGTATGTTTTTAGTACTTTAAAAAAGGTTGACTATATCTTGAATATTTATAGTGTGAGAAAGTGCCAAGATAGCCGAAATTGCTTACCAAATTATATTAGTAATATTAGTAATGCACTATATATAGATGTAATTATATAATATTATTTTAACTGAAGCGGCAAAAATTGAGAGAAAAAAATTCAAAACTTCACCAAAATGCTTTTTATAGCATTCTGAGGTAGAAAAAAATAAATTTTTCCTTGGTGAAATAAGTCACCCAAAATTTAATATTTTTTTATTTTTAAAAACATACATTTGTAGCCCAGATCAATCTGAATCTTTCTATGTTTTTAGAATTTAAATATTGGTTGTGTGGAAGAGTGAATAATGTTGCTGTCATTTGTGTCCAAATTAGGTTAGTCATCTTGCATCACAGTTGGTCGAGTTTATACTTTCCCAACCTTACTGTATTCTTCTGGACTGGAAAATTATGTAATACGTTTTCAATTCATTACAGTGTTTCTGGAAAACTACAGCTATGTGGCAAAAGTGTTTGTCTTTCCTGATTGGGAAGATGCATTAGTAAGTGATTTTCGTTAACTTATTAGGCAGTTTGAGACACGTCAACCTTCATCTTGTGTCTCAAACTGCTTAATAAGTTAACGAAAATCACTTACTAATGCATTTGCCTAATCAGGAAAGACGAACACTTTTGCTACATAGCAGCCCATCTCAATTCTGTTGCACATTGTGAGTTGTGAGGAAGCTCAGCTTGCAGAAACCCCTGAAAGAAGTGATGCTGAGCACCCTCACAACTGTAAAGAATTGATGTGATTGACTTGTGCATAGCTTGTTGATCATTAAATGTAGTTAAATTAATGTTAAATAATAAAAATTTGTAAGCCTACCATAAACAGTAAAAAGTGAGAGGAGCACCAGGAACAAGAGTAAGACATTGTAAAGAATACAGTGAAAAACAGTCATTTTTTCATTCAGACAATTCCCTATGAATCCTGAGCAGTCTCAAGACCCATTTAGGGCCTCTTCTCAGTCTCAAACTCCTGTAATCCTATTTAACTCATCTTATACACATACATATACACAACCATCTTTCACCCAGACTCAGTTTTTGGCTGGGTTTTATGGGCCTGTCACCCTAAGCCCAATCTTGCATTCACAGACACCTGAGCCTGACTGGCCAGACACAGCTCAAGCACTTCATTCAATAGTAATAGCTCTAGCACACTCATATCTAATACAATCCATACATTAGCAAGCTTAAGTACTTCCTCAAGTTGTTTCCCCTAAGGCAGAAGAAGCACTAAAGGTAAATCCTAAGGCACAGACAAAGAAGACAGGAAAGGGTTCTAGGTCTGGAAGGAATACACACACTTCTAGTATATTAGACACTAATGTTGATGAGAAGGTCAAAAATGAGGGCAAACTTGTTGTTTTAGGGGCAACAAAAGTAAAATGGGACAAGGGAACCACTCTCAAGCTTGTTGAGTTTGTCTACTCACTAGAGAATTGGAATAAGGTCTCAAACAGTTTGAGTAAAATTATGCTAAAGGTATGTATTTCTTCAGGTCTTGCTCACAATATTTGCTCCTCACCTTCACAATTTTTCTCAAGGCTTCTCAAGTTGTATTTGACAATTAGTACACTTTAGCACAGTGTATAACTAAATGGAACATTATATTTCAGTTGTACAAGGAAACAAGGCATATGTATCTATATTTCTGTAAGCATATACTCTACTCACCTTTTTTTCAGGGTTTCTTAATCACACTGGCAGAGGAGATGGTGATGTGGATCCAGATGATAATGACTTGATCATAGTTGATATAAATGAATGTACTGGTTCCAATATTGAGGGGAACAAAGAGGAGGTGAAAAAAGAGGAGAAAGGAGAGAAGAAACTGAAGAAAAAGAGAAAACAGGCTAGTATACAATTTGCACCAGCTACTATGATCAAGTTCTCACAGGGCCCTATCTACACAAAAATCTTGAGTGTGTAAGTGTCTAGAAGACCTTGATGAAGCCATTTATTGAGCTGCTCTGTACTACTCTCAAACTTCTACCTAATAACTATCCTAATTGTTCCTTGTCTTTAAGCAAGCTTACAATCTCTGTACAAACTTGATTGACTTACTCACTTGTTCTTTCACAGGGCAGAGGGCTGAGCAGATATCATCTGGGTGATAGAATTTAGTTCTTCTTGTTCCCTAGAAGAAATCAACAAAGACATTAAGAAAAACAAAAAGAAAAGAAAACAACCTAATACTATAACCAAAATGAACAACATACTTTTTCAGACCCTACAAAACATGACAGAGAGTCAGAGCAAGACTGTATGATTAGAAAAAGAAAGGTTTGCATACCAGAAACAGAGGGACAAGATGGCAGATAAGTGTACTAAAATGGAGGAAGAAAGAATGTGTATTAAGAACAAAACAGTTATTCTTTGTAACAAGTGTAAACATAAGGAGATACAGCTCTTAAAGCTTGATAATTACTAGAGGCTCAGGGATTCTAATGATCCTATCAAATGTGCACTAGTAAAGGCTCTTAGTGAGGAAATACTAGCAGAACAGGCAAAAGAGTACAGTAAATAAAGGGTGTGTTATAACTTTACAGTCACCTTAGCAAGGAAGCTATTGTAAAACAAACTATAAGTATTGTATCCTATCATATATTTCAGTACAGTCAAGTAGTTAATATTATAACCAAATATATTAAGTGTTCTATGTTTCTGATCCTTTAGGGAATCTTCTTCTGTCTCAGTAACTATGGAGGGATTAACATATGTGTTCTAATAATACTGTGGTAGGATCACTCTTTGTATACATTATAATAACAATACTGTGTATCCATCCATATTAATAAAGGTGTATCTATCTTGTCTACACAGCTATATCTACCAACTGTTTAACTTTAAGCAGTCTATGTTTCTGATCCTCCAGGGTATACTATGTCAAATAATACACTGTTGTTCTATAAACTCTATAATTTGCTTTCTACAGTGTATTCCTACTTTGTGCAACTCTCCATTGTTGAAGGTATTAATTTCACACTGTCAAACTTGTGCAACATTGTCTAGTTCTGCTACATTAATACTGTGATCATTAAGTCTGTTATAGCCCTCAATTTCTATTAGATTGTCTCTAAGATCAATGAGTATGTTATGAAGCACTATTAAGGCTTCTACAGCCAAATACATGTGAGTTAAATCATAGCCTGGAAAATTGCAAAGGCTAGGGAACCTGCCTTTGAGCATACCAAAAGTATGTTTAATAGTAATCCTACAATGAGACAGCTGCCAGTTGAATTTACAGTAACAATTCTTCTCAACTGGATTAGGTGTGAGGTCACATTTAGCAAACAGACAGATAGTAAATTGAGTAAGGGGATATCCTAATGACAGTAATACAAGAATGTGAGTGAGTATTACACATTGAGATATAAAGCTGAGAGAAGACAGACCTTTGTCTGCCAAGAGGAATTCACCCTTGGAAAAATGTGCAGCTTTCTTCTTCCACACTCCAGACTCTCTGAATATTGTTGTATCCTACATGTTTCCCAGCCAGCCCAAGTCATATTCTAGGAAACACATTAAGTTGTCACAAATCCTCTGAACTACAATCTAAAACTGTAAAAAGACAATATAGCTGAGTATTTGTTGTATTATACACAGAATAGTATACAAAAACAAACATCTGAATAAGTAGTACAAATGCTGACTAGTAAGGAGATAATCATATTTGAAGGCACAGACCAACTCACCAAGTAATATTTCTTTCTGCAAAAGTACAGGTCTCTATCTTTCTGTAGCCTATTAGTAAGACAGATGAGGGTGCTGTCTACTATTCCTATACATTCTGGGAAGCCTTCTACTGTCATCTGCTCCTTCATTTCAACCTTTTCTGCTAGATTGGGCCAATGTAGATAGATAGGATGTAGAGATTGAAGAGCCTTGATGACTCTCTTACAGTAGAGGTAGACAGACCCATGAGCAATTGATGCTTGTTCAGCTGCTTTGTCAGTAGGATCAGATCCATAGTGTAGCAAGAAAACAGCAAGTTGGTGCCATACAGGAGCCTGGGGTTTCTTTCCAGTAGGCACAAAGACTTCATGATTTTTGATTAAGTTATGTATACAATCAAAAGAAGTATGGTTGACTCTGGAATAGATCATATGTGAGTGTAGTAGCATGTATATGATTCATAACCTTCAAGACACACCTGAAGAATGACTTGAATATCCTTAGAGATATGTTATGCAGGATGTTATCCAGGTAATCTTTAGAATGCACTATGTTGTATAGGCCACAGATGCTTGGACAAATGCAAACAAGCTGCTGGGAAGCAAGGTACATAAGAAGAACAGTGTGAAGCTGTTCTGTATCTGTCTTTGCAAGGAGAAGAATAATAGCAGTAATAAGACTACAGGTTTGAGCTTGCTGTATAGGCATAGATCTGACTGGTAGCATGACTTAAAGGTGTTTGGATGAGCAATAAAAGAATGGAGAGTGTAAGATATGTAAAAAAATATAGTGTATATACATAGACACACATCTTTCTACACAGTCACAAGACTGTATTCTTCTTTTTCATCAATCACACAGTGTAAATCCTTTAAGAAGTACAACTTTTTTTCAAACTCTGCTAACTCACAAGCACTCCAGAGTGCTTGTGAGTCAGCAGAGTTTGAAAAAAAGTTGTACTTCTTGAAGGATTTACACTGTGTGATCAACAAAAAAGAAGAATACAGTCTTGTGACTGTACAGAAAGATGTGCATCTATACTTAGAGACAAGGAACAATTAGGATGGTTATTGGGTAGAAGTTTGAGAGCAGTACAGAGTAGCTCAATAAATGGCTTCATCAAGGTCTTCTGGACACTTACACACTCAAGATTTTTGCATAGATAGGGCCCTGTGAGAACTTAATCATAGTAGCTGGTGCAAATCACATACCAGCCTGTTTTCTCTTTTTCTTCAGTTTCTTCTCTCCTTTCTCCTCTTTTTTCACCTCCTCTTTGTTCCCCTCAATATTGGAACCAGTACATTCGTTTATATCAACTGTGATCAAGTTATTATCATCTGGATCCACATTGCTATCTCCTCTGCCAGTGTGATTAAGAAACCCTGAAAAAAAGGTGAGCAGAGTATATGCTCACAGAAATATAGATACATACACCTTGTCTCCTTGTACAACCAAAATATAATGTTCCATTTGGTTGTACACTGTGCTAGAGTGTACTGATTGTCAAATACAACTTGAGAAGCCTTGAGAAAAATTGCAAAGGTGAGGAGCAAATATTGTGAGCAAGACCTGAAGAAATACATACCTTCAGCATAATTTTACTCAAACTGTTTGAGACCTTATTCCAATTCTCCAGTGAGCAGACAAACTCAACAAGCTTGAGAGTGGTTCCCTTGTCCCATTTCACTTTTGTTGCCCCTAAAACAACAAGTTTGCCCTCATTTTTGACCTTCTCATCAACATTAGTGTCTGATATACCAGAAGCACATGCATTCCTTCCAGACCTAGAACCCTTTCCTGTCTTCTTTGTCTGTGCCTTAGGATTTACCTTCAGTGCTTCTTCTGCCTTAGGGGAAACGACTTGAGGAAGTACTTGAGCTTGCTGATGCATGGATTGTATTAGATATGAGTGTGCTGGAGCCATTACCATTGAATGAAGTGCTTGAGCTGTGTCTGGCCAGTCAGGCTTAGGTGTCTGTGAATGCAAGATTGGGCTCAGGGTGACAGGCCCATAAAACCCAGCCGAAAACTGAGTCTGGGTGAAAGATGGTTGTGTATATGTATGTGCATAAGATGAGTTAAATAGGATTACAGGAGTTTGAGGCTGAGAAGAGGCCCTAAATGGGTCTTGAGACTGCTCAGGATTCATAGGGAATTGTCTGAATGAAAAAATGACTGTTTTTCACTGTATTCTTTGCAATGTCTTACTCTTGTTCCTGGTGCTCCTCTCATTTTTTACTGTTTATGGTAGGCTTACAAATTTTTATTATTTAACATTAATTTAACTACATTTAATGATCGACAAGCTATGCACAAGTTGATCACATCAATTCTTTGCAGTTGTGAGGGTGCTCAGCATCACTTCTTTCAGGGGTTTCTGCAAGCCGAGCTTCCTCGCAACTCACAACGCGCAACAGAATTGAGATGGGCTGCTACTGTATGAGAGTCGCGTCGTTCTTTTTTTCCCCCTTGCTACCTGCCTTATTTGGCAGGTGACTCGCCAAGCAACATACACATAGCTTGCCATACAACAATGAAGTACTGTACTTGCCTTCATAAGAGTTTTCAGACACTCCCTAGTATTGTAAGACTAAAATAGCAAATATATTAGGTTAACAGGACTGTCTTAGAGGATGCTAGCTTCTTAACAAGAGTGGTACAATCATTCAAACATGTAACACCAAAAAAGAGGTGATTCTGTCAATATTATAGAGGGGAATTGTAATTGAAAAGGTTCAACATATATTTTAATGTATAAAAAGGTGTATATTAAGTGGAAAAACAATACAGAGGTTTTGTATGTGTCTAAACAAAAAGGTGGTTGAAGTCACCTGCCTCATTTGGCAGGTGGCAAGGTGGAAAAAAAAACAACGCAACTCTCATAGTTTTCCGGAAACGCTGTAGCATCAGATAGCACCCCAGCTTCAACGTGTTTCCAGCACGTCGCGTGGAGTATGTAAACGATCCTCAGTGCTTGGCGGCTGTCTTCAGCCATTACGCCTGAGGTTCGAACCAACAGCCCGCATCTGAATCCTGACACAGAGATACTGTCACTGACACCAACGTGTTCACTGCAGCATTAGTTGTTCATCTATCTCCTGCTTGTCCGTTTCTTCCTCTCGTAACGTTCCGGTGCGAGCGAGTAACAACAACGATATTTTTTAGGTACACAACAGATCTTCTGTTGAAAGGATACTTGATAAACGATAAAGCCTGGAAGACGAGGTTGTGTTCAGGTAAGTCAGTCCATCCGACTCCATGCAATTTACTTCACACATCTCTAACTGAATGCCCAGGTCAACAAAATGGGACTGTTGACGTACATCACTGCAATCCTTACCCACATGGTAAGATCAGTAGACCCTGAATTGGATCCTGTTTCGCACTACAATCTAGCACTTGAACACTGGGCGCACTTTCAGCAGACGTGGGAGCGAGGAGAACTTGACAAGTCCATTTTTCATAGTCGCGTCACAGTCGAACTTTGTCCTGAGAGACATCCATATCGCGACACAGCATTGAACGACCTGGGAGGTTACCTTTACACGCGATTCGAGCAATATGGGAGGATGGAAGACCTGGAGGAGGCAGTTGAGCGTCATCGTGCTGCGTTAGAACTTCGCCCTCATGGCCATCCTGATCGTTCCTCGTCTCTGAGTAACCTTGGACTTTCCCTTCATACTCGATTTCGGCGGCGTGGACGGACTGTAGACCTTGACGAGGCCGTCGAGCATCATCGTGCTGCCCTGGAAATTTGCTGTGATGGTCATCCCAATCGTGCCATGACTTTGAATAACCTTGCAATTTCCCTTCATACTCGATTTCGACAACATGGACAGACTAAAGACCTTGATGAAGTCATTGACTACCATCGTGCTGTTCTAGAACTTCGTCCAAATGGCCATCCCAATCGTTCCAAGTCTCTGAACAACCTTGCGGCTGCGCTTCATACTCGATTTGACCTGCACGGACGGATTGCAGACCTTGATGAAGCTGTCAAGTATCATCGCGCTGCCCTGAAGCATATCCCGGAAGGCCATCCTGATCGTTCCACGTCTCTACATAACCTCGCGAATTGCCTTCACATTCGGTTTCAACAGCATGGACAGTCTGCAGACCTTTTTGAGGCCATTAAGCATCATCGTGCTGCCCTGGAACTTCGGCCAGATAGCCATCCCAATCGTTCCTCGTCTCTTTATAACCTTGCAGATACCCTTCATACTCTATTTACATGGCATGGACAAGCTGCAGATCTTGACGAGGCCATCGAGCGTCATCGTGCTGCCCTGGAGCTTCGCCCCAATGGCCATCCTAATCGTTCTGACTCTCTTAATAGTCTTGCAATCTCTGCCATTACTCGATTTGAACAGTATGGGTTGAGTGCAGATCTCGATGAGGCCATCGAACAACATCATGCTGCCCTGGAACTCTGCCCTGTCGGCCATCCTAATCGTTCCACGTCTCTTAACAATCTTGCAGGTTGCCTCGCTACTCGATTTGAACAGCATGGACAGAGTGCAGACCTTGATGAAGCTATCAAGCACCATCGTGCTGCCCTGGAACTTCGCCCCAATGGTCATCCCAATCGTTCATCGTCTCTGAATAACCTTGCGGGCTGCCTTGTTGTTCGATTTGAACAGCGTGGACAGATTGCGGACCTTGATGAGGCCGTTGAACATCATCGTGCTGCCCTGGAACTTCGACCCAATGGCCATCATTATCGTGTCTCGTCTCTTATTAATCTTGCAACTTCTCTCTACACTCGATTTAGACAGTATGAACATAGTGCAGACCTTGACGAGGCTGTTGAGCATTATCGCGCCGCCTTGGAACTTTGTCCTGATGGTCATTCCAATCGTTCCATGTCTCTGAATAATTTTGCAAGTTCCCTTGCCACTCGATTTCAACAACACGGACAAACTGCCGACCTTGATGAGGCCGTTGAGCATCATCGCACTGCCTTGGAACTTTGCCCCAATGGTCATCCCAATCGTTCCAAGGCTCTTTATAACTTAGCAAGTACCCTTCACATTCGATTTCAGCAGTATGGACAGACTGCAGATCTCGAGAAGGCCATTGAGTATCATCGCACCGCCCTGGAGCTATTTCCTGTCGGCCATCCCGACCGTCCTACGTCTCTTGAGAGCCTTGCAGATTCCCTTCACACTCGATTTCAACAGCATGGACGGGTTACAGATCTCGAGGAGGCCATCGAGCTCCATCGTGTGACTCTGGAACTTTGCCCGGATGGCCATCCCAATCATTCTAGATTTTTGGCATCGTTGGCTTCTTCGCTAGACTCTCGATTCAAGAAGTTTGGTGTCATGGACGATTTTAATGAGTGTATGCAATTGTTCGAATGTGCTGCCGTGCATAGGTTTTCAAGTTCGGTAACACGACTCAGAATTGCTGCTCAATGGGCTGAACTGGCTCGGAGCCATTCCCACCGCACTACTTCTAGAGCCTACAAGGTAGCGATGTTGCTTCTGCAACGTAACCTTACTGTGAATCCCACTCTTCATGCGCAACACAACTTCCTCAACCAGAACATCTATTACGGAACACTTGTATTAAATGCAGTGGCATATGCTGTAGAGGGAAATAGGTTCGAGGAGGCTGTAGAGATACTTGAGCAAGGAAGAGGTTTACTCTGGTCACAGATGCGTGGTTTCAGGACACCTCTCGATCATCTTGCAAAAGCAAACGGAGCGCTTGCTGATAGGTTCAGGAATATTAGTCGCCAGCTGGAGAGTCTCCTAATCTCGCCTACCGAATCGCAGTGTGGTTTGAGTATGGCTGGAAGCAGGCCACCCGTACCAGACTTGCATAGAGAACGGAGATTGTTCGAGGAAAGGTTGAAGCTAAAGAAGCAACTCTCTCACGAGCAAGAGGAAGTTATTGATGAGATACGGCAAATTCCTGGGTTTGAGTACTTTCTTAAAGCTACGTCATTTACCGCACTCCGGCAGGTAGCTTCGGAGGGTCCGGTGATTGCGGTTAACCATTGCAAATATCGATCCGATGTGCTCATCGTAGTTCGACGCGAAGATCGGCCAGTCGTCTGTGTTCCATTAGATGAAGAGTTCGCCAAGGATAGCATTGAGCTATACTCCAATCTCCTGGAAACGCGCTTAAAATTTGGAGCTGACTCGCTACAGTATGACCAGGTGCTCGGCCGAGTGATGAAGACATTGTGGAGCAGAGTGGTCTGTAAGGTCGTCGACAAACTAAACGAGCTCGGAATTGCTGAAGGATCGCGCATTTGGTGGTGCCCAACATTCGTACTGTCTTCGCTTCCTTTCCACGCTGCGGGTCCATTTCAGGATATAGACGGTAGTACGAAGTATCTATTGGACAGGTACATTTCGTCATATACTCCGACACTTGGAGCACTCATTGGTGCGCGGATGTCATGTGGAAACGCAGATTTGCCGACTGCCCTTATAATTGGGGATACTTCGCTTCCATCGGCTAAAGGAGAGATTCGCAGGATTAGGAATTGCGGTATAAACACTAAACTACTCAGCAGTAAGGCATCTCATGATGCAGTGGTAAAAGCACTTCGGAAAACGGCATGGGTGCATTTTGTTTGTCACGGAGGCTTGGATTCTAAACCTTTCAACTCTTCATTCAAGGTGTCTGACCGCGGCCTGACTTTACTCGATATTGTCCAGGCGAATCTTCCGAACGCAGAGTTCGCATTCCTTTCTGCTTGTCATACCGCCGAGCAGCCTCATGATGGTGCACCTAATGAAGTACTTCACCTGGCTGCAGCAATACAGTTCTCTGGATTTCGAAGCGTGATTGGATCGATGTGGGAGTTACTTGATGTGGACGGGCCCTTTTTCGCCAGGGTAGTATATCAGTACATGTGCGACTGTAACGATGGCGAGGCGAGGTACAAGCGTGCGGCTGCAGGGCTTCGCAAGGCAGCTGTAGAACTCAAAGAGCGGCATAGCGTTCGGGCTGAGAGATGGGTCAACTTGGTTCATATAGGCGCTTAATTGGATTCAGAATGTTTTGTGATACATAATATGTGAACTTATTGTGATGAAATATAACCAATTGTTGTGGATCGTGCACACTGCAGAGGCATCCGCTGAAACGGATTGTGTATATTCTGCTGACTCCAAGGATAACAGCAGGAGTCAAAATGGACCCCAATGAGAAAGTTGTACTAGCCCTCCCAGTTCTCTTTGTCAAAGCTGATAACCTTGATGACGAAACCGTGCAAGCTGTTAATCTGAGTGGCAAATAGATTTTCCCACGAGTGGATAGTAAGAGAGAAAAGATCGTCGGAGTCCCAATACTCAGATCATTTATCAAAGCTTTCGTGTTACCGTCATGTCCGTGTCTAATAGAGTATATGTATAAGCAGTTTGAAGCGTTCGACGTCTTCTCTCGACCCTAGTACTACACCCAAAGCTCAACCCAAGCAGCCACTACTGGCCAGACAAGTCATACAGATACTGTTCCCTGCCTCGACACGTTTGCTGTAACATTAGTCCAATTTAGTCTTCTACCCACTTCCTGTGCGTTAATCCTCTTCTTCTCGTCCATTCAGGTACAACAAATTATGATAAGGAGGTTTTCAGACTGACAACAAAGCTTTTTTTAATTAAATCTTTTTAGTTTGGGAGACACCTGTAAAAACAGCCAGGTGTCAAGGACAACGGAGCATTTTAGGTGATGCCTCTTTGTTGCTGGCTTGCTTCGCTTAACTGACATAAAAGAGAATTAGAATCATTGTCAAACGTTGCTATAATTCCCTGCCTACATGGAATACTCAGTGGACCTCGAGTTGATTCGCCGTGGACTCTACATTCTGGCCCTTACATTCTGGAATAAGGAGAACTTGACAGCTCTATTTTCCATGCTCGCATTGCACTCGGACTTCATCCCGAAGGACATCAAAATCGCAACATGTCATTGACCTTTCTTGGAAGTATTCTTACCATGCGATTCGAGCGATACGGGAAAATAGAGGACCTAGAGGAGGGAGTTGTGCATTACCGTACTGCCTTGGAGCTTTGCTCTGACGGCCATCCCAATCGTCCATCATCTCTGAATAACCTGGCGATTTCCCTTCAGACCCTATTTGAACAGCGCGGACAGACTAGAGACCTTGATGAGTCCGTTGAGCATTATCGTGCTGCCGTAAATCTCTGCCCTGATGGCAATCCCGATCGTTCCCTGTTTCTGAATGGCCTTGCAAAGTCCCTTCGGATGCGATTTGAACAATGTGGACGACCTACAGACCTTGACGAGGCCATCGAGCATCATCGTACCGCCTTGGAACCTTGCCCAGGGGACCATCCCAATCGTTCCAAGTTCCTTGATAGCCTTGCAAATTCCCTTCATACTCGATTTCACCATCATGGAGAGAAAACGGATCTTAATGAGACCATCAAGCATTATCGTGCGGCTCTGGAACTTCGGCCCCACGGCCATCCTGATCGCCCCTCATCTCTGAATAACCTTGCATATTCTCTCCAAACTCGTTTTCAACAGCTTGGTCAAATTTCAGACCTCGACGAGGCCATCAGATATCATCGTGCTGCCATGGAACTTTTCTCTACTGGCCATCTTGATCGATCTGCGCCTTTTATTAACCTCGCAAATTCCCTTCAAACTCGATTTCAGCAGCTTGGGCGAACTGCAAACCTTGACGAGGCCATCGAGCACCTTCATACTGTCCTGGAACTGGTTCCTGACGGCCATCCCAATCGTGTCATGGCACTAAACAACCTTGCAAATTCCCTTCACACTCGATTTCAACAGTATGGACAGATGACAGACCTTGATGGGGCTATCAAGCATTATCACACTGCTCTCGAACTTTCCCCCGACGGCCATCGTCATCGTCCCTTGGTCCTGAATGGCCTTGCATATGCTCTTAACACTCGATTTGAACAGTATGGACTGACTGCAGACCTTGATGAGGCTATTGATCGTCACCGTGCTGCATTGGAACGTTTCCCAAATGGCCATCCCGATCGATGTGTGTCTCTAACTAACCTTACGAATACCCTTCTAGTGCGATTCCACCAGCATGGACGAACTGCAGACATCGATGAGGCCATCGAGCATCATCGTATTGCCTTGGAACTTTGCTCATACAACCATCCTGATCGATCCGCGTCTCTTAGTAACCTTGCAACCTCCCTTCGAACTCGTTTTCATCAGCTCGGACGGGCCACAGACCTTGACGAAGCCATCAGTTACCAGTTTGCTGCTTCAGAGCTTATCCCTAATAGCCATCCCAATCATCCTATGACCCTACATAACCTTGCATGTTCTCTCCAAGCTCGATTTGCACAAAATGGACAGACTGCTGACCTTATCAATGCCATTAAGTACCATCTCACTGCTTTAAAGCTTGTTCCCAACGGACATCCCAATTGTTCCACGGCTCTACATGATCTTGCAGTTTCCCTTCAAACTCGATTTGAACAAAACGGTCGGACTGCAGACCTTGATGACGCTATCAAACATCATCACGCTGCCCTGGAACTTCGTCCAAAAGGTCACCCTCAACGTTCCACGTCACTGGCGAGCTTGGGCTTATCGTTGTACTCTCGATTTAAGAAGTTCGGAGTCACAGACGACTTCGAAGAGTGCATGCAATTACTCGAAGATGCTACCGAGCATGAACTTTCAAGCTCAACAGAGCGTCTCAGGGTCGCAACTCTATGGGCGGAGCTAGCTCAAAAACATTCTCATCACACCATATCCAGAGCGTACAAAGAAGCAATGTTGCTTCTGCAACGTATCCTTATTGTTAGTCCTACTCTTGATGCCCACCACAACCTTCTCAGCCAGAAACAATACCACGGAACTCTCCCATGTAACGCAGCGGCATATGCTGTGGAAGGGAATAGGCTCGAAGAGGCTATAGAGATACTCGAGCAAGGAAGGGGCTTGCTCTGGGCGCAGATGCGCGGACTTAGAACACCTTTAGATCGCCTTGCCGAAGCGGACAAAGAGCTCGCCGACAGGTTCAGGGAAGTTAGTCGCCAGCTGGAGAGCCTTACGACATCGCCGACTGAGTTGCAGGATGGCTCAGGCACGGTCGGACACAAGTCACCTGTACCGGATGTGAATAGAGAACGGAAGCTATATGACGAGAGGTTGAGGCTAAAGAGGCGGCTCACTACCGAGCAGGAGCAGATTATCAATGAGATACGTCTACTTCCCGAGTTTGAGAAATTTCTTGAAGCTACGCCATTCAAGGTACTTCAGCAGGCAGCTTCAGAGGGTCCGGTGATTGTGGTCAATCATAGCATATATCGATGCGATGTACTCATTGTCCTCCCCCGTGAGGATCTGACGGTTGTCTGCGTCCCCTTGGATGAAGAGTTCTATGCTGATAGCACACGGCTATATTGCGAACTTGTGGGAACGCGCTTAAGCTCTAAAGTTGACTCAGTAGAATACGACGACACGCTACGCCGAGTGATGAAGACATTATGGGATAGGGTCGTCTCCAAAGTCGTCGACAAACTAAACGAACTCGAGATTGCGGAAGGATCGCGCATTTGGTGGTGTCTAACGACCTTGCTGTCGGCACTGCCCTTCCACGCCGCTGGTCCGTTTGAGGGCATAAACGGTACTTCCACATATCTATTGGACAGGTATATCTCGTCATATGCACCAACCCTCGGGGCACTCATTGATGCACAGTCATCCTGCGGAAGCAGGAAAGCACCAACTGCTCTCGTCATTGGGGATACTTCGCTTCCGTCCGCTAGGGAAGAGATTCGCAAGATCAAAAATTGTGGCATAAACCCCAAGCTACTCAGTAGCAAAGCATCCCACGATACTGTGACAACAGCACTTCGGAAAACCTCATGGGTACATTTCGTTTGCCACGGTGGATTAAGTTCAAAGCCCTTAAACTCATCATTCAAAGTATCCGATCGTGGGCTGACTTTGCTCGACATTGTCCAGACAAATCTTCCGAACGCACAGTTCGCATTCCTTTCTGCTTGCCACACTGCCGAACAGTCTTACAACGTTGCACACGACGAAGTGCTCCATCTGGCTGCGGCGATGCAATTCTCTGGTTTCCGAAGCGTGATCGGATCGATGTGGGAGCTACTTGATGTGGATGGGCCCTTTTTTGCCAAGACAGTGTATGAGTACATGTGCGACTGCGACGAGGGCGAGCTAAGGTACAAGCGTGCGGCTGCTGGACTTCGCAAGGCGGCGATAGAACTGAAAGCACGAGATGATGTTCGGGTTGAGAGATGGGTCAACTTGATTCACATAGGTGCTTGATTTCGGCGTGTAAAATGTATATACTTATTGTGGAGAAAGTCAATCAATCAGTATGAGTTCCACGAAGACATCTGGTGAAACTAATTGTGTAACTTTGTTCAGACCAAGGATGACAGTGAAAGCAAGAATCGGATGATGAACGGGTACTAACTGGGTTGAGGTGTATGTACATACCTCCCTAATGAAAACAGGTCTACTCAGAAGTGGGACCTCCGATAGCTCACGAATGATTCGCTGCACATCTTCCTGCTTCGCAAATCCCACAATGCTAGATAGCATTCGAAATTAACTGAGGTTGTCCAATTCAAGTACGATGTACTTACCCGCATCCTTTCGAGATTCCTGTGGGTGTCACCAGTATTTCCGTAAATAGGACTTCTCCAGCCGGTGCCCCAAGGAAAACAACTGATCAGAATACCCTCCTCACACAACTTTCAACGACACCCATCCAATAGGCGAGCGAAGATAAGAAATCGAAACCGAAATCGAAAATTGGGCCGGAATCCACGCCTCTACTGCATCAGCACCTTCCCTACATGGCCCTCAACAAATGGCTCTGGCAGCTATCATGCATCGTGTCCATTTAACGATAAAGCGTAGGGGAGTGGTGGCGAAGTCATGCATGCTGCGATCGGTATGGCGCTCATGCCTTCTCGCGGCCCACTAACCGCGCTCTCCAACCATCACAAGCACCTTGTCCACGTTCGGCCCTCCGAGCGAGTGCGATAACTCGTCGTACCTTCTGTCGAGGTCCCGGCTGCGACTATGGAGCGAGAATAAGAACGAGAGTAGCGGCGAGATACGGACGGGCGACGAGGCGAGCGAGAACGGATTCTTGGACTAGCACCAAGATGGTGAACACCATGAAAAGCCCTGTTTACAGACAGTTTGTTTCTTTCGTGATGTTTACCTCTAGCTCCCAATTGGGCATTGCGACAACGCCCCGGAAAGAAATCACGTACTTCAGCACAGAATATGCTGCAAAATGGGACAGAAAGGCGAAGGAAGAAACACAACAGAGAAGATTATCGTGAGTTGCGAGTCAATATAGCTTTTGCTTCAAGCGACTAGATGCGTGTTTGAGGACAGGGACGTGAATGGTCTTGCATGCTCATCACTCGAATTCCCCGTTTCTCCTAACAGGTAATAATTATATAGTCACTTTTTTGCTGCAATTTCTGTTTACTTTTGTCAATTCAGTGCATTTGTTTATTTCTGTTGATGTAGTCGCAACATGCATCAACTGCCCAGTTGGACCTCCACCGCGCATGAATCGATTGAATGCATTGATTCAGATAAAGATAAGGCGAGATCGACTCGGCATACTGCTTTTGTGGACCCGTGTAACCTGGCTGACGTCCAGACGAGGCAGTCGACCGAGGTCAAGGCAGCCGTATTTGACGAGGAGTGAATGATATCGCATGGGTTTTGTATGGGTCTAAGGTTTTTCTTAATACCCTTCCTTCCCATCCTATGACTCGCAAATGTAGACCTGCTAAATGTAGTTTCATCAAAGCTTGTATACGTTTGTGTAAGTCCTGTACACCCTCGGGTTTGGTTTGGGGCAAAACGTAAAGTTGCTGTTTCTGATTTTGTAAGGAACAAGTAAATCTTAATTGGCACTGCAATGAAGGCCATGCACGTCATGTATTCTGAATTTCGAAGATGATTCAGCAAGAGATACTTTTCATCCTGCAAAATCAATGTACAGGTGCACTTATTGCTTTCAATACCTGGCTTTGGTGAATGCCAAGTTCGACTGAGTGATGCGGGGCACATCAAGTTCTTCTAGAAATTATGTAATACAATTTCATCCGTTCCTGACGTTCAATCCTAAATAGTCTTCTTCAGCATCAAACGCTATTATCACAGCTTCAACGTCTTCCCGGCATGTCCAGTGGAGTATATAAGAACTTGATTTCTGCCCTCAACCCAGTACTGACTCGACCCAAGGAACCAGCAGCATCCAATACAGATACTATCCTCTGTACCGACGTGTTTATTTTGACATCAATTCTTTACCCATTCCTCCCGGTTAGTCTCCTCTTCTGAGTTCTCACACATTCTAGTACAAGCAACTTATAACCAAGAGTCTAGACGCACGGGGAACCTTTCGCAAAGCCGCCACCCGTTTGAACAACCGGACTCCAAAGCAGGGATATTTCTTGGTAGTATATACCTGGTATCTTGGATGCTTCCTTCTGACTAATCACACAGTTCAATTAAGAAAACTGAAATCATTGACAAACACTTCCACGGCTCTGCACTAATATGGCATACTATGTGAACCTGGAATGGATTTGCCGTGGGCTCTACAATCTGGCTATGAAACACTGGAGACATTTTGAGCAATCGCAGGAGCGAGCAGAGCTTGACAAGTCTATTTTTCATGGTCGCATTGCGGTTGGACTTTATCCTGAAAGACATCCAGATCGAAAATGGGCATTAACCATTCTTGGAAGTTCTTTTCTCACACGATTCAAGCAATACGGGAAGATGCAAGATCTAGAGGAGGCAGCTGAGCGATATCGTGCTGCCTTGGAACTTTGCCCCGATGGCTGTCCCGACCGCTCCACGTTTCTTAATAACCTTGCAAGTGCTCTTGCGACTCGATTCACGCAGAATGGACGAACCGCAGATCTTGATGAGGCCATCATCCATCAACGTACTGCTCTGGAACTTCGCCCCGAGGACCATCCGGATCGTTCTGTGTCTCTTGAGAACCTTGCCAGTGGTCTTGGAATACGGTTTGAACAGTATGGGCGGATCGCAGATCTTAATGAGTCCATCAAGCATCATCAATCCGCCCTAGAACTTCGCCCTGTCGGCCATCCCAATCGATCCATCACCCTGTTCAACCTCGCAAAAGCCCTCCATACTCGATTTGTACAGAACGGACAGACTGTGGATCTTGATGAGGCCATCAAGTATCAATGTAACGCCCTGGATCTTTGTCCCGATGGTCATCCTAATCGTTTTGCGTCACTGATCTGCCTTGCACGTGCCCTTCATTCCCGATTTACATGGTACGGACGGGCTGCAGATCTGGATGAGGCTATCAAACATGAACGTGATGCCCTAGGGCTTTGCCCCAATGGCCATCCCAATCGTTACATGTGTCTTGGTAACCTTGCAACTTCCCTACATACCAGGTTTAAACAGTATGGAGAAACTGCAGAGCTTGATGAGGCCATCATGTATCAACGTGCCGCCCTAAAACTCTGCCCCAGCGACCATTCCAATCATTGCTCGTCTCGCAATAACCTTGCAAATTCCCTGCATACTCGATTTAAACAGCATGGACAGACCGCGGATCTAAATGAGGCCATCAACCATTATAGTGCTGCTCTAGAGCACTATCCCAAAGGCCATCCGAGTCGATTCACATCTCTCAATAACCTCGCAAGTGCCCTAGGAACCCGATTTAAACAGCATAGGCAGATCGAAGACCTTAATGAGTCCATAAATCATCATCGTGACGCTCTGAAACTTTGCATGGATGGGCATCCCAATCGTCTCGCGTCGCTGGTCAACCTTGCGAATTCCCTCCTTACCCGATTTGAGCAGAATGGACAGACCGCAGACCTCGACGAGGTTATCGATCGTCAACGAGCAGCCCTGAAAACTTGCCCTGGTGGTTATTCCAACCGTTTCGCACTCCTGAATGGCCTTGCAAACGCACTTCATACTCGATTTAAACAACATGGACAGATCACAGACCTTGATGAGGCCATGGAGCATTATCGCACATCTCTGGAACTTTGCCCTGATGGCCATCCCGATCGTTCCTTATTAATGACCAACTTAGGCCTTTCATTTCTCTCTCGATTCGAGACGTTTAGTGTCGTGGGTGATTTCGAAGAGTGCGTGCAATTACTTGAGCATGCTGCCGGACATAAGTTTTCAAGCTCAGTGACGCGTCTCACGATTGCCAGCCAATGGGCCGAACTCGCTCGGAGTCGTTCTCACCATACCACATCGAGAGCTTACAAGGCAGCAATGCTGCTCCTACAGCATACCCTGGTTTTCTGTCCTAGTCTTCATGCACAGCATAACTTCCTCACCCAGAAACAATATGGAATGCTTGCATTGGACGCAGTGGCATATGCTATAGAAGGAAATAGGCTCGAAGAGGCTGTAGAGATACTTGAGCAAGGAAGGACTTTACTCTGGTCACAGATGCGTGGTTTAAGGACACCTCTTGATCGCCTCGCGAGAATAAACAGAGAGCTTGCTGACAGGTTCAGGGATATCAGTCGCCAACTGGAAAACCTTGCAACATTATCTACTGTGCTGCAGTCTGATTCATACACTACTGGAAGCAGCTTGTCTGTACTGGATATGCATGAAGAACATAAATTGTTAGAGGAGATGCTAAGGCTGAAGAAGCAACTCTCTAACGAGAAGGAGGAGGTTATCAACGAGATAAGACAAATTCCTGGATTTGGGAACTTCCTTGAAGCTATGCCATTTGATGTACTCCAGCGGGCGGCTTTAGAGGGCCCAGTGATTGTAGTCAACCAGTGCAGGTATCGATCTGATGCACTCATTGTTCTCTCCCGCGAGGATCTACCGGCGGTTGACTGTGTTCCATTAGATGGAGATTTCTATATGGATAGCGGCGAGTTATACGCAACGCTCTTGGTGATACGCGACGAGTTCGGAGCCGAGTCACAAGCATATGACATAACACTCTGCATAGTGATGAAGATGCTGTGGGATAGGGTCGTCTGCAAGGTCGTGGACAAATTGAAGGAACTCGGAATTGCCGAAGGATCGCGCATTTGGTGGTGCCCTACATATGCGCTGTCTGTACTTCCTTTCCATGCCGCGGGTCCGTTTGACGACACAGATGGCACTTCCGTGTATCTATTGGACAAGTACATCTCGTCATATACTCCAACACTCGGAGCACTCATTGACGCACGGTCGTCACCTGGAAACGGAGAAGAGCCAACCGCTCTTGTCATCGGTGATACTTCACTTCCGTCAGCTAGGGATGAGATACGTAATGTCAGGAATTGTGGCATAAATACTAAATTACTCAGCAGTAAAGCATCTCACGATGCTGTGGTAAAATCACTTCAGAAAGCCACATGGGTGCATTTTGTTTGCCATGGAGGCTTAGATCCTAAGCCTTTCAACTCGTCATTCAAGGTGTCCGACCGCGGGCTGACTTTGCTCGATATCGTTCAGGCAAATCTTCCAAACGCAGAGTTCGCATTCCTTTCTGCATGCCATACTGCTGAACAGCCTCGTAATTCCTTTGCATTCGACGAAGTGCTCCACCTCGCCGCAGCGATGCAGTTCTCTGGTTTTCGAAGCGTGATTGGGTCGATGTGGGAGTTGCTTGATGTAGACGGGCCCTTTTTCGCCAGGGTAGTATATCAGCACATGTGCGGCTGCGACGATGGCGAGGCGAGGTACAAGCGTGCGGCCGCAGGACTTCGCAAGGCAGCTGTAGAACTGAAAGCACGAGAAGATATTCGGACTGAGAGATGGGTCAACTTGATTCACATAGGCGCTTGATTATATCTAAAAGACTTTAGTATGTTATATGTATATGCTTATTATTTGGTGTCATCACGAAAAAGTCGCAACAAATGTAATTAATAATAGCAAATGTAATTTAATAATGTAGTTATATATCTATTACAATCTAAAATAACAATTATACTTGGCACATAATTAAATTGTAACAATTGTATATAAATGTGATGATTATACAAGAATTGTATTATACTACAAGTGTTTTTTAAAGCAAGTAATGTTAATACCATTATTACTACAATATTATATGTGAGACACAAGTACTTAACTTTTATTGTAATATGTTAAAATTGTATATAAATTAATATAAAACAGTAGTTGATTGATTATAATACTTATAAAAGTAATACATTATACTTGTAAGTTGATTATAGTACTTTTGGTAAGATAATATGCAATTATATATAATAATATTGTTAACAATCACTCTGTTAGAATTATAATATAATCTGGTTTTACTTTAAACTATATATCAAAGTGATTATATAATCAAATACTGAAGATTGAGAGCATATAATGATGCACTTACACTTGTCACTCCTTTTCCTCCTACCTTCACCATCTCCCTAACTATTTTCCCTAACACTATGTTGTCTCTTTTGTTCTCTCTAGCTCAGTCCCCTGCCTACAAGCATCCTCTAACAGGCACACAGCCTGTAACCACCTAGACAATAAACATTACTGTATTTTTCTCTTTAATCTACTACTATAATGTCTGTACTGAACCTTAGATCCTGTGACAACACAACCCAGCTAGCTACACAGTCCTTTAGTGTAAAGTATAAGTAGCCAGTCCACTTCATAATAACTTGCACAATAGTTGCTCATCCCTCTCCTCCCTGCCTCTTATATTGTCTCTCCTTTGTTGTCCTCCTTTTTATTACACTCACCTTCTTTTTGCATTTGCATTTGCACATCTGCATTTTTGACCAATACTAAACAACTTTACTAATACTTTACATACTTCTTCCTACTCTATAGTACAAGTAATAATTAACAATCACACACTTATAACAATGTCCATGTACAACTACTCCTAAGGTGTAATCCTCTCTCTAACCAGACACACATGTTCTTCCCTACCTGTTCCATACTTAGCATCACCCTTGATAGGTCTACACTATGTGTGTTTACTTTTCCCAGTACTGTGTATAGCACCATTTTGAACAGAAGTAGTGACCCTCTACTCCCCTCTCAGCTGAGTCTGTCTGCCTTCCACTTCACCTTCACCTTTCAAGCCAGAACATCCTAGAGATACACCTTGCAATTGATAACTCAGTTTACTGTACCTTCTATTAAGTACTGTAGATAAAGTATAGAGTATACACACACAGACACAGTTTTGTCTACAGTCTGAATCAACTTGTTTAACACTCCAAATCTTAACCTGTACACACTACTCACTCTTACTACACACTATTACTGTGTGTCCATCTTTTCTTTCTTATTGTCACTTGCTAAATCACTCTAAGCCTGTTTCACAGGTACAGTCTTAACCTCTAAGACCTGCTCAACCTTGTAATTCAACTTGTAGAGACTGAGCAACAACTAAGGTATAGTGACAAAGACTACTTTGTACAGTCCAAGAATGCATTAATCCTTTACTGATACAAATTCCACTTGCAGAAGAACAAGGCAGAAGCTACTAGTAGTGTAGGGATTGGGACTATAGAAATAATATAATATTCACTATCTTTTTGTATTAAATAATCAAACATAATTACATTTTATTAATTATTTGATACAAAATTGTATGCAAAGCAAAAGCAAGCTATCCAAATGCTTGTAATGACTGGTATATATTGTAAGACAATACTATACTGTCAAAAAATAGTAAGTATATTTTAACATTATTATTTTGGGAGGTATGTTATAATCACTTATATATCTTGACAATATATACAATTATAATTAATATCAGTAGTTTCAATAATTGTTCTAGATTCTCATTATACTTGTATTAAATTATAATTAACTTGTGAAAACCCCTATAAAGAATATAATTGCTTTGACAAAATTTACAAAAAGTATTAAATATACCTGGTTATAATCTATTACAAGTGTTGCGACTTTTTCGTGATGTAAGACAAGGGTATATTGCTTATTTGATGGAAATGTGAAACAATTGTGGATAATATACTCTAAATTTAGTCTTTATTTTAAAAATTGCTTACTAATTCTGTATACTATCCGTATACGGCGTATACGTAAATTTCGCTACAGTGCGGAGCGCTAATTCCCGAGATGCACGCTGGAGTATATAAGCACTTGCTTTCTACCCTCAACCTCAGCGCTGACTCGACCCAAAGGACCAGTATCCACTACAGATACTGTCCTCTGCAGCGGCGTATCTACTGCAATATTAATTGTTTGCAGGTTCGTCCCTTCTCACTCATTCTAGTACGGGCAGGTTAGAATAAGGGAGGTTATTAGACTCACTGGGAATATTATTCACGGAAGACAGCCGTTGAACTATCAGGCACGTAGGACAGACTTCAAAGCAACGTTTCAGGTAAAATAAGCATAGGAGCTTCCTTTCTTCCTTCTGACCAAAGACACAGGCCAACTAAGAAAGTTCGAAACATCGACGAACGTTTCCACAATTCGTGCCAGTGTCAACATGGAGTACTTTGTGGACCTTGACTGGATTTGTCGTGGACTCCACAATCTGGCTATTAAACACTGGCAGCGCTTTCAGCAATCGGTGGAACCAGAAGAACTTGACAAGTCTATCTTTTATGGTCGTATTCTAGTCGGACTTTACCCTGACAGGCATCCGGATCGCAACGCGGTATTAACCAACCTTGGAGGTTTTCTTGGAACACGGTTCAACTATTACAGGAGAACAGAAGACTTAGATGAGGCGATTGAGCAGTTTCGTGCTGCCCTGGAACTTCTCCCAAACGATCATCCCAATCGCCCCACGCTACTGTATAATCGTGCAAACGCTCTTACATCTCGTTTTAAACAGCATGGACGGATCGCAGACTCTGAGGAGGCAATCAGGCTTCATCATGCTGCCCTTGAGCTTTGCCCCGACGGTCATCCTGGTCGATCCACATTTCTCAATAACCTTGCAACCGCCCTGCGAGAACGATGCAAACAACGTGGACGGTCCACAGACCTTGATGAGATCATCGGATTTCATCATGCTACTCTTGAGCTTCACCCTGACAACCTTCCCAATCGCTCCGCGTTTCTCAATAACCTTGCATCCATTCTTCAAACTCGATTCAAACAACGTGGACAGACAGCAGACCTTGACGAGGCCATCAGACATCGTCGTGCCGCTCTCAAGCTTTTCCCTGACGGCCATCCTAATCTTTCCGCGTCTTTAAGTAACCTTTCAGACACCCTTCGAACTCGATTCCAACAACATGGACAGGTCTCAGACCTTGACGAGGCCATCAAGCATTACCGTACTGCTCTCGAGCTTTGCCCTGCCAGTCATCCTGATCATCCCACATTTTACAGTAACCTTGCGTGTACCCTTGAAACTCGATTCAAACAACGTGGACAAACTGCAGACCTTGACGAGGCAATCAGGCTTCATCATGCTGCTCTCGGGCTTTGCCCTGAAGGACATCCTCGTCGTCCTGCATTTTCCACTAACCTTGCATCCGGCCTTCAAACTCGATTCGTACAACGTGGACAGGTTGCAGACCTTGACGAGGCAATCAAGCTTCATCATGCTGCACTCGAGTTTTTCTCTGACGGCCATCCTCAACGTTCCATCCCTTTCAATAACCTTGCAAAAGCTCTTGAAGCTCGATTTAAACAACTTGGACAGATTGCAGACCTTAACGAGGCAATCAGGCTTCATCATGCCGCTCTTAAGCTTTTCCCTGATGGACACCCTGATCGTTCCGTGTCTCTCAATAACATTGCAGGTGCACTTGTAACGCGATTCAAACAATGTGGACAGGCTGTGGACCTCGATGAGGCCATCGGGCATTCTTATACTGCTCTCAGTCTCTGTCCTAACAGCCATCCCGATCGTCCCACGTCTCTCAGTAACCTTGCATATGCTCTTCAAACCCGATTTGAACAACGTGGACAGACCGTAGACCTCGATGAGGCTATCAGGCATCATTCAGCTGCTCTCGAGCTTTGCCCCAACAGTCGTCCTGATCGTCCCACATTTTACTGTAACCTTGCGGGCGCTCTTCAAATCCGATTCGAACAACATGGACAGATTTCAGACCTTGACGAGGCAATCAGGCTTCATCATGCTGCACTCGAGCTTTGCCCTAATGGTCATCCTGATCATTCCACGTTTCTCAATAACCTTTCAGGCACTCTTGTAACTCGATTCAAACAATGTGGACAGATTACAGACCTTGATGAGGCTATCAGGCATCATTATACCACTCTGGAGCTTTGTCCAGACAGCCATCCCAATCGTTCTGTATATCTCAATAACCTTGCAAATGCTCTTAGAACTCGATTTGAACAGATTGGACAGATTACAGACCTTAATGAAGCTATCAGGCATCATTATACTGCTCTCGAGCTTCGCCCAGACGACCATCCCAATCGTTCCATATCTCTTAATAACCTTGCAAGCGCTCTTATAACTCGGTTCAGACAACATCAACAGATTGCAGACCTTGATGAGGCTATCGGGCACTGTCATGCTGCCCTGGACCTTTATCCCAATGTCCATCCCAAACGTTTCGGATCTCTCAATAACCTTGGAAATGCCCTTCAAACTCGATTCAAACAATGTGGACAGACTGCAGATATCGACGAGGCCATTATTCATCACCGTGCTGCTCTCAGGCCAGAGCTTTGCCCTAACGGCCATCCTGGTCGTTCCACATCTCTCACTAATCTTGCAAACGTCCTTCATAGTCGATTCGAACAACATGGGCAGACCACAGACCTTGACGAGGCCATCAGTCATCATCGTGCGGCTCTAGAACTTTGCCCGGAAGGCCATCCTGACCATTCGAGGTCCTTGGCGAATTTGGCTTCTTCGTTGAATTCCCGATTCGAGAGGTGTGAGGTCATTGATGATTTCGACGAGTGCATCCGATTATTCGAACGTGCTGCCACGCACAAGTTTTCAAGTTCGGTGATGCGACTCAGTATCGCTACGGAGTGGGCCAGACGTGCTCAAAGTCATTCTCACTACACTACTTCTAGAGCTTACAAGGTAGCAATGTTGCTCCTACAACATGCCGTCGTTGTTAGTCCTACTCTTCACACACAGCACGACTTCCTTAACCAGAATCACCGTTACGGAACGCTCGCAGGTAACGCAGCGGCATATGCAGTTGAAGGAAATAGGTTCAAAGAGGCTATAGAGATCCTTGAGCAAGGAAGGGCTTTACTCTGGTCGCAGATGCGTGGTTTCAGGGCACCTCTACACCAGCTTGCAGAGATAAACGAAGAGCTCGCTAGCAAGTTCAGGAATGTTAGTTGCCGGCTGGAGAGCCTCGCGACAATGTCTTCTGAGTTGCAAGCTGGTACAAGCATAGCTGGAAGCGAGTCATCTGTTCAAGGCACGCATAGTGAACGGAAATTGTATGAGGAGGGGCTGAGGTTGAAGAGACAACTCTCTGATGAGCAGGAGGAGGTTATCAGCGAGATACGCCAGATTCCCGGGTTTGAGAACTTTCTTGAAGCTACGCCATTCAAGGTACTTCAGCAGGCGGCTTCAGAGGGTCCAGTGATTGTGGTTAATCTTAGTGTATATCGATGCGATGCACTCATTGTACTGTCCCGCGAAGATCGGCCGGTTGTCTGTATCCCATTAGATGGGAAATTCCACGAGGACACCACTAGTCTGTGCAAGGAGTTTGTGGAAACACGCTTTTACTCTGGCCCAAGCTCTGTTAAATATGACCAGGTGCTCCGACGAGCAATAAAGACATTGTGGGATAGGGTGGTCTGCAAAGTCGTTGATAAACTAAACGAGCTCGGAATCGCGGAAGGATCACGCATTTGGTGGTGTCCCACATCTTTCCTGTCTGCGCTTCCGTTTCACGCTGCAGGTCCATTCGAGGATACAGACGGCACTACGAAGTATCTATTAGACAAGTACATCTCGTCTTATACCCCGACACTCGGAGCACTCATTGGTGCGCGGGCGTCATGTGGAAACGAAGGAGAACCAACGGCTCTTGTCATCTGGGATAAATCGCTCTCGTCATCTAAGGAAGAAGTTCGCAGGATCAAGAACTGCGGCATAAATACTAAATTACTCTACAGTAAGGCATCTCATGATGCAGTGGTAGAAGCACTTCGGAAAACAGCATGGGTGCATTTTGTTTGCCATGGAGGCTTAGATCCAAGGCCTTTCAACTCATCATTCAAGGTGTCCGACCGCGGGTTGACCTTACTCGATATTGTCCAAGCAAATCTTCCCAATGCAGAGTTTGCATTCCTTTCCGCCTGCCACACCGCTGAACAACCTTTCAATTTAACATTTGACGAAGTGCTCCATCTCGCTGCGGCGATGCAGTTCTCTGGTTTTCGAAGCGTCATTGGATCGATGTGGGAGTTACTCGATACAGACGGCCCCTTTTTCGCCAAGACAGTATACCAATACATGTGTGACTGCGATGAGGGCGAGCCAAGGTACAAGCGTGCTGCTGCTGGGCTTCGAAAGGCTGCTATAGAACTGAAACTACGAGATGATATTCGGGCTGAGAGATGGGTCAACTTGATTCACATAGGTGCTTGATTGGCCCTAAGAGTTTTCAGTACGTATAATATATATGCCCTTATTCAAAGTTATTTGATATACTTATGCCGAACCAGTCATAGATGTTTAATAATATTTGTTCCATGGACACTATAATTCGGACTGATTTCATTTGTATAACAAAGGACGGGCCTATGTAGTCTATGTACTGGAGGAATTATGGTTGCAAGATTATTTCCTAATACTTGGATGCAAAATGCATTTATGACATTGATTTTATTCGGCATCATGGTAACATGAGGGATACTATCCCTAAGCACAATTGCAACGCCAAGGTTAAAATCAAGCCATCTAGAAGCTATATTCATTTTCTGTACAAAGGGAAAACAATGCAAGTCATGACCTGGATGTAGCAGAGATAATCCATAAATATCGTAACTGATTCTACGAGGGCATCCAGTAGAATGAACAACATTATTTTATATTTTAATGAGATATGGGCAATAGTTGATCTATCCTTGACGAGAAATGGATACTAAACTTTCGGATTCTCTTCGTTAAAGCTGATAACTTTGATGAAAGGTCATGGATTAACGGTGCCGGTCAATTTATTATTGTAGACGAGAAGGAGGGGTAAATATGGACAGACTAACGTAAATAACTCATACAGACAAAGTAACGGGTGAACAATCACATTTATCCCATCAGCAATCCTTTATTTCAGTAGCGCAGGAAGTCTTCAGCTCAGCAAATCACAAATATCAGACATATATCAGAGTGAAAGGAGCCTAGTACACAGGAAATGAATAAAGAATAAAATGTGAGAGGATTAAAAAAAAGACAGCAGAGTAATTAAAGTTTTTCTTTATAAAAGGACAAAGAAATAACCTTTCCCTCGCATCATAAGGAAAAAGGAAAAGAAAGCGGAGGATATGAGACTAATGTGTCCCAATGGCTCTCCGGCCATTTTTTCTACACGTCAATCTCAACCTGCATAAGCGCGACAATTCGTCCTCTTGCAGTGGTAGGTGTGAACGAGTGCCAACGAATCGTTAAAGCGCACATCTGCAGCAAACAAATCGCTTCCATCAGCAACTGCAATCTAAGTGAGAAGGAAGGTAAGAGACTGACGTAGAGGACGTTCACTGTACATATATTGATGGAACTTGGCTGGTTGAAACGAGTAATGTTATTATACAATTTCGATATATTGTTACGAAGCGTAGGATGGCGCTCACTAATGGCTGTTACGGCCTCCACGACCTGCGCAAATTGTACAACGCCTCCCTTCGAGCGAGAGCTATAGCACAGGATCTCAGCTAGCTCGACAATTCCGGTCGTCTCAAATAGCTCGACAACATCTCGATCGCAGTAGACCACAGCAACTGAAAAGTAGAAATAATCAAATTAAGTCAATCGATATCACCAGAAGAAATCAACAGCCACCATAATAAATGGATATTTATTGAACTTCCACTTACATTGCGAACCATAATCTGCTGACTCGGCTCCGCAGCGAATTCACTAATGTATCTCTCACTAAACACCTGTCCCGTTGCATAGCTAGCTGCAGCAGGCACCGAGGTTTGTTGATCCTGTCCAGAGTAGTCGCGATATATGTCTCGTTGAACGAACGCTCTTCGCCTCCACCATCACCACGATAGCCTCCACGGTACCCACCGCGCAAGCTGCCACCGTGGAAACCACCTCTGAAACCGCCCCGAAGCCCGCCACAGTAGCTACCTGGACCGGAAAGGCCGACGTAATGGTCCTAAGAAGCACTTATTAGAAACTGAAATATTGGATAACTCCGGAATTTCAAACCTCGCGAACTTCTGGAATGCGGCTGTACCATTCATAAGCTATACATGCCTACAAAATGGCCAGTCAACTTCATCCTTTCTCGAGATACTGAGTCTACATACTAATGGCCTGCTGCGCATCTTTTGTTGTCTCGAAAATTACAGTGCCAGGACCTTTTGCGCGGCTATCGGCACCAATATTAATGTCTGCACTCACAATGTTTCCAGCGGTGCGGAACAAATCTTTAAGGTCTTACCAACCAACTGGTATGGCAGATTTACGCACACTAAATATCTTCAGCATGTGTATAGAGAACGCCGAGGTAGCGGAAAGGACATACATCAACAATGTAAAGCTGGTTTCCTGGATTTCCTCCTCCACCTCCATAGCGCGGAGGTTGAGCATTGAACCTTAGTCCTGCCATGGCCATACCAGTCTTACCGAGGACGAGTGTTTCGCCAAAGCCTGCTTCAGTTGCGCGACCCTGATAGCTATTTAAAAAAAAGAAAAACGAAAAGGAATATCAGGTTGAGATGTGCATACCTCCGTTATGACAAGAGGTTTACCCAGAGGGGCCAGAGGCGGGACCAAGGACAGTTCGCGATTGGCTCGCTGCGCATCTTCCTGCATCGCAAATTCTGTAATACTAGGGATTATTCGTAATTGAACTAAGGTGATTCGACTCAAGCACGAAAATGTTCTTAGCCGCATCCATTTGAAATTCCCGTAGGTGTCACCAGTACTTCGGCAAATAAGACTTTTCTCCAGCTAACGTCTCAAGAACGACCCTCATCAGAATACCGTCCTCACATAGATATGAATGACATCCGTCCAATAGGTGAGCGAAAGTTAAGAAAACGAAGTCCAAAACAGCCGGAGTTCGCGCCTCTATGGCATCAGCACCTCGACTACATTGCCCTCAACAGACGAGTATGGCAGTGTCACACATCGTGTCCATTTAATGGCAACGCGCAAAAGTACAGTGGTGAAGTCGTGTGTGCTGCAGTCGATATAGTGCTTGTACCTTCTCATGGCCAACTGACCGCACCCTCCAATCGTCACTACGGGCACATCGTCCATGCAAGTCTTCAACCATCCAAGTGAGCGCGAGAACCAGTCGTACCTCCAATCGCGGCTCGATTGTGACTACATGAGGGAGAATAAGATCGAGAGTAGTGGTGACGGTACTGGTGGGGCGCTAGAACGGGTATGCAAGCATCTCATGGACCAGTGCAGAAATGATAAAAATGACAAAACAGTCTTTTTCCTTTCGAGATTTACTTCTGGCTTCCGATAGTCATTACGACGGCGGCCTGGATAGAAACCAGGTATATTGCATGTGACAGGAATGCAGGGGAAGAAAAGCAGTAGAGGTATCTTGCGTTGCGACGTAGGACTTGACACGTGCTCTGGACATGGCTTGAACGCCTTATTGACCTATGTCGCATCTTGCACGCTCATTCCTCAGATTCCCTTTCCCTGACTCTGACCCTCTCTGTGCATCTGACAAGAACTTGAAGAAGTATGAGACTATGAATGCAACTTCCTGTCCTGTTTACTTTCATTTAAGTATTCGGTTTGGGTGCATTATTTATTTACATTTGTTGACAGTCGCGTCGTGGCTCATTCGCGTTGTTGGTTTCTGTTCCCAACTTTCTTGACCTCCATGCATCACTGTATTGTCACTCACTCACATTGTCTCAACTTGTCTACTTGTCAATTTGAAAAACAAAAATACAAGGTGCAACAGTATCTCATATTCCTCTTACTGAAGTCTTTCTATAACGAAAATGATAGATTTGGAGCTAAGGAGAAACAGGATGGCGAGTGCTTGATTTTCCAACCCTAACTGACAATATTTGTACTGCATTTCTTAGACGTTACCTCTATCTGAGCTTTGTTTGTAAGGGTTAAGATATCTTATGACTGACCTCTGAATTGCCTTGTGGTTCTGGTACATGAAGACCTCGGCACTGTGTCTTGGCATCTAAAACCTCACTCCTAGCAACACTTGTACTACACTCTCAACTCAGTTTTCTCATCTTTTTTTTTTCACACAATTCAGTTCTCTATTTCTTTGGAATTGCAGAAATGGTTACTGCTACTACTGTTCATAAACCACATGACGTCTCCCGGACGCTCAACTGCTTCACACCTACAGACGGAGCACTGTATAACCACTTGTGGTATTTTGACTCTCCCGAAGACAAGCCGAAGAGTAACGTCGGTCATGAGCTACACCCAGCTATCATACGTGTAAAGAAAAGAAAATCCTATCATGCTTGATAGGACGGGCTTCCAGTTTGTAAAGTTTCAGAGCAGCGATACGGAGTTCATCGAAGAGGAAAGGGTTAAAAATGTGTATGATAAGGTAATGCAGGGGTTAATAAAAGCTACGAGTACGAACAGGGTTTTCATTTCTGATCATATCACCAGTACTTACCTCCTTTTTTTAAAAGAACTATTTGATCTTCCTAATGGTATTTTTGCAGTCGCAAATACAATTAGTCAATTAGTACGCAAAAGACGCAACGCAGATCAGCACTGCCTGTACATGTCGACCAAACATGCAAGGCCTCCATCGCGCGCGTGTACTATCACCTTGGTGTGGACGCAGAACATCTTGTCAAAGGCAGAGTCCGCATCATCAACGTTTGACGTCTAATTGACGCTCCCGTCGCACATTACCCACCCGCGCGGTAAACGTCGAGCATGACCTCGTGCATACTAAGCTCATCTACCCCGATCGTGGAGGCGGGGCCTTTTCTGTCAAATACAATCCGGAGCTGCCGTGTTTTTAGCAGAGGAGGATCGATTAAGTGCTTTGATTCGGATGAAGATATAATGAGATTGACTCTGTATGCTGCTTTTGTGGATTTGTCTAACTTGGCTGACGCCCTGAAGAGGCAGTCGATTGGTGTTAAGATGCTGGTATTTGACGAGGAATGAATGTCATATCAGTGAAACATAGGTTCTATATGGGCGCCTGGCTTTCTTAATGCCAGTTCCTTCCCATCCTATGACCTTCATATGTGGACTTGCTGAATGAAGTTTCATCAAGCCTTGTATACACTCGTGTAAGTGCTGTGCACCTTGCATTCAGTTTGGAGTAAAAGGTGAAATTGTTACCGTCGATTTTGTAATTAATAAATAAATTTCAATCAAGGGCACAAATATTCAGAAGGAGCTTGGGAATGCAGCAAATATTCTTCGGTTTGAATTGTGATGTACAGGTGTGCTTTCTGCTGTTAATACCTAGCTTTTGTGCATGCAAAAACGTGGATCCTTCCTAGATAGTTATGTAATATATCCTTATCCCATCTTTGTCGTTCAACCACAAATAGTCTTCTCCATCAAACACTAATATCACAGCTGTAACGTGTTCCCAGCATGCACAGCGAGCATAAAAGCACTTGCCTTCTGTCCTCAACCTCAGCACTGCACCCAAGGCTCGACCCAAAGAACCAGCATCTACTACAGATACTGTCCCCTGCAGTGGGCCTGCCGGCGCCGCACCGACAGATTCACTGTAACATCGATTGTTTACCCATTCCTTGTGGGTCAGTCTCTTCTTCTCACACGTTCTAGTCCAAGTTGTAACAGAGTAAACCATTGAGCCAGGAGAATCTTTTGTACAGAATACAGCCGTTAAAACGACCAGGCTTCAAGGACAAAGCAGCATTTCAGGTAACAGATAGTACCTAGTGGCTTGCTTTCTGCCTTCTGAATGAACGCACAGGCCCACCAAGAATACTAGCATCACTGACAAACAGCTCTACAACCCTGTCAACATGGAGTACTATGTGGACCTCGAATCGATTTGTCGGGCACTCTTTGACCTGGCCCTTAAACACTCGGAGCACTGGCAGGAATCGTTAAAACGAGGAGAACTTGACGAGTCCGTTTCCCTTTATCGCATTGCCGTCTCGTTATACTCTGAAAGGCATCCAAATCTCGGCAATGCACTGAACAACCTTGCAACTGTTCTTACTGTACGATTCGTGCTATACGAGCACATAGAAGATCTGGAGGAAGCAATTGATCGTTGTCATGCTGCCCTGGAACTTTACCCCGACGGCCATCCCGATCGTTCCGGGCCCCATTCTCTCCTTGCGAATGCTCTTCAAACTCGATTTAAAAAGCAAGGACAGGCTGCTGATCTCGATGAGGCCATCAGCCATCATCGTGCTGCTCTCGAGCTTCACCCCGACGGCCATTCCAAACGTTCGACATCTCTTAGTAAACTCGCAAGCGCCCTTGAGACTCGATTTCGACAGCAAGGACAGACCGCAGATCTTGATGAGGCTATCAGCCACCATCGCGTTGCCCTCGAGCTTCACCCCGACGACCATCCAGATCGTTTCAAGTCTCTCAATAACCTTGCGAGCACCCTTGAGACTCGATTTCAACAGCAAGGACAGACCGCAGATCTTGATGAGGCTATCAGCCATCATCGTGTTGCACTCGAACTTTGCCCCTGCGGCCATTCCAAACGTTCGACATCTCTTAATAACCTTGCAAACGCCCTTATAACTCGATTTCATCAGCATGGCCAGACAGCAGATGTTGATGAGGCCATCAATTATCATCGTAATGCTCTCGAGCTTCACCCCGACGGCCATCCAGGTCGTTTCGTGTCTCTCAATAACCTGGCAAGTGCCCTTGAGACTCGATTTCGACAGCAAGGACAGACTGTAGATCTTGATGAAGTCATCAGCCATCATCGCGCTGCTTTCGAGCTTCTCACCGACGGCCATCCTCATTCTTCCGCGTCTCTTAATAACCTTGCAATGGCCCTTCAAGTTCGATTCGATCAGCACGGAGAGACTGCCGACCTTGATGAGGCCATCATGAAGCATCGTGGTGCTCTTGAGCTTCGTCCCGATGGTCATCCCAAACGTTCCACATCGCTTAATAACCTTGCAATGACCCTTCAGACTCGATTTGATCAGTATGGACAAACTGCCGACCTTGACGAGGCAATCAGGCATCACCATGCTGCTCTTGAGCTTCGCCCCAATGGCCATCCTGATCGTTCCATGTCTCTTAATAACCTTGCGAGTGCTCTTCAAACTCGATTCAATCAGCATGGACAGGCTGCAGATCTTGATGAGGCTATCAGGCATCATCATGCTACTCTCAAGCTTCGCCCCAATGGCCATCCCAATCGTTTCATGTCACTCGTTAACCTTGCGAGTGCTCTCCAAACTCGATTTGGACAATATGGTCAGGATTCAGATCTTGATGAGGCCATCAACCATCATCGTGCTGCTCTCAAGCTTCATTCCAACAGCCATCCCAATCATTCCATGTCTCTTAATAACCTTGCAAACGCTCTTCAAACTCGCTTTGAACAGCACGGACAGACTACAGATCTTGATGAGGCTATCCGTCACCATCATGCTGCTCTCGAGCTTCGCCCCAACAGCCATCCTGATCGTTTCATGTCTCTTAATAATCTTGCAAATGCACTTCAGAATCGATTTCGTCAGCAAGGACAGACTGCAGACCTTGACGAGGCTATCAGACATTGTCGTGATGCTCTCAAGTTTTGCCCTAATAGCCATCCCAGCCATTTCATGTCTCTTAATAACCTTGCAACTGCCCTTCAAAGTCGATTTCTACAGCAAGGACAGACTACAGACATTGATGAGGCCATCAGCCACCATCGTGCTGCTCTCGAGCTTCATCCTGACAGTCATCCCAGTCGTCCCATCTTCCTAAGTACCCTTGCAAGCGCTCTTCAAAATCGTTTCAAACAATGTGGGCAGACTGCAGACCTCGATGAGGCCATCAGCCACCATCGTGCCGCTCTCGAGCTTCGCCCCGACGGCAATCCCCATCGTTCCACATCTCTTAGTAGCCTTGCGAGTGCCCTTAATGCTCGATTCAGTCAGCATGGCCAGACAGCGGACCTTGATGAGGCCATCGGGCATCATCGTGCTGCTCTCGAGCTTCGCCACAACACACATCCTGATCGTGCCATGTCTCTTAATGACCTTGCAACCACGCTTCAGAATCGATTTCGACAGTATGGACAGACTGCAGACCTTGATGAGGCTATCAGCCATCACCGTGCTGCTCTTAAGCTTCGTCCCGACACTCATCCTGATCATTCTATGTCTCTTGTTAACCTTGCGAGTGACCTTGTTGCTCGATTCGATCAACATGGCCAGACTGCAGACCTTGACGAGGTAATCGTGTATTACCGTGCTGCTTTCGAGCTTCTCCCCAATGGCCATCCTAATTCTTCCACGTCTCTTAATAACCTTGCAGGTAGCCTTCAGATTCGATTTGAACGACATAGGCAGATTGCAGACCTTGACGAGGCCATCAAGCATCATCGTACTGCTCTGGAACTTTGCGCCAATGACCATCCCAATAATTTGGCGTTTCTTAATAACCTTGCAGTATCTCTTCAAACACGGTTTGAACAGGATGGACAGTCTGAAGACATTGATGAGGCCATTAACCATCATTGTACTGCCCTACAACTTTGTCCAGAAGGCCATCCTGATCATTCTATTGTCCTGAGGAATTTAGGCCTGTCATTATTCTCGCGATTCAAGAAGTTCGGACTCATGGACAATTTCGAGGAGTGTATGCAATTGCTCGAGCGTGCTACTATGCATACATTTTCGAGCTCGGTGATACGTCTCAAGACCGCCAATCAATGGACCGAGCTTGCGCGACGTCATTCGCACCATACTACGTCCAAGGCTTACAGGGTAGCAATGTTGCTTCTACAACGTGCTCTCATTGTCAGTCCCACTCTTCATGCACAACACGACTTCCTTGGCCAGAGAGACTACTACGGGACGCTCACATGCAATGCAGCAGCGTATGCTGTGGAAGGGAATAGGCTCGAAGAAGCTATAGAAATTCTTGAGCAAGGGAGGGGATTACTCTGGGCGCAGATGCGTGGTTTAAGATCGCCTTTAGATCGCCTTGCGGAAACAAATAGACAGCTTGCTGACAGGTTCAGGGATGTTAGTCGCCAATTGGAAAACCTTGCAACGTCATCCATTGCGCTGCATTCTGATTCAAGCGTCACTGGAAACGAGTCATCTGTATTGGACGTACATGGAGAACGGAAATTATTTGATGAGAGGCTGATGCTGAAGAGGCAACTCTCCTACGAACAAGAGGAGACCATCAACGAAATACGGCGAATTCCTGGGTTTGATAACTTTCTTGCGGCAACACCGTTTAAGTTGCTCCGGCAAGCCGCTTCAGAGGGTCCGGTGATTGTGATCAACCATTGCAGTTATCGATGCGATGTGCTCATCATTCTCCCCCGTGAAGACCAGTCAGTAGCCTGTATTGCTTTAGATGGGAAATTCTACAAGGACAGCATTACTCTGTGCAGCGAGTTCGTAGGAACTCGCCTAAAGTATGGAGCTAACTCAACAGAATATGACCAGATACTCCGCCGAACGATGAAGATGTCGTGGGATAGGGTTGTCTCCAAGGTCGTCGACAAACTAATCGAGCTTGGGATTTCCGAAGGATCGCGCGTTTGGTGGTGCCCTACGTCTATACTATCTTCCCTTCCCTTCCATGCTGCAGGTCCGTTCGAGGATACAGACGACACCACGAAGTACCTATTGGACAAGTACATCTCGTCGTATACACCGACACTTGGGGCACTCGTCGATGCACAATCGCCATTTAGAAGCAGAGAAGAATCAATTGCTCTTGTTATTAGGGATACTTCACTTCCATCGGCTAGGGAAGAAGTGCGCAAGATAAAGAATTGTGGCATACAGACCAAATTGCTTAACAGCAAGGCATCTCATGATACCATGATAAAAGAACTTCGAGAAAGTACATGGGTACATTTTGTCTGCCATGGAGGCTTAGATTCAAAGCCTTTCAATTCGGCTTTCAAGGTGTCCGACCGCGGGTTGACTTTACTCGACATTGTCCAAGCAAATCTTCCGAATGCCGAGTTCGCATTTCTTTCTGCTTGCCATACTGCTGAACAGCCTCCCGATGTCGCATTTGATGAAGTGCTTCACCTGGCCGCAGCAATGCAGTTCTCCGGGTTTCGAAGCGTGATTGGGTCGATGTGGGAGTTACTCGATACAGATGGGCCATTTTTCGCCAAGACGGTGTACGAGTACATGTGCAACTGCGACGAGGGCGAGGAGAAATACAAGCGTGCGGCTGCTGGACTTCGTAAAGCAGCTATAGAACTCAAAGAACGGGCTGACATTCGGGCTGAGAGATGGGTCAACTTGATTCACATAGGCGCTTGATTGGCTCTAATAGATTTCTGTACGTATTATATATGTCCCTATTGTTTGGTATATGCTGACTCGGAAGCATCATAGATGTATAACACTATTTATTGTATGGGCGTTATATAAACCCGACTGGTTTCATTTGTATATCAGACAACAAGCATACGTGATGTATTAATTAGAGGAACTATGGTTGCAAAGCTTATTTCCTAATACTTGGACACATTATATATTTATGATATTGATTTTATTTGGCATAACACAAGGAATGTTATTCCTACATACAATTACAACATCAGAGATAAGATCAAGCCACCCTGCCATCTAGAATTAATATCTGTAACAGATTCTATGCAGATATCTGGTAGAATGAACTGCATTATTTTTAATAGTATATGGGTAACAGTGAAGCAAGGATCTCTCCTTGACGAGAAATGGATACACTGAACTTTCGGATTTTCTTCGTCGAAACTGATAGCTTCGATGAAGAGTCAAGGATTCAAGTTAGCAGTGTTGTTCAAAGTATTATTTATTTTGGTCGAGAGATCGGGATCAACATGGACCAACTAACATAAGTTAAAAGTTTGTCTTGATGGTTTCATTGACAGAGACAACCGTAACGTAACGTTACTTTACTGTAATAGCTCAAGACAAAGTAACAAGTAAAAAATAGCATTCACCCCATCAGCAACTCTTTAGCTCGGCAAGTCACGAATATCAGACGTATTTCAGATTGAAAAAGGACCTACGCAAGGAAAGAAATAAAGGATAGAAATTTCGATCGAGGAGAAAGAAAAAAATAACAGACAGCAGAGCAACTCAAATTTTTCTTTTTAGTAAAAGTACGAAGAGATAAGGAAAGTAAATTGGAAAAGAAAGCGGTGGACATGAGACTAATGAATTCCCAATGGCTTTCCGACATTTTTTTTCTACACAGCAATCTCAGCCTGCATAGGCGCGACGGTTCCTCCCCTTGCAGCGGTAGGCGTGAATGTGTGCCAGCGATCGTTAAAGCGCACATCTACGACAACAACCGAAGCGACTTCATAAGTAATTGCGTTCTAAATGAGAGGGAAGATGAGATACCAACCTAGAGGACGTCCACCATACATGTATTGCTGGAACTTGGCTATGAACGGATTAATCATATCAGCAATTCGAATTATATTATCGCGGAACGTAAAGTAGCGCCTACCGATGGCTGTTTCTGCCTCTGCAACCTGTGCGAATTGTACGACGCCTGCTCCTTTCGAGCGAGACCCGTCGTACAGGATCTCCGCTAGCTCAACAGTTCCAGTCGTCTCGAACAATTCAACGAGATCCTCGTTCGCAGTAGACCATGGCAACTGAAAAGTGAAATAATCAATACCGCCAGACGAAACAGACAACCACCATAGTTAATGAATACTTAATGAATTTCAACTTACATTGCGAACCATAATCTGCTGACTCGGCTCCGTAGCAAATTCACTACTGTATCTGCCAGTAAACACCTGTCCCGTTGCATAGCTAGCAGCAGCAGGCACGGAGGTTTGTTGGTCCGGTCCAGCGTAATCGCGATAGATATCTTGATTGAACGAGCGCTCTTCGCTGGTTCCCCCGGCGCTGGCCCCGCTACCACCGCTATAACCTCCACGGTGCCCACCGCGCAAGCCGCCACCACGGAAACCACCTCTGAAACCGCCCCGAAGCCCGCCACGGTAGCTACCTGGACCAGAAAGGCCAGCGTAACGGTCCTAAGGTAGAACTTATCAGATACTGTAATATTGAACAATTCCGGAATTCCTTACCTCACGAACTTCCAGAACACGGCCGTACCATTCATAATTGTTGTACATGGCTATAAAATTTCCAGTCAATTTCATCCTTAGCTGAGATATCGAGTCTACATACTAATCGCCTGCTGTGCATCTTTTGGTGTCTCGAAAATCACGGTGCCGGAACCTTTTGCGCGCCCATCAGCACCGATATTAATGTCTGCCCTCACAATGTTTCCAGCGGTGCGGAACAAATCTTTAAGGTCTTGCCAACCAGCTTGATACGGCAACTTCATGTAGAAAACATGGTTTAGCACACATGCAGGGAATGCAGAGCCGAGGGAAATAACATACATTACCGACGTAAAGCTGGTTTCCCGGGTTTCCTCCGCCTCCACCTCCACCCCCACCTCCACTTCCTCCATAGCGTGGAGGAGGTTGAGCGTTGAATCCTTGTCCCGCCATGGCCATACCGATCTTACCAGGAACGGGTGTTGCGCCAAACCTAGCTTCAGTTTCGCGATCCTAAGGAACATTAGAAAACATATGAAAGAAAAGGAACATCGGGTTGAGTCGTACATACCTCTCTAATGAAAACAGGTCTACCCAGCAGCGGGACCTCAGATAGCTCGCGAATTGCCCGTTGCGCATCTTCCTGCGTCGCAAATTCCACAATGCTGAAGAATATTCAAAATTTAGTAAAGGTTATTTCATGCGGGCAAAATGCACCTACCCGCATCCTTTTGAAATGCCTGTAGGTGTCACCAATACTTCGGCAAATAGGACTTCTCCAGCTAATACCCCAAGAAAAACCCTCATCAGAATACCATCCTCTCACAACTTTCAACGATACCCATCCAATAGGCGAGCGAAAATAAGAAAACGAAGTCGGAAATAGGCCGGAGTCCGCGCATCTACTGCATCAGCATCTCCCCTACATCGCCCTCAACAAATGGCTCTGGTAGCATCACGCAACGTGTCCATAAAGGACGAAGCGCGAAAAAAAAGGACGGTGGCGACGTAAATCACGCATGTCAACTCGGTGTAGTGCTTATGCCTTCTCTCGGCCCACTAACCGCACCCTCCAATCATCAGCACTGACGCCTTTTCCATGCAAAGCCTTCGGCCAGCATAACCACCAATACCAAAACCACTAACACAGCGGACGCCATCACAATGAAGAAAACCAAAAACAACAGCACGACAACAATCGACATGAAATTCCCCAAACCCACCTCCCCTCATAAATTCCATCAGGTCGCGGTAGCGAACATCGTAGGACAAGTTGCCGACGTACACGCGGTTCTCGCGCTTGCTGTGCTTGGACATCTCGAGTGCTTCGTCGGGGTCGGCATTGATCGGACCGCCGAGTGAGCGAGCGAACTGGTCGAGCTTTCGGTCGCGGTCCCGACTGCGACTACGGGAGCGAGAATAAGAACGAGAGTAGCGGCGAGACTGCCGGCGAGATACGGACCGACGACGAGGCGAGCGAGAACGGCTGCGCGAGCGTCTCTTAGCTCGGCGCTAAAGTAACTGCCATGAGAAAACGTAGTCAATCGTAGAGTTCTTTTTTATAATATTCACCTCTGGCTCCCAATGATCATTACGGCGACGGGCTGGAAAGAATCCATGTTCATCAATATTGAGTATGTCACAGAAATAAGACAGAAAGGCAGAGGAAGAAAAGCAGTAGAGTGCATCATTTCGTGTTGCGACATAGTCTCACTTCATACGACTTGATGCGTGCTTAAAGACTAGGGCATAAACGCCTTACTGACCTATGTCGCGCCTTGCACGCTCATCCCTGTCTCTCTCTCTGCTCCTGTCCCTGTCTCTATCACGTCTATCGCGACTTCTGTCGCGCCTGTCTCGGTCCCTACCGTTCAACTTATCATCAAGGTCTTCCTTATTCTTCATGTCGACATCCATTTTGATCCCGTTAGTTTCTCTTTGGCAAGTTTCTGTCGTCAGTCTAGAGTTATTCGAGAGCGTCAGCAAGGAGAAAGAGAAAGAAGATGAGCGCTGAAAGAGAGTCGGGTTGAGCGTCTGTTGTCGTGTTGCGGCGCAAATTTCTGAATCTGGAGTTACGCGTGACTGTCTGTATCGTTATGTAATAATACGCCACAAAGCGAAATTCGTGACTTGCTTCCTGTCTGTTCGCCACTGAGTCTAACACTCGTTTAGAAAGAAACGAGAACCAAATAAGTTCTCCTAGGATATGACTCAATGTATTCTATCTACACAAGGCCTGTAGAAAAGTATGAGCCTGCTGTTACTTTATCATGCAAGTTTACAAAGAGGGTGTAGTCGAGCAGTTGATACACTTAAGTAACTGCTAAAAGAAAAAACAGTTGTAAACATCGGGAAAAAGTCTAAATTCTTGTATTACCTTATAATGGTATAAAATAAGTGAAAAAAGTAAAAAAGTAAAAACACTTAGAACGGATCTCGGTTTCTGAGAAAGTGATACAAGACATTATAAAGTCTGGAAGGTTTGTGTATTTTGTAAACATAAATAAGAGTTATTCTCCTTGACAATATATAAAATGTATTACAATGGATCTCTAAAATTACAAGGTTAAATCACCCTTGTTGAGTATGGCAAATATTATAATCGTTTATAAAGCTCTTAAATTGTTTTAATATCTTTCCAATAGTCATTTTTCCTTACATCCGTTTGTTATTGAAATAACAGTTTATAATTATATTGAAACATTATATAAATACATTATATCTACAACAATTAGGGGTGAGACAGTTTGTGAGATTGATTGGCTAAGAGTGTGGGCGTGAGCATTGTCAGTGTGAGTGGGTAACTGGATTGAGGAGATGGATGAACCGGATGGCGTGTAGCAAGTGTGAGTGGTGCACTGGGGTTGAGATCCGGAGCGTTGAATGAGCTAATTTGAGCTGCATCTGTACGTGCACACTGCATACTCTGACTACGTTTCGCAATCGGAGGTGCGGTGAACTGAACCGTTGACCGAGGGGTGTATTCCCGGGGCGTTCTGGCCTAAAGGGAGAGCTGCACCTGTGAGACAGGTTTAGGGTGATTAGCAAGTGGCAACAAGCAAGAAAAGATGGACGCACCGTGGCAGCGTGCAGCGAGTGTGAGTGGTGCATGCAGATCGAGATGCGGAGCGTTGGACAAGCTGATTCAGACTGCAGACAAAATCCTGTCTGTGCGCGTGCGCTCTATTGTCTATCTACAGCGTCCAATGGGGGGTGCAGTAAACTGAGACATTGATTGCAAGGTGTATCTCCAGGACATTCTGGCTTGAAGGGAGAAGGCAATGTACAAAGTGTGGACGGACTCGGCTCAGGAGGGGTGAGCAGTGGACACTGCTTCCGTTATTCGAAATGGTGTCATGGACGGCACTGGGGAATGTAAAGGCATGCAGTGTGAGTCCATCGAGGATGTCAAGCATAGAATGGTGGGTGGGGAAGGAGAGTACGCACGGGGTCGGAGAGAGGATTGTGCCTTGGGAGTGATCCGACATGGACATTGTCGCGAGCGTGCTCGCATGTGCTCGTCGATTGTTGCTTGCGCTGCAGAGCAGGAAGAAGAACGTGAATACATGGAATTATTGAAGAACTCGTTCGGCATTGGTCAACAATGCGGAAGTGCGAATGCGAATGCAAAAAGGAAGGCAAGCATAAAACAAGAAGGACAACGGAGGAGAGGCAACGCAAGCGGCGGAGCAAGGAGTGGGAGGGATGGGAGGGATGAAAGACAAAAAGTTGGGAGGAGATGGATGAGCAACTATTGTGCAGGTTATTGTGAAGTGGACTGGCTGCTTACGCTTTATGTTGAAGGACAGTGTAGTCAGCTCAGTGGCATCATCGCGCGATCTGAGGCTCAGCGCGGGCATCGCAACAGCAGATTGGAGAGACAAGTACAGTGATGTTTATTGCCTATGTTGTAGCAGGCGGAGTGCCCGCTGGTAGGACGCTTGCGAGCAGAGGACTTTACTAGAGAGAACAGAAGCGACGACATAGCGTTGGGGGCAGAGGGTTGGGGAGATGGTGAAGGTAGGAGTAAAGGAGTGACAAAGAGAAATGCGTCATTATATGCTCTCGATCTTCAGCAGTTGATTACATAAGCAACTATAATATGAGTCGTCAACTGATAGAACATTTCAATTATTGTATTTAGGTATAAAATAAATAATTGATCTACTTTGTAATATAGTAAAAAGTAATATGACAAGTATATAGCTTTCTAAACACACTTATGTAATTATTACAAGTAGATGAAATAACTTTTACAAATATTGTAAACTATTTGTATAGATAGTCTAAGTATAATATACATATTATATACTTATAGTATACTTTTATTAAGATAATAATAATATAACAAGTGCTCTTACACTAATATATATATTAATATACCTTTTACATAAATTATAAGGCAACAATAGTTATTGTTACATTATTCTATTATAAATATAATTCTTTCTTTGAAATTATAATAAAAATGTAATGCAAGCATAATACTTAGTACTATTATACAAAGTTAGTATAATACTTGTAATAGATTGTATTCATTCATAACACTTACTTAGCCTTTATATACATTAACATGTCTTATACAAACTTTACAATTGATTTGCAAGTCTTGTAATTACTTTACAATATACATACAATACTTATGTTACTTTACAAAGTCTAAAATATATTATAAGAAATGTGACTTTTTCCTGATGAAGGAATTGTAAAGTACCTGATAGATACAGGGTATGCAAGTTAAGACTGTCTCAAGTTGGTGAAGGCCAGAATAATGAATGTCTCAAGATCCCTCAACACAATTTTTGCCCTCTAGTACAAGTTGATTCTCAAATCAACAAACAAACAAAGGAAAGGAGAATAAGATACAGAGAAAGAAGTCGAGTCACACAGCAAAAATCCTCATAGTTTAAAAATCGGTAGGGTATATAATACGTATATATCAGAAAGAAAAGAACGAGCGAAAGAAGTTACTGTATATACACACAACGATTAACTATCTAGCATACTTTTTTTAAGTCCAGTCTCCATATGTTCAGTAATAAAAAAATGTGAAAAAAGCAAGGTCCTCTAAAGAAAGCTAAGGTCTTGAAATGTTTGTTTAATGACCTGAGCAGTGTAAGGTTTATGGGATGGGCACGTAGGCAGAAAGAAAAAGAAAAAAATAGGGTAATTATTTTTGAAAAAAGAAAGACAATTACGCAGAACGTAGAGTGACCGGAACGTTTTCCGTACGCGGGACGACGACAAGGCCGGTCATAATCGCAGAGGTTGCAAGAACGAACGCACATCCAGCGAAAACGTATAGACGTGCGGAGGAGACGCCCGTCATGAGCGCTGTAACGACGAATACGTTCAACGGAACACGGAAGAGAGACGAAAGCTGTACAAACAAATAAACGTCAAATTACAACCACCTCTAACAATCGAGAAAGGAAAGAAGAAACAAGCATACCGTGGCGCGGTGGTCATTCGAAATAAGCGATCCCCGGAGCATACCCTGCACAGGATAATACACCCCCACACAAGCCTCAAACAAACAAAACGCCCAAAACCGGTACCTCACATCCGCAGTAGTAACACTAACTGCAAGGGCCATCGCACCAAGCGTACACACAAGCGAACTCAGCTTTGCGTGTAGCGTAAGGCTGTTATCAGATGCATCGTTGCCGCTGCTGCTGGCTTTGAGATTCGGTGAGTTACTTGGAGTAATGGCGAGCGATGCTGCGGCGGTGTAGAAGAGGGAGCCGAGCATCATGGAGACCATGTATGCGGAGAAAATGTAGCCTAGGGGAAGGACTTCGTCGGGACGGGAGGATTCTTGGAGTGCTGGGACCCAGGCGAAGACGAAGAGGTACATGGACCCTTCGAAGCATGTTTGAGTGAGGCCGAGAGTGAGGAGTGTGGGATCTGAATTTACGAGCTTAATAATATGTCGGGGTTTATAATGAAGTGTATATACGATTTCTTACCGTTCCGTACGATAGACCATGCTTGACCGAGCCGTTTAAGTTGAAATGGGTCCGAGTAGACTTCCTTGCCACCGCCATTGCCGAAGTTTTCGCCCCAAAGGGACTTAATAGCAACCCAACCGAGGACAAGCAGCATTCCGCTGGCAATGAAGGGTGCGGCGAAGGTCTCGAAAGTGCCAACAATTTTGTTGCTCACGATTCCCGCGGAAAATGCAACGAAGCCATTTACAAGTGTTGCTCGTCCAAAGATTGAGCTGAGCTCAGACTGCTCGACTCCCTGGTTATTCGCGGAGGAGACCAACCATGACTCAAATGCGGAAAAGAGGATGGACGTCGATATGCCTCCGAGGATACGCCCTGTGTAGAGTATAGGCAAGGAGTTGAAGAGGATTGCAACACACGATAGCGTGTAAGTCACGCAGAATGCTTGACAGATTCGTCTTCTTCCACTGCAAGTAAACGAAGCATAAGAAAACGCGAGGTGAAAACAACTACGTAAATGACGCACTGTTGATCTGCCCATGCGCCTACGATAGGTGCTGTGAGTCCACCAGACAAGAAGCCCGTAACGAAAAGGCTAGCAACGATGCGTTCGGGAAGGTCGTACTGTTCCCTGTACAGGGAGTAGACATACGGGCCCTGGAGCCAATCGGCGCCTAACGACGCGAATTTTCAGTTACGTCGAACCGCGTAAAAAAATCGCGCAGTGTCGCGCAGTGGGATTGCAGGATGATGCTCACACATAACGATGCCATATACGATGAGGTACTGCCGAGATAATGCGGAGGCTGAAGAGGAGCGTTTCCAGCCTAACGATCCGTTGGTGGTGCCATTTTCGGCTGCGTTTGCTGCTTGCGAAAGAGACTTGGCATGACCGCCTGGTTTTTCGTTCTTTTTGGCTGCTTGACGGCGTTCAAAAAGGACTGCTAGTATACAAAAAGCAGCAAGAACGGCTAGCTGGGTTTCGTAGAAGGAGTAAGTAGGCATGGCTGCCGGGACCGACTGCGCAGGGCTCGTGCTCGTGACGTGTCTGGTAAAAGTGACACGGACACGGACTGACAGCGCTCAGCGCTTATTCCGCAACGCAACTCAATCAACCTTTGTCGGTTACTAAGTCGGCCAGACACAAAATTCCACTTGCCGCAACCCGTTCGGACAAACATAACTTGCGTAAAACTACTCGACAAAAGCACGTCCGCTACTGCGATTGACTTCGACCACAGCATCTAGCTCTCCATCCACCCAAGAGTCTCATTAATCCAAACTGGCCTAGCCTAGGCACCCAACAAATATACTTCCTGGCGACTTCAGTGGCTATTTAGCGATTCCTTTTGCCGTCGCCCATCGTTCGCCGTGTTTCTCTAAATATGATTTATCACCCTCTTCATTTTTGCTTATCTCGTATCCTGCCCTTTGGCTAAGCACTGGCTCGACTCATCAGAATTGTCTCTCGGAGTTATGCACCGAATTTGCTAATAATTGCTATGCCTTGGTGTTATGCGCCGTTGCGGTCTCCCATTGAGGGAAAATGCAGACGCGGCTCGTGAAGCTCACGTGCTCCGTCTCGGACTGTCTCTCCGCGCCCCTGCAGTTTAGCATCGAGATGCTCGTCTTGAATGTTGATGCGCCTTTGGCATTTGACGGTCGCCTTGATACCCACGATCGGCTACCGCCCCCTTTGATCGTAAGCTTCCCTCTCCCTTCACCCGTCGGTAAGACCCACTCTTTTTGATCGGAACTCTCTCGGAGAGCCGCAACGCGAGATGTCACGATCGTCCCTCAGATCTCTCGACTTTCCTGAAGTTGAGGCCAACTTATGCTGTGTGTGTTCGACATATACTGGCCTTGTCAACTCAGTACAAGGACATTCACACAATCGGTAGTCTCGCGTGTACAAGTACAAATAATATTATCTCATGCGGGGGTACTCAGGCTCAGGATTGAACACGAGTTTTAGATTCTTGCTCGGCTATCCGGTCCCATCAATTCCACAGCGCAATGACCCTTTCGTTCTCGATCTCATGTCAAAACAAGTATATATACACGGCAGCATAATGCAGTGTGCCGCCCAACATAATCTCCTCTCATTCCTCGAGGCGCTTTTGTCAACCAACGTCGCTTGCCTGTCTCGTTCGTCTTAAACTTGACACTCAAGCTTTGTTGCATTCATCGCAATGGTGACGGATGTGCAGGTCGCTGGACCTTCGAGAGCTCCGACGTCCCGTTCTAATCGGCGCCCTTCGACTTCTCCGGACCACCGACGACGACCCGACAATATCAATAAAGCAGGACGCATTGGTGGAGCACCTGCCTCTGCTTCGTTTCTGAGGCTCGACACAGACGCGCCCGCGTTTGTGACTCAAAGAAGCGCGAGCGACCCTGTCATTCTGAACTCACCCGTGTCAAAGTGTCCTACAAGCTTTCTCCCGTGGAGCAGCCGATTTACAGGGTACGTTCACATTCACGACTTTTCCCACCAGTTAAATTGAACTCCCGTTATTTGTGTTTAACCAACCAGAAATGCAAATTCGACACCCTCATTGCCTCCTCGTGTTGGTTCAGAAATAGCACAATCTCCAGCTGCGAGTCCATCTGCAACTACATCTACATCTACATCTACATCTACCCCAGTTGCGCCATTGAATTTCAATCGACGACATCGCCGCAAGAGCCAGAGTATGACGAGGATTGAGACGGAGATGACGGATTACAAACGAGACGCGGCGCGCACCTTCGACGCGTCTGTGATGCACGTTCCTCAAGCACATTATCTGCAAGGGAGTATCGAACCCTGTATTACGCGACGTCAAAGTCTGCCTGATACTTCCCTGTCATCAGAGGCGGGGGATGGAAGTTTGAAACGCCTCCCGAGACCGCTACCCCCAGTACCTCGAGAGGTCTCCCGACCTGGCTCCCCAGCTTCGTCGATTTCTTCCTTCAGTTCTGCTAGTTGCCCTCGACCTCTGCCTACTCCTCCAAATCAGTCTCCTGCCAATGCGATCTCTCCAATCACTTTTACACCAGCTACTCCTCTAACGTCCCCGGACGACACGTTTCCTGTGCTCTCTACACCACCTCGTACGACTAAGAAGCTTCTCGTACCTCCGTGCTCACCACCCGAAACGGACCCGGCAAACGCAGCCCCGCTCTCCCCCCTCTCAATTATCACAGACCTCTCAAACATTTCCCGTGCGACGTCTGGTGTAAGTCCTCGCAGCCCGCGCGGAACAGGCCCTGCAGCACGCAAGCGTCACCAAATACACGCGTCCCCTTACAAATTAGCTCGTAACCCAACGCGTTTCAGCACAACTTCTCTTTCTTCTCAAATATCTGTCCCTCCCGTCCCACCAGCCGCAGAACTACGTCGACGGAACCGCGACAAGATGGCAAAGCTCATTCGCGTACTCGGTGAAAGTCCCCCCACCGAACTCGTATTCCCCACAGAATACGACGATCGTACCTCTTCCGATTTCGGAAAAGGAAAACGAGGAGGAAGAGGAAGAAGAGGGGGAAGGGAATCTACAGACACGATTAAGGAAGAACCCGCAGAGTTCCACGTTCCGAAAGTCCTAGAACCCTTACGTCGAAGTCTGAGCCTTAACGATTCGTCAAGTAGCGTCTTCGGCAAGATGAAGAAATCCCTCTCTGACCCTGATGCAGGTCACGGCGTCCGCGTACAGTCTCCCACGGCTCCAACCTCAACAACAACTTCCTCTCGCCTAAATCTCAATCCGCCTTCTTCGTTCCTCCGGTTACGAACGAAAAAAGGAAGAGCAGACATCGATAAAGCGCCTCGATACGTCGTTTCGTTATTCGGTACAGCTGAGTCAGGGGCTGCTTCGACGACGACGACGTCTGATGGAACCGGAACTGGGACTGGGACTGGGACTGAGAGGTTGACGTTCAAGTTGAATGCAGCTACGCCGAAGATGAAGCCTACAGGCTCGTATTTACGTGGAGCGTATAAGACGGATGCGAAACCTGTTGAGGTGAAACTTCCGCCTTTGCCTTTACCGACTATGAACCCGTCTCTTGATTCATTGGGTTCGAAGCATTGGATTAGGGAGACGGGGGAGAGCAGGTGGGAGGTTGATGATTATGAGAATGTTGTTATGAGTTTGAGGAAGTTGTGAGCTTGGTCTTTCTCTTCTCTGGAGTCCTTTTCTTGGTCCTGTGTCTTTGTTTTGCGAAGGAAATGCATCCCCTCCTAAGTCTTTGAATCTCTTCCTTTAATTCTTTTTTCCTCCTTTCCCTCGACGAACGAATTGACTTCACGTCTAACTTAACACTTGCTATTTATCATACGTTTCGCACTACTCTGTTTATCCTCCCGATATTGCAGTTCATACTTTGTCATTTCAGCCCTCCGCAAACTATGCATTTCACGTCTCTCCCTTATAACGATTATCTTATCCTATCTTTCTCTTCTTCCCCCACTCTGGCACTCTCGTTATTATCCTTGAAGTTTTCTATTTTTACTCCCCTCCCCCCTCTCCCCATCTTCCTCGCTCGCTGTCGCTCTCAAAGCAAAAAAATCTCGACGATCTTTGAAAGACGAACATGAACAGGCTCCTTCGGCATTGATTGTACGATGTTAACGTAACGGGTTTCTTCTCTACATTTCTTTTCCTGTGTTTTTTCCTGTGTTTTCCGTGTTTTCTGTCTAGCGTAAATACATGTATTCCTTGATGGAGTAGGAATTTCCATTATTAATATTATCACTTTCGTTTGGATGATCCGAGTTTGTTTGTCCAACAAAGATTAACGTTATGAAATTATAAAAAGAAAAGGCAGTAGTGACTCATCTCAGTCAGTTAGAAGCAAGAAAAAATCCATTTGTTTGGAAAAGGGGGCGAACATCAGTATCGACAATGGCCGCCAATCATCAAGCATGCGCAGTCTGAGAGAAAAAAGAACGCTAAGGAGTGTTTTTTTATTTTTAAATAGAGCCCGAGAGTAGAAGTAATCATCATCAACAGCGAATCAGTACATCAATTTTAATTTTTAAGGGACAAATAAATGTCAAAGGGTTGAGGAAGGGACAGTGAGTGCCACGAAGGACTTGTCTTGCGTCGTGGAATCATATCACCTCGGGATGCATGGGAAAGTGAAAGAATCTTTACTGTTTTGTCATATGTTTTGATGTGCACTGACATAAGGAGGAGGGATGTGTCCTCGAGAGAATATCTTGAAAGGGTCGACACCGCTTGGGATACAATGATGTTATCATGTTTCTGCAGTCTAGAGACATGATCTTCGCTGACTAGAACGCAACTCTGGTTAATGGATGAAGCGAGAGCGAAGTCTCAGATAAGTACTTGACTTGGAAACGAGAGACACCTCGAAGGAGATAACTTGCCGTTAACGACATCGAGGCAACTAGAGAAGAGAAGAGAAAATGTACCCGCTCCAAGAAATGATGAATAGTCTCGAAAGGGTCAACGTTGCTTGGGATACTACGTACTAACGAAACCTTCTCGAGCGAGCGCAACTCTGGTTTATGGATAAAGCGAGGTCTCAGATACTTGGAAACGAGACAACACTCAAAGGAGATAACTCACCGTCTGACCATCGTTTACTTCGAGCCTCTCAACGCACAACACAAAGGAAAAAGTAAAAAAAATGCACCCGCTCCAAAAATGATAATGAATGTCGTAGATCTATCTCTATATATCTCAGTATTAATCTATCTAGGTAGGTAAAAGGTTAACGGGCCAGTGCTGTGCGGGATGACGCATTTGATTTCGAGTCTCCAGTGTCTCCAGTGTAATGTAATGCAAGTCACTAGGAGACAAGACTCTAGTAACAGTAAGCACAGCAAGCAGGCAAGTCAAGAGTCAACCTCCATCAAAACAAGTCATAACAACGGGCTCTACACCCCTATCTGCGCAGTATAAAACTTACCCTGAGACGGCCGAGTCTGCATAATCAGGGTGTTTATGATCGGGTTCGGAGTGCGGGGTATAGGCCTTTTCGCCCGTGTGCTATTACGCGTTTATGTTGTCATAGGCTATGGATCATTAGACAGGCACAAAGGATACAAGGGAGGTTAAGCTGAGCGCAAAAGAAACTAAAGTGCTAATTCCACCGAGAGGACCTAGGCCTAGACGAGATAGCCAAGGCAATTTGAGTTAGTGATTTTATCTTGTACATATAAGTCCAAGTGTGTATGTGTACTTAAATTTTACCCCCGATGTCCTATACGAATATATCATGCACTGCAGGGACGGGACAGCGTCTAGCTATTGCACGGGGTGTTCGTGTAGGAAAAGCCTAGGTAGACGAATAACTTAACCCTGTCATCCTAAAGCCTCGAGGTCATCGTTATATATCATGAATTGTCTTTTTGAAATGAAATGACTGAAGTCGTGGTCGAATGGAGTATTGGTGGATCGGGGAGAGTTTGTTTGTTTGGAGGACTCACAGCATGTGTATGTAAATTCAAATTGGTCCCTTTGGTAAATCGCTTGTCTTTGGATTTTCTATTCCTATGTATGAATACTATTAGACGAAACGTTGCAATAAAGTCAAATTAGAGTATTTGTGTTTGGATACTCGATCGAAGGTGTTCTGTATTGTGTCCGTCCCCGAAATTATAATTTCATACCAGCCTGAGAGCGTCGGGGATATCAAACACGAGGACGGTTTGCATAGTCATGCAGGATGAAATCTACACGATGGTACAGGGGTAAGCCGGGTAAGCCACCCCGAGTTCCGTATCCTCATTTCATTTGACACTGCAGTTCTTCAGGTTCGGTGCTTCGGGGTGGTGGCGAAGGGTTAAGCCTCGAGGTAGCTGAGCTGAAGTCAGTCATGATTAGAACTGCTTGTCTTTCCGGCATGGCATCAATCATGAATTTACACAGATTCATGAAATGAAATATTTAAAATTAATCGCTCATTCAAATGGGGTTAAAGACGATATTTGATTATTTGACCTACTTTGGACGTTCCGAGTCCCGGCCGAGGATGGGAAGAACGAGGAGTCACAGAAGCAGCTTTGTTTAGACAATAAGACAAAGAAAACATGTTTCTTTGTTTGTGTAATGAGAAATGATGCGGTGAAAGCTTTGTGGTCTGGGAACCGAGTTGTGGTCGGGGAAAAACAAACTAAAGGAAGGCTATTTGGTGCTGTTTGGATAAGGTACGGTGGGCAGATCAGTGCATTAATGATTTTATGATCGGCCCGAGACTTCTTCGTGAGGGCCACTTTCCCGGTGTGGTGAGCGTAAATGAAAACGATAACTTCGGATAAGCTGTGCATTGGCTAACTTGGGAATCTGAAGTACAGAATAGCACACCGCTTTTACAGATTTATAACAGATATGATTGGAGGGGCAAACAGCTCGACGGCATACCCTCAGATGGAGTTGCTTTATTGACTTTATTCATGTAGCTCTTGGGACGAGTATGTGCTCGTCATCTTCTACTAGGCATCCGACTACAAGCTGATCGCTTTCTCGATAGCTTTTCCCAAGACCTCCGTCGTCCCTTTTCCACCCATATCAGGGGTCAATAAATCCTCACCCCCTTGCTTCAATCTATCCTGGGCATCACCGAGGACATTCTCTATGGCAGCTAGCACCGCTGCAGCTGCTTCCGTTTCGCCCAGATGCTCCAGCATCATCTGACCAGCCCATATCATACCTACAGGATTCGCTATGCCCTTTCCAGCGATATCCGGCGCGCTACCATGAACAGGCTCGAAAAGTGAGGGCATCCACTCCTTGTCTGAGCGCTTGGCGACCGGGTTCAGGTTCGCCGAAGGTGCGATCCCGATGGTGCCTGTACAAGCTGGTCCGAGATCGGAGAGGATGTCGCCGAAGAGGTTTGACCCGACGACGACGTCGAATATGTGCGGCCGCAAGACGAAATGTGCACAAAGGATGTCGATATGGTATTTATCTACCTTGATGTCTGGGTATTCTTTTGCGATTTCCGCGACTCGTTCGTCCCAATAGGGCATAGTGATACTAATTCCATTACTCTTCGTCGCGCTTGTAAGTTTCTTCGCAGGTCGTGCTCGTGCACGTTCAAACGCAAATCGTATAACCCGGTCGACTCCTACCCGAGTGAACACCGTATCCTGAATGACCGTCTCCCGCTCCGTGCCCTCAAATATCTTTCCACCAATAGAAGAGTACTCTCCCTCGGTGTTCTCTCGCACCGTCAAGAAATCAATTGACCCTGGTCTTGCATTTGCAAGCGGTGACGGCACCCCACGCATGAGGCGACACGGGCGTAAATTAATAAATTGATCAAATTCGCGACGGAAGCGGAGAAGGCTGCCCCACAATGAAATATGATCTGGGACGCGAGCTGGGTCACCGACTGCTCCGAAGTAAATTGCGTCGCATTGTTGGAGGAGTGACTTCCAATCGTCAGGTAGCATCTTGCCGTGCTTGAGGTAATAATCGCAGGACGCCCATTCGTAATGCCGGAAGTTTAGTGTGAAGCCGAAACGGCTGGCTGCAGCTTCGAGGCAACGTAAGGCAGGAGGAGTCACTTCGAGACCGATTCCATCTCCTGGTAGTACTGCAATTGTGTAGCTGCGCTTGTTACTATCATTGGTGGTATCAGTGGCCATGACTGTCGCCTGGTGAGAAGTGATTAAGGAGGCACATGAGTGAATACCGTCCGGCCCGAGAAGTCAGAAGCATTGCTGCAGTAAGTAACTTTAAGCTCAGTCGAGCCGGAAACTTCGCATAGACTCTCCAGTGCAGCACAGAGTGGACGGATTGAAAGAAATGGGCATCATGCACCAGGGAGCAAGAGTTAAGAAAGGAAAGCCCGCCTTCCATCAAAATCTGTTCATCGTGATTTTAGGATTTAATTCCCCCGAAAACATGCTTCCAACTTTCGAGACGAAAAGGCTGAGACCGAACCGACACGTAAAAAGCTCTCTCTTGCTCTCCTATTCCGTCGTCGTCGCCCAGTATCCGCAGCTCTGAGTGTAAAGCAGTGTGACAGCTAACACAGAGTCAGGTAAGTAAGAGCCATTGCAGTAAGCGGGAAAAGAAAAATGCTTATGACCTGATTTGGAAACGTAATGTAATGACGGACACGCAGCAGCGCGGTGCAGAACAGAACAGCAGCAAGCTCACATTTATTGGCAGCCTCTCTCTCTCTCTCTTCCTCCGTCTCTCCATCTCTCCCCATCATGGCCACTCTTACGCGCACTCGAGAGCTGTCGGCGCCGGCGCAGACAAATGCTCATTCACTCCTTGATTCACACATCCCTTCCCCATTCCCGTCCCAGGTGCTTGAGAGAGAACGAGAAGAGCAAGGCATTCTTGACGAGCTTGCGAATGAAGACCTCGATATGGACCCATTTGCTGACCAGATGGCAGATGATCAGGAGCTTCCAAGGATAGATACTATCGAGTGCAGTAGCCTGCAGAGTCAAACGGGCTCGCAGGAGCAGGAGGCGGAGAGTACAGCGGAGGTGAGTTTACAACTGCTATTTAGTTTATTATTTTCATTTCTTAACGTCATCCTGCCGTACACAGACGGAACTACTACCAACTCTAGCTCACGTTCAGCAATCGTGCTTAATGACTTTAAACAATTTACTCTCAGGCGTTCTGAACTCGGCGCCGAACTGGCAGCCTATTCTCCCTCCTCGCAGACACTCCATGCCCTCGCGCCCGGAGAACACCTCCGCTGACGAACCTTCATCTGCATTACAAACATTGCTTGCAAACTTACGCAACAGTGATTACAGTCAAATGTCCGAAGCTTCCTCCAGCTCCGCTGACGATTCGGTACTCATTTCCGAGTTGCAGAGGCGAGTAGAGACCTTGTCACACGAGCTCGCTCCTTCGGACGCACAGCTCTCCCGCGCGTTAATTTCTCTACTCGCACATGTCAATCGACTTGCCTCTATTGATCCCAAGCTGTTCGGCGCCCGAGCACCTAGTACGTCACTTGATGTACTGACGGTGCGCCCACAGTTTGATATCTATGACCAATTGTCCCGTCAAGTCCTGGACCTTCAAATTCAACGCCTAGATACGAATATTGATGGGCTCGTGCGCGATGTTACCCCGCAGCGTAAGGTGGAGATTGCGCTCTTATGGACCAAGATAGACCAAGAACTCGAAACTGTCTCCAACCTATGCCGACAGCGCAACGAATCGTTAGCTCCGGTTCCCTACAGCCCTGGCGGCCTTCCACCGGAGTACGACTACGACCATGAGGACGACGAATCGCTCCTTCCGCCAGAGTACGACCACGCATATAGTGCGCACTCAGCAACAGAGAAGGAGAAGAACCCGATACACTCGCATCAACACGTGCAAGGTTCCGATGTTGCGAACGAGAAGATACGGATGGACTTCGATGCTGTCACGATGGCGATCGACCGTTTGTATCTAGTGGCGCCGCAATTGCATAACCAGCGAGTTGAGCTTCGGAAGAGTAAGGTGGATGAATTGGAGCGTGCGAGGCTTGCGGGACCGTCTTTGTTACGGAATGCGGAACGCTTGGCAAAGGGGAAAGAGAAAGAGAAGGATGTCCGAGAGCTGGAGAAGATCTTCGACATGGTCGGCAAGGCCTCCAGTCGACGAATGGACGATCAGTCCGTTGATCTAGACCCTGATATGAAGACCCGTATTGAGAGATCAATACAGAGAGATAAAGCAAAGGTATTGTCCATCTCGCTTAACTCAACTTTCTTTTACTCAGAGCTATTTTAACTGACTTGACCCTGTGGTTGGCAGCGCGACGCCTTCGTCGAGCACCTCCTATCACATTCAAATTCGCGCAGGATTGATTCCCAGGATGCCACCTTCCAATCTGATCAAGTAAAGAGCGACGATGCGCTGCTTACGCTTCCTGAATTTATCCGAGAGAAGGTCCCTGAGGAGTTGCAACAGGAGCTTGAGCGTGATCCGGAGGCGTTATTGACGTTATCGGAGATTGTGAAGGAGCCTCCGCCTGCTAAGGCGCCAAAGGCTTCACCGTCGTCGGAAAACTTGAAGGGTTCGAAGAAACACTTCAAGGTTTTAACAACAAAAAGGAATAGGAGTCTTTCCGCCCCTCCCCTATCATGGCTGATCCCTTCCCTTAGCCGAACTCCCTCTTCATCCCGTCTCTCTCAATCTACTAACGACAGCTCTAGCGTCGCAAAACGTGCGCTCTTCCGTTGTTTATTGATTCTCTTGTAGTTACTAACGAGTCTGGACCACAGGACTTACTGTTCGGTATGTCGCAGAACATCACGAAAACCTAAACCACGTTCTCGTATTCATAGGCGTAGATGAGGGTATGAACCCTGGTGTAGACCTGGAAGCCGACGTTCTTCCAAGCGTTGGGGACCCAACTGTCGGAGACAAGTTGACCTTAAGATGTGGACCCAGCTCTTCCGCACCCCTCAGTCTACCAGTGTTAGTCCCCTCTGGAAAAGCAGCCATTCAAGTACAAGGCGGGCATTATGAGATTAAGTTCCCTCTCTCAGTACCCAGTCCTCGATCTTCCAACGTACCCACCAGCTCGCTCATGTACCGACGAGACGGATTCGAAGTCACCAACAGCGACCCATCTTACCCATCTCAACTCCTCGACGCAGCACAAGTAGCAGAGATGGACCCGACATCCTTCATCTGCGCTTCTTGTTCATCCGCGCTAGTCCAAGCTCAGGCACCACCAAGCCAAGGGGGGAAGTTATCTTACCTCGACTTGCCGTCGGAACATTGGGCGGAGTTGCTTGAAGCATGGATGTGTCATCCGGATCAGAAACTCGTGGATAGTATTGCGAGACATGGTAGGGGTTTCTGGCCGAAGCCTGGACAGGCTTTTGTTGGAGGGAGTTATTTCTTATTCGATGAGTCTGCGGTGTCTCGCTTGAACCTACGTGTTCTTGATCCTATCAAGGTAGGTCTATCTCCATCTAACTTCTCATCCTTCTTTCTCTTTGCTATTATTATTTTTGTTCGCGGACGGAAAGAAGGCCGACATTGGAATTTCTACCAATGGGCGACGTCTCTAACTGTGATACCATGGAGATGGAAGCCATCGAGAAGCCCAAGTAGGTTTCCTCTGGCTGAGGCCTTTCATGGCCCAGTTGGAGCGTCGTCAAGCTTTGCTTTCGGCTGATACAAAGCGTCCAATATTAAGCAGCGTATAGTTACGTTCTTGAGTTAACAACTCTCAGGTCTTGAGGTTAACTGTCTGGGAGCTACTCTTGAGGATACATTATTTTCATTTTCCATCTTTTCAATTTTTTTTAAATATTCATATTCGGCTTTATTTGTTTAAGGGGAAAGGCATGCTGATTATAACTTTGTTGTACAGGGAGACGAGTGGAAACGCGTACAGTGCATTTGCGGAGCCGTGATTGGGCGATGCCAATCTCACCCTGTAGAAGGCGACGAGTCTCAACAGTCAATGGTATATCGTATCCCGAAGTATGCGTTGCGGCCTGTAAGCTTGACTTCCGAGTAAGTACCACTTCCTCTCTTGTTCCTCCCTTATTGCAGAACTGTATGAGTCAATATATTGAATTTTAAAATGAATATCGCAGGCCTGTCCGCGTTCCACTCTCAGCGTTCATCTTGGAGGATATGCTAGAGCTCGTACGCGCACACGCTACGTATCGATTCGTCATTCTTGACGAAGAGGAGGAGCGGCCTAGGTTACTCGTACGTCTCAATCTCGTATCTCTCATCATCGGCAACATTCATAGGCTGATCCAATCGACGTGTACTTTCGTACATAGATATGGCTATTCAAACCCCATATGCATCTCTCATACGCAACGACAGCTCAATACGCTCTCCCACGTACAGGCTCCGTACACGCATCGAAAGTACTCTTCAAAATCCTCCAAGTCGGGTCAGAAGGTCAAGGTCAAAGTCAAGGAAACCTTCCACCCACTCCTCCTTCATCCGCAAGTAATATTGGTCTTAGTGGCCTTAGTGGGAGTAGTGGGAATAGTAAGAAATCCCCACCAAGTTCACCCCGCTCTCAACCATTCAACCTAGAGAGCATACTCCAAAAATATCCAGGCTTCCCACAGGCCGAGAGATTGTTATACCCGCTTGACGTGTGTCAGCGGTTGATGGCGTTGTTGAAGGAAAGTAATACGGCGTATCCGTTTGGTGTGAGGGTTATGACGGGGTTGTTGGCTGGGTGGTTGCAGCGAGTGTGAAAAATTAGTGGTTTGAGGTTGGTTGCAGAGATAGTGGTGTTTTGATTTGAGTTTTAAACCGTTTCTTGTGACACGCTGTTGTTTCTTGCTTTCCTGCTTTCAGTCATTTCTTGGTCATTTCTTCATTTTTTCCTCGTCATGCTTTCCTTTTCCTCTCTATAGTGTTTCGTTTTACGTAGATTGAAGATATCCGACTCGTGTATGCATTCGATTGACTACATAACCTGCACTCTCGCCCTCTCATCCTCTCATCCGCACTGTTCTTATCAATACCTTCCCTTGAGTCCTGTAACGTATTTCTGACACGTACAAAATTATTGTTTTCCTTGTTCTTGGTAAATATACGTATAATGACATAAAATATCTATTCAAATGACTAACACTGTTGTCCTTTGGCACAAGTAACAGTATTTCTACGAGGTGCTACGGAATTCACCGTCTAGTTTCTACTCTGTAGGTGAGACGAGTATTAGTAATAGTATGGAACCATAAAAGTAGGATGAAAGGGCCAAGTCGGATCAGATTTTGTGCCTGAGGTACAATTGGAACGAAGATCAATATGTCCATCCACTTATTTGGCAACATAAAACCCTTCTGGAAGGAGGAAAAGCAAGGTGGTCATAATTAGGAACAGCAACAAGGCGGGCCAGTAAGGCTGGAAGCTATGGATATGTAATATAAGATTAACCACATGCTTCGACATCGATCCAAAAGAAGGAGAAATTGAATTAAATATAGAATGAGTTGGGAGAATCCATTGGGTGCAATACAATTACATAAATACATTACAGATTCTTTTGAAACCCTATTCGTGAATCTCGTAACTCGGAATCCATTACCATTAAATTACGGTCAAGCTCAGCGGCTACTGTGGTATCATACTAAGTGCATCACACATGGGATCTGATAATTGGCGGTTTAGATAGCACGCCGTTTCATACCGACGCGACAACTCTTTGGCCTCATAATGAATCCTTCGAAGACCTCGACCTGTGATAATTTTACATTTAGGCATATCAGAGGTGCCGCATAAGGTGACTGGAGGCGGAGAAACGTACAGGGTTCTCTGGTTCTTCCAGCACAAATTCGTACCGACGGAAGATCGAAGAGATAAAAATTTGTAGCTCCACGTTAGCCAAGACGCGACCTGCACATGCTCTGAGAAATACAATATTATATTATTAGGTAAATTTAAGCAGCAGAAGAGTCGGTACATTTTAAATACCAACCTTAGTCCATATGAATATGCATTAAACACCTTCTGCATAGTTGACTTATCCCCTTCAAACCACCTCTCAGGTCGAAATGTGTCTGCATCTTCTCCCCATACCTCCTTATCCCGGTGGATAGTGTACGTCGGTACGCTTAGAACCGTTCCCTCCGGGAAGTGTTTCCCACAGACGGTGAGACCACTGGCGGGAACGACGCGCGGTAAGCCGAGGCCTACCATTGGATGCACGCGTAGTGCTTCATTGATTACTGCCTCCAGGTAGGGAAGATGGTTGATTTGTGAGTATGTCGAGACGGAGTCATCTGATGGGCTCGGTGCTCCCAGAGCGTCGTCTAGCTCTTTCTGGAGTTTGGCTTGTACGGGTGGGTTTGCGATGATTTGGTATAATACCGCACATGTGGGGCTGAGCAATGGAATGACGTATATCAGTTAGTCGTGATTCCAATACAGATCGAGAACTCGGGAATTCGCTTACTTCGCGACCATGTCGGACCCGGCAATGAGTAAAAGAAGTCCATCGGCCGACAGCTGTTCTTTACTTAGTGGTTTGCCTTCATCATCTTTCAACTCCAATAAAGCGCTAAGTAGACCCAATGGCTCCGTGGGGCGTGCCAAACGTTTTGAAATAGCGAGGGTGGCAAAACCCGCAAGATCTCCCACATCCCTGTTACCTCTCGCATACCACGGAAAAAGACTTGCGATTGGTCGCCACCACGGAGGTAAAACGCCCAGTGAAGCGATGACTGCACTTCGGCCGTTCATGAGTTCCATGGCCGGAGCCTCTTTCACGGCGCAAATCGGCTTCTCAGTGTCGTGACTGCCTGTGATGCTACTCTGTCCATATTGCGCTATGACAGCGCTAGGTTCTAGCGCGACGGGTACGGTGTCTGTACCCTTGTGGACCATGTTGAATGGGGCTCCAAGGACTAAATCACCTGTGGCGGGAAGAAAGGAATGAGCATGTGGAGTTGTTGAATTAGAGGGAAACAAACCAATGATGTCGAAGCACATGTAATACAACCATGGCAATGCGTCAAACCAAACGCGACCATCGCGTCCTTTCCACCCACCCTTGCCTGCGTTACCTGTCAAGCCTTGTTTGCCTCCGTCGCACAACTTGTCCCACTGTTCAAAGAGCTCAGTGACGTGGCTATGGACGCAAGGCTCGAATCCAAGGACGCTTTTCTGAGAAAAAATGGGAGCGACTAATTTTCTCTTCATTGAATGATCCTCGCGATCGCGTGTTGTTAGGACAGTATGGCGAATAGCTAGAAACGCATCGTAGTAGTCCGATTTCAGAGTTCCGCTTCCGTGGCCGTAGACAATGTGAAGTGCTTCTGGATCACTGATGGAGACGTGATTCGGTGCCAGCCGTACAAAAAGACCTGGAAATGATGAAAAGGAGGAAATGTAAGTGTGTTGAGGCTCAAATGAGGATTGTTTCGAAGCAATTTCCGTAAAATATACGAGTTGCTCACCATATTTCTTGTGCAGCTTGTGCACAACCACGGACCTATTCCCGTGTGCAGCGACCCATCCGAGCCATGCATCCGAGAATCTAGCAAAGAAAGGACCAGTAATCCCGTTTCTCCGAATGAAATGAGAATCAACGAGGTACGGCTGCAGATATACCACAGCGGCGACAGCTAGGGCAGATGCACAAAGCTGAGAAGTGTTGAGCTGAGCAAGCGCGTCAAGAATATTCGGCAGCATCACACTTTGGGCTACGACTGGTTGTGAAAAGTGTGCTGCTGCTGGCTGCAACTTGAAAGCGATTGTGCCTCATTGTAAGACATGTTGAACCCTTTTTATCCAAGCCGTAGCAATGGGGGGTTCTCATGTGGGTAACTTCGGAAGTCAAGGTGTGTGGCGGGTTTCATACAAATGTAGGAGACACGGTCCAACTTGAATCGGAACACTCTCATGACATGTCTTCAAGGAAGAAACGAAGTTACATTAAGACAATATAGAAACGGTCGATCATTATTTCCGAATTCGGGAATGTTGCGTCACGTGCACGAAATTTTATCCGTTGACTGAGCCTTTCGGATCCGTAGATGAGTAAACAGTGGTGGCGAACACCCAGTTTTTGCCCGATCCCTTCCGCCCCGTTTTGTTACCTTACTCCGACGGGTTGAAGGACAAAGTCCATCTCTTGTGGTTCGTCGGTCTACTAGTGCACCCGATTTGTTGCGTTCGGCCGACGGATGAAGTTTCCCATCCATCATTCATCTCTGCTTCAGTATGAGAGCGTCAAGGAAGTTTGATCGGTAAGCCCGGATAATCTTGACTCTTGTTACAAAAAGAATTCTTGCGGAACATCCTTCTGCTACTTCGCACCTTAGTCGGACTGCTTCCCTCTGTAAAGCTTCTGTTCACCTGCGCGTGTAGACGAGATTACAGATGATCATCATTCGAGCACACGCAGTGTTATACTAGACGAAGGGGGTAAAGTCAAATTAAATCGCAAACTGACACACGAATCCGAGATTACGAACAAATTAAATACACGATAAAATCGTGAATTAGTCGTATTGTCGTTTCAGTCCGATGTGGCAGGCTATTGGTCTGCGGATGAAGGTCTTGTGGATCTCAAGCTATTGAGATTATTAATCATTCGGATTAAGAAGAAAAAGAAGGGATAACGGCGACTTACGGATTTGTCTGGCTCTTCGAGGATGATATCATACTTGTGGATGACCGAAGAAATTGTGTGTACAGCTCCATCATCGCCAAATTATGCCCTATACACGCCCTATAACCCGTGTCTCAACAGTTTCTTCGCTGGCACAAGAGTAGTATTGAAATAGTGAATACGAATCTGGGGCCGAACGAAAATGCATTGAAGGCGTTCTGCATAATAGAGGGGTCGCGTTCGAACCATCTCTCAGGACGAAAGACGTCTACATCCTCACCCCAAACTAAGGGATCACGATGTATTGTATACGACGGTACACTGACGCATGTACCTTCCGGAAACCGCTTCCCACACACGGTGAGGCCACTTTCCCCGATAACTCGTGGAAGGCCTTTGCCTTACGAAGGCTCTCATTGATCACAGCGTTGAGATATGGTAAGTGTTTGACCTGTCCATGATTCGCCGCGTCGCCAATTACATCGTTCAGCTCCATCTGGAGCTTGGCATGCTTTCACAGATTTGCTGCAATGTAATTATATTATCGCACATAGCGTACTAAATAAAACGGAAAACACGAGGATCAGATTGATACAGCCGGATACGTACCTTGAATCGGTATCAGATCCTGCGACGAGCTGCGTAATAGCGTCTTGGGTGAGGTCCTCCCTACTCGGCAGCCTTCCTTGTTCATCTTTGGTAAGAAAAAGGTTACTCAAAACATTGGCTCGCTCCGTCGGGAATGCTAAACGCTTTGCAACCGCTGCCACGGTAAACTCGCCGGGAGTGCGCCCAGAAAAGCGTTCAATCTGTTACGACTTTTTAATATCTCTATGGTATGTACCTCTTTTACTTCTATATGTTCGCTCTCAAAGCTGTCGGTATCTGCGCCTATTTTGCTCCGCCGGGCCAAGCAGGCTTTCTGGTCTACGGCTACCGGTGCAGTGTTACTTGCGTTACGAACATACCGAATGGAGATCCAAACGCAAGCACCTAAACAGACTTATAAGGATCTCCTTTGATTGTATGACTCGTATTAACGCGTACCAATGATGTCAAAGGCCAGGTAATTGAGCCAAGGCATAATGTCGAACGAAACGCGTCCACCTTGACCCTCCCAACACATATCGTCTTCCGTATCTAAAGGAATATTCAGTTTTCCGTCGCAGAGCTTGTCTAATTGCCCTAGGAAAAAGGTAATATGTATGTGAATATATGGCTCAAACTCCAAAACGCTTTTTAATGAAAAGGCATGCGAGATGGCCTTGCGCTTTCGAGCATGTTCCGTCCTCGAACGCGTACTGAAGATACTAGGCCGAACGGAGTTAAATACTTCGTAATAGTCTGATTTTAGTGTCCTGCTGCCGTGTCCGTAAACAACGTGAAGTGCTTCTGGATCGCTTATAGAGACATGGTTGGGTGGCATGCATGCATATTCCTGATTGATATTTCAGCTCTGGAAAGAGTGGATCAATCCGAAACTTGTAGCTTTGCGGACCGAAACGTAGCCGAATCATTCAATGCATTTTGTCTGTGCTATTCCCGGTGTGTGTTTGTATTGGTACAGAACGACCATTCTGCCTAGACGGTTGAGCTCAGATAAGATAAGGCTTCAGCAGCCAACGCCGATGCAAGTGCAATTTCGATGGCGAAGCCATGGACAAGCGAGATGCTAGTAAAGAGAATCAGACCAAGACTGTCCCCGTTGTACATGCATATACCAGAAAAGATACATGCCAAAAGCTGCAAATCGAACTTCACGTAATTATTCAGATAATATACTTCATTCATGCAAGATTTCACAACCACCACCTTGAATTTACCTATACCCTTACTTATTTGGTAAATCAACCGCATATTTTGATGAGTGAGGCATGTCTTATTTTATTCAAGACTTGTCACGGATTTTCATGCCAACGCGACATGTCAGCACCTTCCGTACCACGCCTTCATTGAATTCAAGCTAACATATTGGACAATTCATCCAAAGGGAACAAAGGAAAGAATCAGACATTGCAAGACAAGAAAAACATTACAAGAACGGCTCACTGGCTTGTCCACCCCTTCAAGTACGATTTCGTATCGATGGAAGATGGAAGATGCAAATAACTGAAGTTCCATCAAGGCTAGATTGCGTCCAATACATGCTCTATAGCCAATGTTATAATTAGTACAGTCGAATTAAGGGAGTACCAGCATAGCAGGGTGAGTACGAACCTTGGTCCAATCGAGAATGGATTGAACGCCTTTTGCATAACGGACTGATCACATTCAAGCCACCTCTCAGGACGGAACGCGTCTGCATCCTCACCCCACACTCCGGGATCTCGATGAATCGTGTATGTCGGCACACTGAGGATTGTCCCTTCCGGGAACCACTTCCCACATACGGTAAGACCACCTTTGGGGACAACGCGCTGAAGTCCGACGCCAACTGGCGCATGCAGACGTAAACCTTCATTAACTACCGCAGCAAGATACGGTAGGTCCTTGATTTGCGCGTACGTCGCTACGGCGTCATCAGAGGCAGCGAACGCCTCGTCGAGCTCTTTCTGCAGCCTAATTTGAACGCCAGGGTTTTTTGCAATGTAGTATGCTGTTGCAGATGATGTACTGCACGTTTCGAATTGTCAGTGAACGATTTAATGCTTTGGCATCAAGGAACCCTGTGTTCAAGAATTTGGCCACTTACTTTGACACAGTGTCTGAACCAGCTATGAGCATTGTTTGGGCATCTGAAGTCACTTCCTCCTTACTGAAGGGCTTTCCATGTTCGTCCTTCGACTGCTGGAGCTTGCTCAAAATGTCTGTTCTGTACGATGGAAATGCTAAACGCCTTGCAACTGCTGTGACGGTGAAACCCGCTAGGTCCTCCGAGCTCTGAAGGCATTCAGAAAATCGCGGTAGACGTCGCATAAATGGGCGAAATCGTGGTGGAAACGATCCCGCATGGGCATCAAAATTAGTACGATTGTTTAATACTTTCACGGCTTGGATTTCCTTCGTCTCAGTCTCGATGGCTGATTTTCCCGAACCCTGATCTGCGTCCTTCTGACCGTATTTATCCATAGATGCTTTCTGGTCCACCGTGATCTGGACTGTGTCACTTGCGTTACAAACCATACCGAATGGAAAGCCGAAAGCAAGATCGCCTTGGAGATATGGCTGTGGATAGGCCCATACACACGAATGCTGGTAGACAACTTACCTGTGATATCGAAGCCCAGATAGTTAAACCACGGCGCGACATTGAACCAGACGCGTCCGTCGTGCCCGTTCCAGCCATCCTCACCTTCAGCACCAGAGATTCCTTTCTTACCACCATCACACATCTTATCCCACTGCTCAAAGAGTTCAGCGAGATGAAGGCGGACGAACGGCTCGAATTCGGCGACACTCTTCTGCGAGAATACGTGAGCGATAGCTTTGCGCTTCCTCGAATGCTCAGCCTTTGAACGGGTCTCGAAAATGCTAGGACGAAAGGCGACGAAAGCATCGTAGTAGTTGGATTTCAATGTGCCGCTTCCCTGGCCGTAGACGGCCTGGAGTGCTTCCACGTCGCTAATGGAGACATGATTGGGTGCCAATCGTAAAAACGTTCCTATAGTTTACTATTTAGTATAGATGATTGTCTACTCTGCACAAACTCTCTGAGCAACCATGTTCAATATATTTGTACTCACCGAACTTCTTATGCAACTGGTGAACTACGATAGACTGATGTCCGCTGACTGCAACCCATCCGAGCCAGGTGCCAGAGAATCCAGCCAAGGACGGTCCTTTAATATCGTTTGACCGAATATGATACGGGTCGATAAAATACGGAACCAGGTGTACGACGAGTACGAGGACACCTAGGAGTGTAAAAAACAAGAAGACACTGTGCACAGTTATGCCTAGAATATTCGGAAGCATTGTGCTTTGACTTAGGATGACTGCAGTCATTGTGATACAAGATCACTGCGCTTTTGGGAGTCTGAGTTCCCAGCCGAACGTACATACGCTTTTATAGAGTTCCATATTATCCTAGTTTTCCCGACGGATGAATTTCGGTAGCAATCGTCACGAAGACAAGGTCGATTGGATTTTGGCTTTGCAACAGAGGAGTGATCTGAGTTAGCTGGTGGGGAGCCCATTAAGCTTTCGAACCCAAAACGAGTAGATTTGTGGTGATTTAGAGCAGAGATTGGTGCCCTGTTGTCCACTCTTTGTTGAACAGAGTGACCAATACAAAGCAACAAACGGCATAGGGTGCAATGCAGTTCCGGAGCCTTCGCACTTTGCGACATCATCGCATGACAAGAAGCACTCCTTAATTGCATCCCGCACAGTCGTGCCTTCAATAAGCTTCATTAGCCTGTCGTCACAATAGTGGAGCAGAATTAGTATTGAGTGGTGATGCCTTTGCGCACATTGCCGAAAAATGCCCACCTCTCCCTTATTGTTCACAAGATGGCAAGAAAGAAGCTTGTGTGGTATTGAGCTTTGGGTCCATGAATTCTGCACAGTGAATTGAGTTGTGCAGCTTGGATGAAAACTCCGAGTCTAAGTCTGATGGAGTTTTGCAGCAAGTTATTTGTCAGTGTTTGTAGATATGGAACCAGTCCAAATAAGTAAAATGGAGTACCGTCGACCTCCATTGACTACCCAAATTCGTAGTTCACATGTTTTCAGTATTTCATTTATATTAACGTTGCATATTGCGTACCGTTATGGCAAACTGACTTGGAATAAGAGGCCGGGATTGTGGGCTGTGTATTTTCAATGGTATGCCAGCATTGGCCACTGTTATTTATCTCAACCTAGCTAAGCCAAGAATTAATTGGACATCATAGCTTCTGTACCTGATCGTACAACCTTGACGCATAAAAATCTCTTCATATTGAATATAGCATTATGACGAGCAGTGTTTTCAGGTAAGATAAGGATACACAGTTCCAGTGGATTGGTTATTAATATGCACACTTGGACAAAACTACTTCACTGTTTACAAGGACTTATCCTGATTCATCGGGTAAACTCGACACACGGATTGCCTAACCATCGTTCTGATCGGATACTTAAGTCAACGTCAGACGTTGCGACGTTTCATGCCAACTCGACACGCCATCGGCTTTCGTATGAATCCTTCGTGTACCTCGAGCTAACGTGTGGATGTATTTCGTCGCAGGAGAACAATCAGTTCACATAATATGAAATAACCATATTAGATGCTCAACTTACTGGCTTGTGCGGTTCTTCAAGGACAAATTCATAGCGACGGAAAATGGAAGAGACGATAATAAACAGTTCCATTGTCGCAACGTTGCGTCCGATGCATGCTCTGCATCATATGATGATATCAATTGGTCAGGCAAAGCGATTGGCATATCACTTCGGAATTGCATACCTCGGTCCATATGAAAACGTATTGAATGCCTTCAGCAAAGTAGCTTGGCCGCGTTCAAGCCACCTCTCGGGACGGAAGACATCGGCATCCTCTCCCCACACCTTGGGATCGCGATGAATCGTATATGTTGGAGCGCTGAGGACTGTGCCTGCAGGGAACCACTTTCCGCAGACAGTGAGTCCGCCCTCAGGAACGAGGCGAGGAAGTCCATTACCTGACGTTGAGTGCACGCGAAGTCCTTCATGAATCACAGCATCGAGGTATGGCAAGTGCTTGACCAGATCGTAGCTCGCCACAGGGTCATCCAATGAAGCAAGCGCTTCATCGAGTTCTTTCTGCAGTTTAGCCTGCACACGAGGACTGGAGATAATATGGTACAAAACAGCACATGACGAGCTGAAAAGATGTTAGAATATCACATTCCTTCAAAAAGAAATGGTAATGTACTTTGCCGTCGTATCAGACCCAGCTATGAGCTGTGTCAGAGCATCAGCAGTGAGTTCCTCACGATTCAGCGGCCTCCCGTCCTCGTGTCGACCTTGCTGGAGTTTACTCAGTAAATCTGTCCTGTCCGTCGGGATCGCCAGCCTTTTCGCGACGGCTGCAACTGCGAGACCCGCCAGGTCTTCTACATCCTGGCTACCATCCGCATACCAGGGCAGGAGGCGCACAATCGGACGCCACCATGGAGGAAGGACGCCCATCGAAGCAGAATACTCGCTTCGACCATTTAGTACCTTCACTGCAGGAACTTCCCTAACGGCTACAACTGGCTTCTCTATGTCCTGCATATCTGTATTTACTTGACCATTCTCGGACATTGCCGCCTTCTGGTCTACAGCTGTCAGTGCAGCATCCTTCGCATTACGTAGCATACCAAATGGAAGTGCAAAAGCTAGGTCACCTGGTTTGTAGCTGACATTAGCACACATGCTATTTGTGTCTACGAGGCACTCACTAATGATATCAAACGCCAGATAGTTGCACCAAGGCATAGCATTGAACCACACACGTCCATCGTGTCCCTTCCAGCCTCCCTCACCTTCGACGCCTGTGAGTCCCTTTCTACCACCATCGTATAGCTCATCCCATTGTTCGAAGAGTTCAGAGACATGGAGGCGGATGTACGGCTCGAATTCCGACACGCTTTTCTGAGAGAAGCCGTGTGATATGACCTTGCGTTTTCTCGTGTGTTCTTCTCGTGAGCGGGTAGTGAAGACAGTGACACCGATGGAAATAAAAGCATCGTAAAAGTCTGTTTTCAGTGTTCCATTTCCGTGCCCATATATATCGCCAATCGCTTCTGGATCAGCAATGGAAACATGGTTGGGTGCCAGTCGCACAAATTTACCTACAACAAAATGCATCTTATCAGCGAGAAAGACCACGCAAGGAAAGAATACAATGGCCAATAGTTTTGTTTGCCATTTGAGCTATTAGGCGGAAAGTCGATGCAAACACCTACCATATTTCTTATGTTTCTCGTGAACCACTTCGGCACGGCGTCCCTGTGCGGCTACCCATCCGAGCCAGGCATCCGAAAACATAGCGAGGAAGGGGCCAGTAATGCCATTTCTCCTAATATGATGCTTGTCGAGCAAGTACGGTACCACATGCACGACGAGGAAACCAGCCGTGAGGCCTGCACATATCCAGAGATACTTCGTGAAGAAGGTGGAGTAGAAAATGCTTGCTATCATGAGTTTTCACTTGTGGGAAGAGTACAAATGCGAGAACTGGAAGCTGATAACTCTCAGCCAGCACGAATCCTTTATAACCAGGTCACAGTGGGTCGAAGTTCTCATCGTTAGCTTCTCTGGCACATTAAGTAGCCGAATAAAGTTCGTTTATAGTACGAGAAGTGGGGTGAAGACGGAGCATGGTTATGACAGAAATAGCTGGAAAGAGTTCAAGTTCGCAAATTGGACTAACAGACAGTCTCACTGCCTATTTATGGGAATCTTTGATCACATGCTATGCGTCTCAATCGGACATGGTACAAAGTGAGTAACGGAGCTCTGTTCATGAGGTCCCACTCAGAGCAAAGAAGGCCAAGAAGTTCACGAACTTCATCGTGTAAAGTGGACTCTTGACACCATTGATGGACTTCCAATATCTTCATTCTCCGTCCGTTTTGGTCGCCTGCTTCGTAGCCAAATCCATGTTACTCCTAAGAATAAATTCGGCATACCCGTAGCTCTTTTCTATATACTACATATCGACTGAGGAGACAAGGCGGATGTGAATTCAATACTTACATGCACCTAGGCCTTGATGTGTATCAAGTGGAAGACGCCGCGACTGCCTTGGAAGGTTCTCCTTCTTTATCCAGCGACTGCCAATATCAGTGGCTCTCACCATCTGACTTCTCACGTTCCGGTCGGTCAATGCTAGCTGAGGAATCTCCTCCCACCATTAGGCCGGTGGCACCTGAACATAACGATTTGAATGAATCTAAAACCAAGGACACGTTTCCTCCTGTAAAGTTCATTTGTTGAAAAAGGATGCATACCTTGTTGTACTCGGCAGTAAGATACGAGAAGTCCGCCGATGCTGTCCCCTTCTTTATATTGTGTCCGTTCTATGGGCCCCTGAGCCTTGCACAACGATTCTTGTTAATCGCGCTCCGTATGATTTCATCGACACTTGTTGCTTCCAAGCAACTCCGAAGCAGTATCCTGATATCCTATGTCTGAGTATTAGCTGCCGAACTATAGCAATGCTTGATAACACGTATAAAGAAGGATCCGGTGATTCCACCCACCTCCGTTCCAGGGGTGCACATGATAAGACATCTGCGTATCCTTATAGATTTTCTTTTATTTATTTGAATTTTGCAGTAGGCCCGATCAGCCCGTTTCGCCCGTTTCGTTACTTCTAACATGTTTTCTAAATACTCGTGTGGGACCCGATCTCCATATCTAACTATTTCGGAGGTACATTTGCAATTTGGTATGGATCCGACTTATCGCAAGTGCACGGAGTATCAGACCGAGACAATTTCCATTGTGCATGCATCTACCGAACTAAACGCATGCCATGAGCTACAAATCGAACTTCACATGATTATTCAGAATTATACTTCATTCACGCAAGATTTCACAACCACCACTTTAAATTTACCTTTTCCCTTGTTTCGTGAACCGAATTCATATTTTGCTGGGTCGGCCATGACTTATTATATTTGAGACTTGTCACGGATTTTCATGCCAATGCTACATGTCAACACCTTCCGTACCATCCCGACCAATCGAGTGTCTTCCATTCGCTTCATCAACTTGCCGTCACGACGCCTTAGTATGTGTTACCAAGGAGGCCCATTTTCCCTTTGTGGAACACCGTATTGCAAGGAAGAAACATGCATGGTACCGAAGTTTTGAGTCCATGAATACCGCACGGTGAACCGGGTCATGAAAACTCTCTATGACCGAGCGTGGCAAGTTGTTTGTCGTTGTTTGTCGTTATCTGTTGGTATGTAACTTAAACCAGTCCAAATAATGTACAACGTAATCCCTAGCTCACATGGTTTCAGTGATTCCCTTGTGTGCATAAATGCATAATATTATTCTATGTTGATTCAAATTAGAGGTTGGAATCATGGGTTGTGTGTTTTAAAATTTAATGGCATCCTGTATTGGCCACTGCTATTCATCCCGATCTGGATAGGCTAAGGATTAATGGGCACCATTGCTTCTGTACTTGATTGAACAAGCTTAATGCATAAGCTTCTCTTCATAAAATATATGCTTACTGAGTACGTCATCATGATGAGCATTGTATGCAGGTAAGGTAAAGATGCATAGTTCAATTGAGTAGGCTACTAATTATGCATACTCGAAGTAAGCTACTGTTTCACTATTCACAACGCACTTATTCTGATTCATCCGGTTGATACGATGCATGCATTGCCTGGCCATCGTTCTCGATCGATTACTAAACTCATCATCAGACGTTACGACGTTTCATGCCAACTCGACACGCCATTGGCTTTCGTATGAATCCCTCGTGGACCTCGAGCTATCATGTAGGTGTATTTCATTGAAGGAGAAAAAGTCAGTTCACACAATATAAATTGATCTAACTCGAAGTGCAGCTTACCGGCTTGTTCTGTTCTTCGAGGACGAGGTCATAACGACGGAAAATGGAGGAGATGAAAATAAACAGCTCCATCGTCGCAACATTACGCCCAATACATGCTCTGTTTTACGCGACATTAATTATTCAGGCAAAGCGGTTGATACCTCATTTCAGAATTACATACCTCGGTCCATACGAAAACGTATTGAACACCTTCAGCAAAGTAGCGTGGTCACGTTCAAGCCACCTCTCGGGACGGAAGACATCAGCATCCTCTCCCCATACTTTAGGATCACGATGAATCGTATACGTTGGAGCGCTGAGGACTGTGCCCTCCGGGAACCACTTTCCGCAGACAGTGAGTCCACCCTCTGGAACAAGACGAGGAAGTCCAACTCCTAATGTCGAGTGCACGCGAAGTCCTTCATGAATCACAGCATCAAGGTATGGCAGGTGATTGACCAGGTCGTAGCTCGTCACAGGATCATCAAATGAAACAAGCGCTTCATCGAGTTCTTTCTGCAGTTTGGCCTGAACGCGAGGGTTGGAAGTTATGTAATACATAAGGGCGCATGTTGAGCTACAGAGGTATTAGAATTTCAAGTTTCCTCAAAAAAGGAATTGATAAAATACCGTACTTTGACGTCGTATCAGACCCAGCTATAAGCACCGTAAGAGCATCAGCGGTGAGTTCTTCCCGACTCATTGGACTCCCGTCTTCATGTCGACCTTGCTGGAGTTTACTCAGTATGTCTGCCCTGTCCGTCGGGATCGCCAGCCTTTTCGCGACGGCTGCAACTGCGAGACCCGCCAGGTCTTCCACATCTTTGCTACCCTCTGCATACCAGGGCAGGAGGCGTGCAATTGGACGCCACCGCGGAGGAAGGACGCCCATCGAAGCGGAATACTCGCTTCGACCATTCAATACCTTCACTGCCGGAACCTCCCTAACGGCCACAACCGGTTTTTCCAGGTCTTGTATGTTCACTTGACCATTCTCGGACATTGCCGCCTTCTGGTCTACTGCAGTGGGCGCAGCATCCTTCGCATTACGAAGCATGCCAAATGGAGCCCCGAAAGCCAGGTCGCCTATTTGTTGAAGTACGTCAAACAGAAACAATCAATATACTTGCTATTTTTATGTCTTCAAGACACGTACCGATGATGTCAAACGCAAGATAGTTGAGCCAAGGCATGGCGTTGAACCACACACGTCCATCGTGCCCCTCCCAGCTATTATGTCCTTCGACGCCTGTGAGACCCTTTCTACCACCATCGTATAGCTTATCCCACTTCTCGAACAGTTCGGCAACATGGAGACGGATGTACGGTTCGAGCTGCGATATACTTTTCTGGGAGAAGCCGTGGGCAATGACCTTGCGTTTCCTCGTGTGTTCTTCTCGTGAGCGAGTAGTAAAGATAGTGCGATCGATGGAGAGGAAAGCATCGTAAAAGTCAGTTTTCAATGTACCATTTCCATGACCGTATATCTCGCCAATTGCTTCTGGATAAGCGATGGAAACATGATTGGGTGCCAGTCGTACGAATTTACCTGCAGTGAAGTGCACTTTGTTAGCAACGAAGGTCACGCAAGAAAAAAGGATACAATATTGGCCTGTTTTTTTTTTGGCTCTTTGGCCTACCAGTGCAAGGTCAATGCAGGTACTTACCATACTTCTTATGTATTTGGTGAACCACTTCAGATCGTGGACCTTGTGCGGCTACCCATCCGAGCCAGGCATCAGAAAATCTAGCGAGGAGTGGGCCAGAAATGTCATTCCTCCTAATATGATGCTTGTCGAACAAGTACGGCACCACATGAACGAGGAAGAAGGCAGCTGTGAGGCCAGTACATAGCCAAAGATAGTTTGTGAAGAAGACAGAGTATAAAATCTTCAAAATCATGAATTTCGCTTTGATTCACTTGCGGGAGTGCAGTTAATAGGAGAAGTGGGAGCTAATAACTCTAGCTTGCAATCCACACAACCCTTTTATATCTAGATCATAGCAGGCTAAATTTCTCATCGTTGAATTCTCTGGCAGATTACGCAGCCGTATAAAGTTCGGTTTCGTAGTAAGAAGTGGGGTGACGACGGAGCTTGCTCATGACAGAAATAGCTGAAAGGAGTTCAAGTTTAGCGAATTGGACAAACAGATGATCTTATTTCCCATTTATGGCAATTTTAGATCACATGCCATGCGTTTCAACCGGACTCAGGCCAAATTAAGTGAGTCAAGCTTTCGATTTTGACCCACACAGAGCAAAGAAGCTCGCGGGCTTCATCGTGTAAAACGGAGTATTGGCATCATTGTTCATGCGATGCCGATGGCCTTCCATTAATCGTCATTATGTTGTCCGATTCGTTCGCTTGCTTCGTAGCCAAAGTCGTGTTACTCACAGAAACAAATCCAGCATATCCGTATCACTTTTCTATATGCTACAATCTAGCCAAGGATACAATGTAGATTCCGTCCGTATACTTACTTGTACCTGGCCCCTGACGTTATTCAAGTGGAAGACGCTGAGGCTAACCTGGAAGATTCTTCTTCCTTTCCGCTGGTTCGCCAATATCAGTAGCTCTCACCATTCAACTTCTCTGAAGTTCCGTTAGATAGGCCAACTGTTCACGGGAAGATGCATAGATTACTAAAGTATATTCCCCCACCCTTCGGCCGAAGATACGTGCGTGAATATAGCGATTTGAATAAATTGGATACAACGTCATGTTTCCCTTTGCTAAAAAACATGTTATTGGGAAAGTTCATCTGCCATGTTGTGCTAAATAGAAAAGCGCAAGATGTCCGTAGCTACTTTCACTGAAATTTGATCCGTTCTGTGTTATTGGTCCAGAGGGCTACTTATTAGAGGTCTTGCATAATGATTCCTGTCCTGTCATTTGCTCTCCCTATTGACAGCTATTGCTTACAAGTCATTCCATCAGAGTATCCTGAATCTGATACCCTATGCCTTGGTCACTGCTTTTCCAATATATAGCAATCCTCGATAACAAGTGTATAGAAACATCTAGTAATTCCGTCCAACTCCGCTTCGGAGGTGTGCATAGAAAGACATCACAGCACCGAAAAGAAGTTTTATTATTTACTTTTTATGGTTCTCCCGATCCACCCGTTTCCACCTCTGCCGTGATTTATAGCATATATTCTGAAGCCCCGTGTAGGCCGGGTCTCGATATGAAACCATTTCGAAGGAGTTATTACACTTTGCCGTATAACAAGGATCCGTCGGATGCGAACTTACCCGTTCCGCATCCGTGAGAAAATACTGCCGAAGGCGGCTAAGTGCCGCAGTACGTGTCACTGTCAGTATGTGCTTTAAGCTTGACACACTTCACAAACATGGCTCAAGCAGAGCACTCTGCTGACGAGACAACTCGGCGGGCCTTGGAGGAGTTAGCCCTTCCAATTGAAGGTGTAGACACCAATGTTGTTGCAAACGGTTCTCTTCCTAATGGTATCAACGGCAAGAGCGCACCCAGCAGTCCAAGTCCGAGGACTTCTGGTGAACATTCTGGACTTGACAGAGTCTCTGTTTTACAGAGAGAACTCGATCGTTGTCGAAAAGAACGCGATGACTTTGCAGGAAAGTACTCGAATCTCCTGTCTCGGCTGAATAATATGCGTACGGCGCTCGGAAACAAGTTACGGGAAGAATCTGTACGTCTATATATTCATTTCATACATTCGTATGGTTAATCGCAATTGTTGAATATTAATTGATTAGGAAGAACTAGATAGGCGCCAGCAGATCATTGACCAACTAACTGCACAAAACGAAGATCTAACCGCGACTGTAGAAACACTGCAAAATGAGATCGTCACGTCAAACTCGGAGGCAGAACGCGCATCGAAGGAACTCGAAGCTATGCGAAGTCGTGCATATGAAGAGAGCTCACAAGAAGCTCTTGTACGCGAACGCGAACTCCGAGAATTACAGGTGGAACTCGAACGGTGTAGAATGGAACGGGATGAGTGGGAACGGGAGGCACAGGAGGGCCGTGTCACTGTAGACGAGGCAAAGACGGCAGCGGAGAATTACAAGCGAGATCTTGAGATTGAACGAGAAGCTCGGCAAAAGGAATATGAAGAGTTGGAGGTAGAACGGGAAAGGTCGATGAACTTACAATCCGTCCTTGAAGATTTCCAAAATAGTATGTCACTTATATCGGAACTGGATCTGTGGTATGCTCACTTTGCAATACAGCGAAGGACCATGAATTGCGACAAGCCGTCCGAGACCGGGATACACAGCTGAATCAGCTTACCCAGACTCTGGCTGAGTATAAGCACCGCGCGCATACTGCTGAAGTGAGACCCCGATTCGCAGAAGACACTTGTTGCAAAACACGCTGACCTTCCTTATTAGCTGCAGTTAGAAGAAACTTCGACCAATACAACAAGGACGGTCGAACTTGAGAAAGAAGTCAAAGAAAAGGAGCTCCTCATTAGGAAATTCCGACATGAAGGTATGCAATTACAATCTTGTGATTTCATTAAAGATGTCTTGACGTGACTTGCGAAGCCGTTATCCTCAATGAACATCTTACGGAGGCACTTCGACGATTACGCAAAAACCAGGCAGATAATAATGTCGATCGTCGCCTTGTAACAAATGTTCTACTCCAGTTTCTGACAACTCCGCGGGCCGATAGTAAACGCTTCGAAATGCTCGGCTTATTGGCGACCATCCTTTCTTGGGGTGATGCGGAGCGTGAGAAGGCCGGACTTCAGCGTGCTGGATTGGCAGGCTCCTCCGCACTACAGCGACCTTCTAGTTCCGCCGCAGGTTCGTCAAAAGGCAAAGGTTCGGCTGAACTTGACACGAGCGATGAGACTGAGGTAGGCTTGAATAATTTTTATCTATCTTCCCATGTACTGATATGTTTGTAGTCATTCTCACAACGATGGGTCGAGTTCCTTCTCAAAGAATCGTCAGGTGGCGCTTTCGGGCCTGAGGCCACCTCTAGTATCTCACAGGGTTCCTTACATTCATCCTCTACATCAGTAACACCTTCTCGATCAAACCCTTCCCTTCCTTCATTGCCTGGTTCGCCTAGATCAGGAGCCACTTCTCCCGGGGCAGGATCGCGTACACTTCGATTAGCATCGTTCACTTCGTCCGCAATGGCTAGCTCACCGAATCTGACTGGTGCGGCCTCATCTTCGCGAGACGAACGGTAGGCGATCTCGCGCTGATCGGTTTTCGCGACCTTTGCTTTGAACTGTCCCATGTTGTTGCTGTCATTATTTTCTTATTGGACTGTCATGTATACGATAGCACTTGTATTATTATTAATTCATCCATCGGAGAGATCAAGTTATTGCAGTCTTAAGTTCGAAGTCATGGTATCGTTTATTTGGTATCTACTTACTATACTTCCTCATCCTCGCATCGGATTTATTTGGTGATAACGTCTTTCATTAGAATTGGGATTATTCTGTATCAAACACTTTGCCACAATACATCGTTCTGGTAAGACTCATATCAAGTATTCATGCAATTACATTTGACAGTATTCATTTCATTTTCATAGATCAAGCCATAATGGCAAGGTTAGCTAGTGTGAATTCTGGCCTATTAGATGCTTTTGGGGCCTGTGAGTTGATTAACTTGACTTTGCCACAATCAGTCATGGTCATCATCCTTACAGAGATGCTGACCTGAGAATGGGATTGATCTTAAGGGAAGGCTTCTTAGTAGCTAAGGACAACAGTCAAGGATGGTCACCTAGTTAGATAAACTACGGAACCATGTGGGTCGACCTGGAGGTCATGGATGCTATGTGATTAAAACTCTATCTTATTTTAGATTTTCAAGCATGTTGATTGACAGGTAAAACTCCGACTTGTGCGACGAACTTGCACTGCTAGCTAGGAGCGCACACCGGTGTGTGCCTTTAGAAAGTCCGGAAAAGAGGACCAACAAGGGCTGTACCAGATCAAGTGCGTCAAGCGCTTCACGGATCTCTTTAGTAACGTTTTCTCCAATGGGCATACCGTAAATCTGGTGCACCAGGTGTAGGTTCACAACACTCGTAAGAGCATCTTTAACTCCCTTCAACGTTCTCATATGCGCGACGATGGTAGAAACTCCGCAAATCGAGACCTTCACGTCAGACTCAGAGCCCGGAATGCACGTCGAAGGAATATTACAAGTGGAGCTCGAGGAGTGCTAAATGTGATCCTCAATGAACGTCTTACGGAAACATTCTGGCGACAAAGCAAGAACCAGGTAGATAATAATGCTGACCGTCGCCTCGTAACGGTCCCAGCAGACATTCTACTTCAATTTCTGACAACGCCGCAGACCGACAGTAAATACGTCAAAATGCTCAGCTAACTAGCGAGCAGCCCTCTTGGGATGATGCAGAGCGAGAGAAAGCTGGACTTCAGTAGGCCAGCTTGGCAAGCGCCTCTGGGACCCTCCGGTTTGGACGCACGGTTGTCGAAGGACGAAGGTTCGGCCGAACTTGACACGAGTGATGAGACTGGAGACTCGCTTAAATCCGGCCTTTCGAAATGCTAATTATAATACGTTTAATAGTTATTTTCGCAACAATGAACCGAGTGTCTTCAACGACTCTTCGAGTGGTACTTCCGGGCCTAAGGCCGAGTCTGCTTCCCCGCAGGGATATTTCATATGCTTCGCCTTCGTCAGTGACTTCTCTCCGGTTAGCCTGAGGGCCGCACACATTTAGACAGCATTGTTCCCCTCCTGCGCGAAGGTTAGTTTACCTAACCTCTTGGCACAGCCTCATCCTTGCAAGACGAACACAAGCTCGTACTAATTGGGTTTTTGACCTTTGCTTTTAACTGTCTACTACTGCTGCTGTCACTATTTTTCTATTGGATTGTCATGTATATGATAGTATCCGTATTATTATTCACTCATGCACTGCAAGGATTGAGTTGTTGCGGTCCTAGCCCCGAAGGCATCGGCCTTTCTATCTCCATCCATCTAAGAAGCAAAGAATGTGGGGACATGAGAGCTAATAAGAATGCAGTCATTCCTGCAAAGTCCTACAGCGTTTCCGGAAAATGATGACAGCAATCCCAGTTTTGCCTCGTGCCAGCAGGACATGATGTGCTACAAGTTGACAACTTCAGAGAGTTCTTTTTACACTGTAACAATTGCCTGAAGGAAATCAAAGTCTGTATAAACACTTAAGTGTATTACTAAAATTCATACATCCACATAGCTCTAATATCTGAGCCTTTCACTAGTCTTCACTCACAAGGTATGCAGTAAAGATGAGTACTGCTTGCTAATACAGGTAGATCACGTGAAATGATACTATATAAGGTAGGTATTCCATATGCGGGAGGTAAAAAGGTGGCACAACTCGGACCGCTGTCATCATTTTAAACAACTGTATTGTCTCGTCACCTTTTACTAAGTGTCTACTGCTATGTGCTCGATTTGTACTGTTCGCTTTCCACCTGACTTCTAACATCCGAGACCCTGCATCGGATCTATTTGGTCGTAACCGGCTTGCCTTAAAATTATAAGTATTCTGAAGCATATAATTTGCCCTATATTACACGGTACATAAACCTCCGAGTAAACTAAAATTAAAAAATAAATATAATGATAGCCTTTCATTCACGTAGATAATGCCCAAATAAGCATAGATTCGGACCACCAGTGAGATCCGGAGTGTAGCATCACATCTACAGAGGCCAATTATGATAGCCCGCTCTTACAAGTACATTGAGCATATACCGTGAAGAAAAATAATGCATGAGTAGACAACTGAATTGTGAGATTAGTATCCTGGGAAAGCCAGGATAGTCGAGTCTGACTTACTATGTACTTCAGATTTCTACAGAAGGGTGAATAGTTTTTGGTCAAGAGAACCAACGTACCCTGTATCAGATTGTCGAGAGTGTTGTTTTAGCCACATACTTCTTAGCTTACGAACGAGCTCCGAGTCGTTGTCATAGTACAATAGACCATCAATTAAAATCTTCGGGAAGACCGTAGTACACGGAATGAAATTTACAAGGTTTCTATTGTATCCAATAAGATGGGTAGGTATTCTTTGAAGTTTGATCGGTAATTCCCTTCGCAATAAATCTGACAATCTTTCTACATGACTGTAGACGTGAATTTACTTACAGTTACCCGTATTAGAACCGCAAAGCCACTCTTTGTTGCCTGAATAGCAACGTCATGAAATCAAGACATGATTAGCCGTCTTTTGCAAGACAGACTCATGAGCATCCTTACATTTTCTCAATTTTGTTGAAGGTGATTTCAGCATTTCGGGTAGTCTAAATAGAGGATTCGGTTTGTTCCATATAAACAAGACGAAGTTCCGCGTAAACCTCCATCAAGGTGCAAATGTTGACGTAAATCGCAGCTTCCCTGATTCTCGAATTAAGGTACAAGAGTTTGTGGATCGTTCTCTCAGCTATATATAATGCCGTGAAAAAGTTATCTCTTCCCCACAACATATTCTGAGATACGAGCTACAGGGCAAGGCAGACAAGGTGTGAGGGACGGAGACGATCAGCTCCAGTAACTACACGTATCTTTGCTATCTGTCCTTCAGTTGAAGTCACAACGAAGCTGATTCTGAAGCCCCTGCTTGCATATTACTAGACACGGACAGGCTGGGAATCAGGGCTGCGGATACCACAGCTGGTGGCTTCTGCTAAGCTCCGCGGGAAGACAGCCAGAGTCCCGCAAAGCTTTTCCTAAAGAACGTTCCGCGTATATCAGATACCGGCACAGGCTTTAGGAAAAATTTCATACATAAGGTGCGCCTCAAGGATTCCATTGTGCTGTGGCGCAGCATTGAGAAGTAATCAAAATCGAACGTATAAAATACTGGGCTTGGAAACAATATTAATGCATGACTATCACTCACCTGCTCACCTGCTCACCTGCTATAGCATGGGTAGCCTTTCCACGCGCTCCTGGCAAGTGTCCGCTTCTGAAAGTATTTTTACTGTGAATCACGCTCTCAATGACGTTCAGAGCAACATGGAGACTGGGGTTGCTTCCGATATACAGACTCGTGAGGTGAAGAGGAAGAACCCGAAGCCCTGCAGTAGATGTTCTGACATGCGAAAGAAAGTGAGTGACATCTTTCAGGCTTGCTTGCAACAATGAAAAACGTCCTTCACATTTACTACCAGTGTGATACTTCTCCTCCATACTCACTGGCAAGATGTAGGGAATGCACCAGGGCGAACATTCCTACTTGTCCACCTCATAGGCCTCGTCGTTCCAAGGGATCCAGCCACCCATCCATATCACCAAACGTAGCCTCTCCCAACTTGCCGGGGTCGATCGATACCAGTGCTACACCCATTGGTTTCACGGTGAGCATCAAGTCGCATCATGTGGAGATAGTGGACGGGTAATCTAATATAATAGGTTGCTCATCAGATCACCGAAGCGGGAAGTGAGCCTTATCATCTTCGATGCCAAACCATGAATCGCACAGCCCCAGCTGAATGCCCTCAGACAGACTTGGTGCTCAATAGTTTTGGCGCCTGTATTACATCCCAATCAATGGAATCAAACGGATATCCTTCTCCATGTGACAACACTGCGCTTTGTGCAGGCGGCTATACACAAGAGTCCCTGTTTCGCCTGAATGAATTGGAATCCGAGGTCGTGACAGACTTCTGGAATTTGATGCTTCCTACTCTCCTTGCTCCAGCATTCGGGCCTGCATACTTGCCCACCCAATAGCTGTACAGTTTAGTGACGTAGTATGCCCTGTAGCTAATACTTGGCTAGCCAGATAATCAGACTTGCCAGTAGGCTAAATCTGAATGGAACTTATGCACCGTTACATGAGTTGATACACCTCCTTAATAAATGCATTGATCCGTATAAGTTTCATGCAGGTAAGTGCGGTAAGATAGTGTATGTGAAGAATGGCACATAGTATGTTTGCAGAACTTACATAGGAATATAAATCCTGATGAGCCGTTCTCATTCTTGTCCAGTTTTATCCAGCAATGTGAGTTGCTCGGCTCCCATACATTAGATTCGAATGTACGGCATAAATTTCACAAAACCTAAGGTGTGATCATCCTTGCGGGTAATGACGTACACAATACGACCCAATTGCTCGGCCTTGGGCTATTCAGAATTAACTGCGGCCCTTGTGTAGACAATACGTGTTGTGTCATGCTTAGGGTTAACTCATACACACAGATAAAGGTATGAGAGCATCCCTTAGTCCTTGGATGACAGAGAAAATCGGGGGGATCAATACCAATCATACTGCTTGAAGCAGGAAAGACCTTGCCAGTCAAGAAGTCCGCACTCGATTGCTTGAACGGGCAAATCAGTTGTGCGACTACAACATTGTTTTGCTTCCGCGACTTCGATTGTCAGCGTCCCGCATGATTCCGGAGGCTTGCCTAGACTAGTGATGACTGAAAGCAGCGGATGACAACGTAAAAATTATAGGAACAGTCAACAACTCGAAACCACAGGACAAACTATTGTCTTTATACGGAAGCACAAGGTACACACTATTATCATCGACTTCTTCGCCACCTTATTGCTTCTCTCATTACAGCGGCGAGGAGAGGCACAGCTACGGGAGCTAGGAGGGGTGTATACACCGCGAGGTTGTGCTCGGGTGGGAAATAGAGCAAAGCAAGCATTCCTGGGTTGAAGAAAGCGCGTGATGCACGAGTAAGGGCCTTCGCGGAATATTGCAGCGTAAGCTGTGGCGAGTCGCGTACTACCGAGTACATCTGGATATAAATAAAGGTACACATGAGCGCTTTTTATCGGAGGACAAGAAGAACCATACCAGGTCAAGTGCGTCAAGTGCCCCGCCGACATCTTCGGTCACGTCCTTACCAACTGGCATGCCCTCTATTTGATGCACCAGACTTACGATGCTTGCAAGAGTGTCTTTGCTTCCTTCGGCATTCTCGTATGCGCGACGTCTAAGTAGTGCATCTAGTTGCCAGTCCGATACTGTCTCGCCTGACTTGACGCTAGGGGGAAGGGGCGCGACTCCGAGTAAGGACAATAGTTGAGCGCGGAACACCGAAAACGCTGGATACAACTCCCTTGGTGATAAATGTGACTCAGAGGAGGGTGAACTTGGGTTGTGAATGAATATGCTACCCCACTGCGGGATAACAAATGCATTTGATTCTGTTGGTGAACCTGTCAAGCTTGTGGTCAGGACGAACCGGAACAGTAAACCTGGATTCCTACCTTCATCATCCAAAATTCGTAAAGGCCTCCTACTCGCAGAAGGGACAAAGATAACGAAGTGCAGAACGGGATCATTTGATACGCTCGATGCTAATCGCCAATGGTTAACATATGTGAATCTCCGCTCCAGCACGACAACTCACACAGTGTCCATTCTGCCGAATTTACGAACACAGACAGCTGCTCCTGAGTTAATCCGAAGCTTCCACCGTTTAGCTGGACGGGCTCAAAAGCCAGTGGTGCAAAAAATTGTACTTGACTTTCTATAGTGAAATTATGAAGTGTCGATAGCCTCCGCAGTACAGGCTGTATTTGTCCTACATGTCACAGGTGAGCCGACTGGTGGAAGAGATAGACATAAAGATCCTACGGGCAATCGCGGTTTTCACATCCCAACTCGGGGGGCAATCCCCTGCAGCTGCATCTTCATTCATCAGGCTAAACGCCAACCGATATCGTGGCGAATATTGTACAGTCTGTTGGTTTGCACCAAAACTTGAAAGCCATAGCTTTTCAAGTATATTAGAAATGGTACTGGATACATTACCTGAGAGAATGAAATTAAATGATGTTTGGCAATCTGGAGTTTATGCGGCTCACCAGAAGGCATAGACTTCGTGCCTACTACCAATTTTCTTCCGACGGTACGTGCTTCGACTTCCTCGGTATCGATCGCCACGGCGTACTCCGGCGGCTCGTCTGGCGCTTGAAAGTGCAAGATAAGCTTGACCTGGGCCACCTTCAAAATGTAGACATGTACTGACTACCCGACAGAATATCCACAGACACTGTATCGTTGAGCCCCAGCTCATGGATACGAGTTCTTAACGACTCTTTCACGGATGTCGCTATGGGTTTCGGCAAGTCATCGTCTAAGGATGCACACAATTCGTACTTGAGCTAAACACAGTTCAGCGGCAAATCCGTTGGTGTAGATCAAAATAACTAACTTGCTTCGACTTGAGACTCCTGACGCGTCCCTCAGGCAAAGGAAGGCGTGTAATGCTAGTTGTCGTCCACCACAACGGAATAGCCAATAACACAACTATCCAATAAGATAGCAGGATTCCTCGACGAGTCTTGTCCGACTGAAATGAAACGTTTTTAATAGCCTCATCTTGATCCATAAAACCGCAGCGAGACTCCCGAGGATGCTACGCTTGATGGAGCAGTGCTTGTCGCGGTTTGGGGAAAGTACTTTGAAATTAAAAATATGTCGCCGTTTCATCAGTCGGAAACGGCAGGTTGTTCTCATCTCCGCTCACGTGATCTTCGTCGCTTGAAACTTGAATTGACCTCAGTTTGTTTCTCTCTGAATCTCTCCATCATGCCCCTCCGCTGGGCTTCTCTGGAATGAAACTGGGCGACAGCTTGCGCACATACCAAATCCGTCACCTTCTGTATCAAAACAAGACCAATCCGCCGTCAATCCACGGAAGGATATTTCTTTGCTTTTCACAGACACCTTTACAACAGCGCGGGTTTCATTAATTTGTCACCCGAGAACGGCTGTTCAACTGCCCAGAAAGATTTTATCACTTGTTCGAACTTGATACTTGTGCCTTCACCCGGTTATTTGGCAAAGAAGCCGCATTTTTAGCTTTTTCTCTGTTTCCTAACGGGCTTTGTTAAACCGCACTGAACATTTACACACTACTATATTCATGATGGCATCCCACTACGATGTTGGTCTATGCAACTATTTCTTGCTCAGGATCAACTAACTGGACAGCCCCTTTTTATTAGAGATTGCCAGGTCAATACGCCACTCAGCGTTCTCCGATTGCCGGGGCTTCACGAGGCGAACATTACTATGAAAGGGATCGTCGCGTTGTTTATCCTCCAAGGCCAGAGGCAGAATATCCCGAAGAAGGGCATCCTCCCGCAAGACGGATAGACAGGCCTTATTATCCTCATGATTATACTGGTGCACCAAGAGAGTCACGTGCAGAAATTTGGCGTCGGCCGCCTCCGGGTTATGCTCCGCACGCATCACCGCCACTTCCTTCGGCCCAGTATCGATTCTATCAGGACACCAGACCTCCGCATTCTCCTCAGTGGGAAGAGCGTCCCCGGTGGGAGGAACCTCCAGATGATCGAAGTTTTGAACCGTCAGTTGCATGGCTACACCGACGGGAACCCTCCCACCCTCGCCTGTAGGTTTCACTATTTTCAATGTCTTGCCTTCCTAAAAATTCGAATAGGAACTCCCTATTAAATCCTGCCCCTGCGAGTCCTCTTGTAGATGATCACAGATGGCGAGAACTAGCTCCGACAGCAGTCGATCCAGCACCACCCCGCGATTACGGTCGGGCATTTCCCACGGATTATCATCCATATGACGATCGTCACGCAACGTACCACGAGCGACCTCCGCCTCCCGATCCACATATTTTTGTACGTAATGATATGTATAGACAGCCTCTGCACGAGCGCCCAAGTCCACGCCACTGGGAGAATCCTACTTACCGACCTGAAATAATTCCAGCCGCTCGTACTAATAGACCTTCTGCTATACGAGACTACAAGCGACCACGGCAAATGTCAGTTGGCCAGTCTCCTGGCCTTTCGGAACATGAGGTGCCCAATTGGACAAGAGAAAGACACGTTGAATCTAATAGGAGCTCACGGGAGGGTTCCCTGGTTTCATCTGTCCCAGCCGTTCCAGGTGACCGAGAGCGAACATTGACAGGTTCATCACATTTTGGAACACATCGAGTCACTGCCAGTGCTACTCCTTTAGTATCTCCTGCAAAATCTTCGCGGATCATCAGGGATGTCTCCAGCGACGAGTTTGAATTCTCGGGTGACGAATCCGTCTTGGGACAGCAGCGTCGTACACAAGCATTGAAGCAGACTTTGAGCGATTTTTCGCGGTCACGCGAACACGCCAGAGAAAATTTTGCACGCAAAGAAATGCAAGGCAAGTAATGCGATGTAACTTGTAACGGCATGGTCTAAAACGTTTATCCAGGCTCTTCGAGCGATCCTGCTCATGTTGTCCCAAGCCATCCACCGACAATAGCAGCGGAGAATCGACCTTCACCTGTGATCCGCCACGCATGGGACCCATCTACCGATCAATATGTACCAATTGTCGCTGACAATGTTAGAATACCATTACAGAGTGAAGGACGTATGCGCCGTTCCAATGTGCACCCATCATCGTTTGATTATTCCAGCTTAGAAAGCATTGAAACATTTAGGCACGTTTCTCAAGGTGAGTATCAGCCATCACCGCGTTTGATCTAGTGTAGTTCACTTGTGCAAATAGCTCAGCATGGTTCACCAGCAAGTCGCACCCATGGTTCACCTGGGAGAAATGGGACCACCGGAGCCTCGCCTTTAAAGGCTATCCAGGGAAGTGGATCGAATAGACAGAGAGTCATGAGTGTACACGATTTGGTGTCTCCTAGCCCTGGTTAGTGTTTATCTTTTCTAGCTTATTTAAGTGTTTTTTCAAGGAAAGCTAAGCAATTCGACCACAATTTGTTCAGTTAAACCATACACGTCATCTGCGTTATCTCGTAAAGCTCCCAGCCCGTTACTGCTTGACGATGTTAACATGGAGGACGGAAGCCTGCATGTGGAAAGACCTCCAGTAGCTCGAGGTCCTATCGCTCCGGAAGTAGTAGAAACAGAGACTGCGCGAGCTCGTTTGAAAAAGCCTGAGGAATATCCGTACACTCAGCCAGACTATTTAGTAGCATCCCAAGCCCATACAGGCTCTCCGCCTAGACTAGATCGTCGACATAGTCCGTCTGAGGAACCATCAGCGATCGGATTTTCTCAAATGGCAACACCAGACATGTGGACTCCAGATCCTGATGCAGATAGGACACTTGCCGAAGTGGAAGCTCAAATAGCAGATGCACGGCTTTCTTCACCAAGGCCACCTGTCTTACTTCAGCCTGGGGAAAAGCTTAGTCAAGACGGGACAATGCGTATTCTGGCACCACGGGCCAAAGCGGACGAAAAGGATATAACAGAGATGCTTCGTAAAGCCATCATGTTACGCCGAGCTTTCGATCCTCAATCGCGAGAAGAGAGAGTCAACCCAATCCTCATGGACAACTTGGCTAGATCTGACGGACAAGAGCAAAAGCTGCCCTCGGTCTCAGGCGACGTGGTTGTGGAAGTCGTGGATCGTATACTTGCACAGAACGAGGAAGAACACCACATGAACGTACGATCTCTACTAGCAACTAAGTTCGCGGAACAAACGGAGCTCTTGGCCGAGAAAGTGCAGCGCTTACGGAACGAATACATGATGCTACACGAACGATGGGTGGCACACTGTACACATCTCGATTCGTTATTCAAGGCGAATGATATGCAGGAAGCCTTGACACAGGCAGGCCGAACAACGCGTCGTTCCGCTGCGACGTTGGGAGACGCGGTTAGATCTGACCTTGAGATGGAGCAAATTATTGCAAGCCTCGGTAATGAAGATCTGACAGACCCCAATCATTTGGCGGTTCGCAACGTTGCGAAGATACCCGACATGATCTCTGTTGTGAAGGGCTACGTTGATCATATGTTCGATGACACAAATAACGTGGTTGACGATCCGGAGGCATTCTACGATCCGCGAAGTGGTTTCTTCGACTGGACACCCGAAGAAGAGGCTATTTTCTACGCTAAATATGCCGAATACCCTAAACAATTTGGAATCATCGCGGAATCGCTTCCACACAAAACACCTCAACAATGTGTTCTGTATTATTACATCCACAAGAAACGGCTCGTTGACTTCCGGAATGCTGTTAATTCGGGTAATGGACGACGTCGGAGAGGGGGTGGAGTACGCAGAGCCGGAAAGCAGAAAGGAAACGCCCTTTTGGCAGATGTCGCGCAAGCTGACAGCAGGAGACCTGCTGGACGCGGTAGGCGACGTGGCAGAGGAGGGTTTGCCGATTCTGGAAGAGGTCGGGGTGCAGGTCCACCCCCCTCGACTGAGGAAAGCGTGGACGCCGACCCTCGGCCTAAGCGCCGTAGAGTTGCGGTCAGATATGATGTCGACGATGCCCTATCTGCAGTAAGCAGTATCCCCAACTGATGCTATCGCTTTCGTTTTCAACACTGCATGATACAGGATACTGATAATACCCGAGAGACATCTGTTGCTCCGCCAAAGAAACGCAGAGGGCGAAAGCCTGGGCCTAAGCCAACTATTTCTGCTGATAGTCCTGGAGCAAGTCCCGCTCCCGGAGACGGGAAGACCAACGATGCAAGCGAAACTCCTGGTCCTGGTCGTAGGAAACCCGGAACTACATCGACCTATTGGTCTGAATCCGACAGGGGTACATCACAGGCCTGCTCTTCATCCCTTTCGGGGATATACTGACATTATTATTGCTCGTAGAAATTTTTATGCGTCTGTTGGGTCGATACGGGAAAGATTTCAAGCGAATTTCTATGGAATTACCAAACAAAGTAGATCATACACATTACATGATCGTGATTCTTCGATGCTCATTCTAGTACCTGTTCAGACTAGTGTCCAGGTTGGCAATTATTACAAGAACCACAACAGAGAGCTAGGTCTGGAGAAGATAGCCCTTAACGCTATGAACCGTGTGCGTTCTCCGGAACAAGACATGTTCGTAAATGTCTCGAGGGCAGAAGCAGCACAATCACGAACGCCTACGGAGGAAGTCTCCGCAGAACAACTAATTGACAGGCAGGTCGCAGATGCAACTTCTGGCGTCGGTGTCTTAACGCTAGAGCAGAATGGCAAACCAGGACAATCGGTTCTTAGAGGCGCGGTCAATCCACGTCCTTCGAGCTCAAAGTCCGTTATCAATGTTTTGAACCCTGATGCATTTCAGTCGGCAGGGTCCAGTAGACCGCGAGGAGTGATCATCTCTTCAAACGGACAGTCTGCGTACACACTTGGAGTATCTCGTCAACCTGCTCAGCCACAGAGTGCTGCGACTATGACGTCTTCGATGATTAATCTCCAGGAGCGCCCATCGTCTTCAAGTCCGCACCGTTCGGATACAGTCCAGGATATTGCAGAACAGAGGCAGGTCAGGCCACGTTCCGCGGCACCCACAACACAATATACCTTCCACCCTCAAATGCCCGTGGCGATTCCGGCTGGTCATATACGCCCGACTCCATTCATGCCTGGGATGGCGAATGATGGATTTTCTCCGAGTAGCATGGTACAAATGTCGCACGGCCTCGGGGACTTCCGTGTCCAACAATTTTCCGCTTTTGGAGTCACTCCTCCATCTCGAGGCCAAAGCTCATCGCAACCTCCGGCCGAGAGTTCAAAGAAGCCTGCACGACAAGAATAATCTGTTATTACTTATTTCTCTTCCCATTTCTCTCTGTTCATTTGGTTTTCTATTATTTATCTTGAATTATACCGTTTCAATAGGATTTTTGGTCTTCTTTTCTGTCGTTTCATCCTGTTCTATGATCTTTATTGGTAGTGCTCCTTTTGGTTTTTTACGATTGTGGATGGTAGTGTTTGGAGGTTAAATATTTTACTGTCTCGGTATTATAAAGGCATTGTCATCTTAATTCACCCAACCCCTGTGTTATTATTACTTGACTACTACAACTGTCTGAATATGAATGAGTTTATTCGGTAAAGAAGTTAAGAACGTGGAGATGTCCCATTAGGTCACGTGCATCATATTGTTCCAAGTCGTTGTCATATTGGTGAAGCAGTTCCTGTATTCTTCTCAAATCAATCTGAGTCTGCGTTCCAAGTACCTTATCTATCCCGGTTCTGAAGAATGGGAAAGAAAGCGGCGGACAAGAAACCTGCAGACAAGAAGGGTGGTTCGAAGAAGACTGATAATACCAGTGACGAGAAGGCACAACAGGGCAAGGTGAGTTCTCTTTTCGCCTTGATACATATTCGCCCTTTCGGGTTCTGTTTGTTTTGGGACCGTTGATTTAGAGATGAATCTAATTCGTCCTGATGTCCTTGATGTTCTTGCGGTTTGATGCCAGTTTGTTCAGCTCAGGATCACTGACGTTTCTTGTATCGCATTCTTCGTGTTTATTTAGGGAAAGAACGGAGGCTTGAAGCCCGCTACGGCTGTCAACGTACGACATATCCTATGCGAGAAACAATCGAAGGCTTTGGAGGCGTTGAAGTTACTTGAGGTGCGTTTCGGCAGTTCGAAGGCAGATGCCACATTTATTAGTTATTAATTTATGTGTCCTACCGTTACACGACCCGTTGTGTTTAGGAAGGACAAGCATTCGATAAAGTCGCGCAGACGTATTCAGAGGATAAGGCGAAGGGTGAGGTTGTCTTCTATATAGTATTTGGTCTTCTCATATTGACCTGAAAATCATAGCGGGAGGGAGCCTTGGTTGGATGTCCCGCGGATCTATGGTCGTACGTGTCTTCCTCACTCCTGTACCTATCGAGCGTGTGCTTCCTAATTACATGCTTTATTTTGAATACTTAATGTATTTAGGGTCCATTCCAGGAGAAAGCCTTCGAACTCACTCCATCAAGCGTGAACAAACCTATCTACTCACCACTTGTTAAGACAACCTTTGGGTACCACGTTATCATGGTTGAGGGAAGGCGTTGAGGATAATGTTAATAAGACAGAACCAATGGATGACTGCATTTGTTCAGGCGCAGGTACATGTATATTAATCGCTCTTGCTTTCGACTGGAACGTTATTATACCGAGTTCTTGAACGGGATCTTGATTGTATACTTTTATTATAGTAATTGCGTGCATAAGATTCTTAAATCATCATAAGAAACTACAGTACAAAAGAAACGGATTGCTATATATATAAGAATTTGGCACTGCAGGCGGGTAGGGACCTTCTACGTTTCTTTATATTCCTCATGCCAAACAATTATTTCTGGACTTTCAAACCTCTACCCATTCATTAACCCAGATCTCCCTCTTCACAACCCACCCTACAACCCTCACCGCCGCACCAACAACCCCCTCCACTCCTTCCCCTCCTTTCAAGCCTTTCGATTTGAAGAGTGAAAGCAACGCCTTCCAACTCCTCACATACCCCCTCACATCACTAACAAAAACCGTACTCCCTCTAATCCTCTCCTTCTCATTCTTCAACAACGTACGTAAGGCGAGGGATAAATGTGCAATTATGGGTGTTAGCGGGCCGAGGTGGGATGTGAGTGGGGAGGAGGGGAGGAGGTGGAAGACTCGGAGTCGTTTTGTACTCTTTGGAGGTGCAGATGAGTCTGACTCCTCTTTTGAGTCGGTACTGGTAGAGGTTGAGGATGGGGAGGAGGAATGGGAGGATAGGGCAGCTTTGATAGCTGGTGAGTCGATGAGCGATGTGAGCGCACGAGAAACGGCGGTACGGTACGGGTCGTTCGATAGATGTTCGTCGAACGTAAGGATCTATGAACAACAAAACCAGTGGCATAGAAGGATGAAGTACATAAATCATCCATTCTTCGTCCCGGAAAGTAAACCAAATTAATTGACTTACCGTATCTATTTTATTTTCCAAGATAAACGGTAAGACCGCACCAGCTATGCCATTCGGAGCCCAGTTTGCAGCTTTAAGTTTCCTACACGCACAGCGCCAAACATGAAAAAGTCAGTAAATCAACTCGCTCGAGAAGAAGTACCAATAATCGGTACGGAAAAAGAAATAAAAGTTATAAGTAGAACATACGATAGATCAACTGGAACTCTAGCCCTTCTACTCTCTTCAACACCCATAACATCCCAAAACGCCCTCTCACTCTCACCCCCCCATTCCTCTCCTTTTCCTTCCTCGCCCTTCCCCTCATCGGGATCCAAAGAAACAACCCACAACCCCAAATACTCCCTCCTCTTCTCCTCACTCAACAACCCAATCGTAGGCATCACCCTCTCCACGTCTCTCATCCATCCATCCCCACCACCACTATCCCCACTCCCAGGAAGGAGAATCATAACCCTTGGAACAATCAACTCCCCACTACCCCCGACCAACTCCCCAGTCACCCTATCCCTAATCGCACTAAACGGCCTCAAAGGCGCCTCAGCACTCCACAACATTTGCAACAGCGGGATGAGTAGGAAGAGGAGGCGGAATGTTAGGGTCGGGCCTACATTCGTGCCCGTATTCGCGTTTGCGTTTGCATTTTGAGGTGGAGGAGGAGCAGGAGCGGTAGTAGGGGTGTTCACGGAAGCACGAGTAGTAGACGAAGCGTCATCGGCGACAGCAGTTGATCTGGCAGTTTGATTATCACTAGCACTAGCTTTCGACTTTGCTTGCTGTTTCGACGAGCCCTTCGAGTTCCCAGCTGTCTTTCGCGCCATGATGGTCGATAGCGCCGAAGAGACGAGGTGAACTGAGATGACCTCGTCTCTTCTCATGTCGGGTAGTGCCGTCAAAATAAATGGAGGCTAAATGAATGCTCCAGTTGAACCTTACTGCCGAGATACTCCCATGCGTCCATCATTACTACTAGTCTAGTAAAAATTACGAAGCATATATCCTAGGTCTTTTCAAAGTATTTTGCTTGCTGTATCTGAGGTCAGCAATGACACCGACATTCACGCGCTGTGGCTCTTCTACCGAGCCATGACGTTCACACCAAGCCTTATTTGCAAATATGCTTCAAATGGTTCAAAATAACAAAGCAGCGTGGAGGAAAAACTACACTCCCAAAAAATAGCTGTACAAGCGTCATCAAATGCTGCTAAGTCCTATCACATCGCGTACCTTAACACAGGCATACATTCAGTATCGCTAACGGCAATAAAAGGTGAAGCAACCTACTTTCGTGTCCATTCTCTAGCTGTCGCCTCGTACCGTGCCCGGTCAGTCTTATACAAGTGTGCAATATCAGGGACAAGCGGGTCATCCGGGTTGGGATCTGTCAGCATCGAGCAGATCGACAGGAGCACTGCATGACAAAGGAAAAGGAGGAGGGGAAAAATTAAGAGGCGTGTAAGCAGTGCTACAATTTTACCGTTGTGACAAGTGAAGAAAAAGCAAACATGCCTTTGGAGATCGTCAGTGCCGGAGACCACTGATCACGCAGGATGTCAAGACAGATCGATCCGTTTGCGTTGATGTTCGGATGGTAGATCTTGGTCGTGAACGAGACCTTGGGTGGCTTAAAGGGGTAGTCGGTAGGGAAGACGATGGAAAGGAAGAATACTCCGCCCGCATATGGCGAATCACCCTGATAAGGCGGAGAAATTGCATAAAAACTGCGTCAGATCGCGCTTGATCGCGGGGCATGCGGAGACAAATGAAGAAAGTGAAGAGCGCAAGTAAGCCTGCCACATGTGGCAGACTCACAGCCAAATACAAACAAAACCAGAGACACACGGCAAAAGGAAAGAAAGTGGATCAAAAAACTGAAAAAGCCACTCACCGGACCCATGATAGTTGCTTGCCAGTTGAACATGTTGTCTGCTGACGGACCAGCGCTGCATGAGGAGGGCGGGTCACGTCCGAGGTCAATCAATTCCTGTGGATTTTTGCATACAGGGTGAAGGGTAACGAGGTCAGTAAGCGCGTCTAGCAGGGAGGAGGCGGTGCGGCGCTTAATGCCACCTCCTCTAACACGTCTCACGTCGACGAACTCACCTTGTTAATGCGCTTCAGAGCCATTGCAAGTGGAAACTAGATGAAAAACTTGGAAGCGGGCTGCGGATGTGAAGGTGAGGTCACGCGAGGATGGGGGCCGATGAGCGGCGTTGTCGGAGGGCAGATAGCAACGGACGATCGTCGCGATTAGACACAAGAGCACGGTAGACGGCGAAGAAGCGGGTTGTGATGAGCAAAACGGACAGAAATGAGGAGGAGGATGGAGGACTCACTGGATGGTGGAGGGCAGAGTGTGGTGGAAGAGAGATGATGGCGGTTGCAGACAAGCGAATATCACTGACGGGAGGTGCCCATACACGTCACATGACTCAGCTTCGGCTTCGCTTTGGCACTGGCCACTCTACTAGTATTACTACCACTGACTCACTGCATTTGTAAATCGCGAATAAAAAAATAACCACTTTCACCCCTATCTATAGTGTTAATTGTCTATTATTCACAGCATTTAGGCCTTGCGCATGGTTATACGGGGCCAATGACCCAAAGCGTACCAGAGAAAAATAACAATAATAAATCCATTCAAGTAAGCTATACATCTTACGACGTATTATTACTGTTGTCCGGGTTCGTAGTATTAGTAGTGTTAATGCTAATAGTCACAACTCCCTGACTGTCTTCAGTGACAGAAGTTCCGGCAGTACCCGGTGCTTGTGCAGCGACAGGTGGGGCGGCGGTTGTGGGAGCACTGGCCGCACTAGCGCTGGCTGCGGGAACAGCAGTGACGGGAGGTGGTGCACTAACAGGAGCAGCAGGAGGGACGGATTGAGTATTGTTCGAAGGCGGCGTCGCCACAGTATTGGAAGTAGCAGGCACAGGAGGAGTTGTTGAGGATTGGCCACTTGCGTATCTAGCCAGGACAAATTTATTAAATTATTGTTCAGAACGCCCAGAGGCACGACGTCAGATGCCACACTTACTTTTGTGTCCATTCCCTAGCAATAGTCTCATATCGTGATCGATCATTCTTATACATATGCGCAATCTCCGGCACAAGCGGGTCATCCGGGTTCGGGTCCGTAAGTAACGAGCAAATTGATAATAACACTAATATCAATTCACAATGGATATTTTCAGCACTCGTATTATGGGGTAAAGTTATAATCAAGAAGAATGTATACTGACCTTTCGACAACGTCAAAGCAGGAGACCACTGATCCCTCAAAATATCCAAACAAATCGACCCATCGCTATTAATATTCGGATGAAAAATCGTCGTCACGAACTTCACTTTCGGAGGTTTGAACGGGTAGTCTACAGGGAAGTGGATGTCCACGTCGAATATGCCTCCTTGGTATGGCGAGTCAACCTATACACCAGGAAATATCGTCAGCTCTCGGTATCGTCAGATGAATCGAGCAGTTGCGAAGGCGACATGTGGCGAACCCTCGCAAAATAGCACTCCCAACGACCTCTTCTTCCAACAACTCGGAACGAAAGACGAAATGTAAAGCCAATACACACCGGACCCATAATTTTCGCCTCCCACTTAAAGATATCACTCCCCGTATCGTCCTTCAATCCCGCACTACAATTCGGAGGAGGGTCGTTCCTCATATCGTTTAACTCCTAAAAAAAAGGAATAAATTATATAGTTAGTAAATGATTTCGATTCAGTATGAAGAATACAGATGGTAGGAAGGTGAGATGTGGCGTCTATCTTCGATTCCCTTGCCTAATGACTCAAGGATATAGGAATTTACACACCTTGTTTATACGTTTCAATGAAGCAGCCATGATTAATCTTCCCTTTTCTCTACCTTTCTACTCCTGATTTATGAGTTGAGAACAGTGGCGTCAAACCCAAGATTCGTAAACTATCAATACAACCTCCTCTAGTACGAGAAACTCAAACGCACACACCTCAAATTTTCTCAGGTGGACACGTCTTTAAACGTCAATGGATATGAGGGAGGACAAGCCAAAGAGTAGCCACGCAAAGGTAGCGAAAGGAGGAAAAGCAGTCACCCTTCCAATCGTAACCGCTACTTATACTTAGATTGAAAATTCGTCTATACAAACGGAGATAATTCCCTACTTTGCGGTGTAAGTATCGTGTAATTGGTGTCGGCGTCGGCGTCGGCAAAAGCTCAATACCAGGTTCCAACACGGACCGACGGATGACAAGGGGTTCGTCACGCTGTATCGGTACGATTTATGTTGGAGTTATTCTTTTTATGCAGGAAAGGCGGAGTCGAGTCCATGATTTGGGATAGGATATGTCGATAGCTAATGTCAGTCACGTTCCTGCTCTGCCGAAGTCAGTTGGAACCTGCTTTTCTCTGCGGTTTGAGCATTCTGTGTCATCAGGACTGAGCGTGAGGTGTAGTCAACATAAAGATTTGTCAAGTGAAGCACATTGGACATTTCCAGGCTGGGCCACAACTATGTGTAAACATCTTACGTAAGTAATAGGGGATTTCGTAATGATTGTTTCTCCCCTATAATTACTTAGCTACAAACTCCCCGCAGACAAGGTCCGCTGAACCTCATCGCCGTGGGGTCAGAGCTATGCGATTCATACAACTCAGCTGAGAAAATAGCAATGTTGTCAGCCGTTTGAATGACCATTGGTAAATTAGTAATTGAACAAAGCCGAGCTCACAAAGTGCAAGTGCAGAGCGTTTGAAGTGCCGCTCCAGTGTCGTGTAATTAACATTCTGGATACCAAATCGTGTGCTTGTTCCAGCGTTCCATTCCAATGTGTCAACCATCGCTATAATTATAAGTTTATGGAATACCTTGCGATTTAAGAACAGTCGAGATGCGTACCCCAAGCGAATGTTCCTGCGAGAGGAATGTTGTCCTCGTGGATAGCTAGAAGAAATTCGCCAAGATAGGTCATGTAGAAATCTATTTCTCTTGATCAGGAAGCGTCACATAGTGAAGAGAAGGATTGATCTCACTTGTTCGATCAGCGTCGTCAAGGATGTAAGCAAGGTCCGTGCGAATACCCTCCTCCGCCTGCGGAAAGCCAAACTCGGAGATATACTACATAATTTATCAGAGGCCCGTTATGAACTTATGAGCCATACTTCTCAAACATACGATTTTATCGTACGGCCAACGCTTCTTGAGCTCTTTCAACTCATATCTGAGATTTTGCGGTGTCGCGAAAAGCCAGTTCTGCGTTGGTTCTGGGACATATCCTATAGGCCATCCCGTCGCAGAATCATAATACACTTGTACGTTACATGTAGGCCAATTAGGGTCACTTGAGTTCGCGGCGCAAGCTGATATTTCGTTCTCTGGTGCTGCGATCCAAACACCTCGATATAGGTCAATCGCGAAGAAGTCTGCCGAGCCTATTCATCCAGACCGATAAGACATCCTTTCAAGCAGGAAAGACAAACGTATGCTAGCCTTTTATTTCCTTCTTTTCCTCTTCGGTAAAACGGGGCAATATCGTCTCATTCAAGGTATCGGTCATGAGTTTGGGCCAGTCTCCCGAAACATATACAGGTTCACTAAACATTCCAACGTAAAACGCCGCATTGCGCTCCACAGCTTCGAAATCCTCTGTCGTGTTAGTTTGCCATGGCTTGCCTCTATGGACAAAAAGAAAATAAAGGAAAATTTCAGTATCTGAGATACTTTGATTCTACGTGGCTGAACGCACACAAAGCCGTCATTCTTGAAAGCGATTTCGCCTTCTATTCCCATTTCTCGAAATGCTTTCACCGCTCCCGCATGTGCCTTTACTGTAATTAAGAGAACTTTCGTCAGTATGCACAAATAAGATATAGTCGAAATTACATAGATAATAGGCACAATGGTACATAGCATTACCAAGCGTTACGTTTGGCGACAATGTTGTATCTATAGCGTTTGAGCATTAGTAGGCGTTATTGAAAGAATATTACGCACTGAACGGATATTCGAGTATCTGGGAACAGATAACATGAGGTTCGTTGAACGTATACCATTGTTTTACTCGGCCATTATATGCCTTAAATACAGTCGTCGCATAGCTGGTTGCAAAATCTCTAAGAATAGCGCAATTCAAAGGGAAATAAGGCTCACTTTACAAAGTCGCCCACGAACTCTTCAGAAGTCATACCACCATAGTAGGCACTTAGAGCGAGTGGCATGTCCCAATGATCTGAATGAGGAGAATAGCTGTCAGTGAGCCTGGGTGAGGGCGTCGCGGAAGGAAAACATAACATACACAGTGTGACGATGGGCTCAATTCCCAAGGAAATTGAATAATTAATTACTGGAATGGATTAATGAATAAGAAAAAAATGCTGATCCAATCGATCAGAAAGACGTACAATCGGAATAGTGATTCAAACCCTGCTGGTTCACGGGTGAGTCTCTCGTCCCGAACGGGAAGATTCGTGCCCACGAGATCCTGCAAAGGTTCTCCGCGTGAGACATGATGATTATTCAATTACTGTAATTTCACATGCATACGAGAATGAGTGGGCATTTGAATCCAAGAGCAGCCGTACGAGCCGTATCATTCTTGTAAAGCAGGTATTGGAGGTCCGTGATATCCCCGTTAGTATCGTCAATGACAAAACCGGGTTGGCGTTGAGCCCAATCCCAATTGGTAGGTCCTTTGCCTTCCAGCTTAACAGCACCTTCGACTTGGTAAGCTGCAGTCACGACCCCGAATTTGAAGTTCTTTGGAAGCTTGAGGTCCGGAAGCACCTTCTCGGGAGTAACTGCATACCACGTCGGGTATACGGGAGGAGCTGAGGCGGGTAGAGTAACTGGTACTTCTGCTTCGACTGTGGTAGTGAACGGCGGGTCTTCAACTTCACCAGCCTTGCAAGAAAAAGGTCCGTAAGTTACGTGAGATAAATACGGGTTAGTAGTCGTGATAACGTACGAGATTCCAGAGCTCATCGAGAGTTTCATTTTTATAAGTACGCGGGATAGAACCGATCGGGATAAAGGGAGCACTCGTCGGTATCACTGTGGTGGTTGTACTCAGGGAACCGGGGAACGAAGTAACCACAGTAGCAGGAGCAGACGTAACCGTCGGCATCGACGGAATAAAACTCGAAGGACTTGACTCAGGTAGAGTCGACGATGCACTTAAAGAGAAAATAGAGGTCGCACTTCGTATACTACTCTGGGCTGCACATGCGGTGAGTAGACAGAGGTGCCAAAACATGAGAGTGCGTAGAGTGGTCATAGTGTACGAGTTGTATGTCGGCACGAGCACCCAGCATGCAGGTAGTCGTCTGACCCCTGTATTATATACCAACTTCTTGCGACATTGTATCAGCAAGCAGAAAGTGTGACGAGAACTGCGGATTGAGCGTATAATACACTGTACTCGAGCAGTCAGCACTGATGACATGGAAAGGCGTCAATCTTTCTCGGTAATTGCAATCTAGTCTGGCTCAGCTGATCCTACGTCCAAGACGAGTTGAACATAGGATATACATTGCTCGAATAGGGTAAACATGGATCTTGGCACGTTTGATAATGGAAGCAGAAGTTCAGGCATCAGGTTCTATCCCTGTTCCAGGTGACCCGGGAATAAATCATGACTTGCACTACAACGGAACGGAGTGCGACGGACCGTATTGAAGGAATAAGGGCATCGGTATTTGCGAAGATATGAAGTGTTCTTCACAGAAGAGGTGTAGGGACATTCATTGACGTTGAAGAGAAGACGCGTAGAACAAATTCAGCAGTAATCGAAAAGTGAGGTCATCGAGCACATTGGATATATCACTAGACTAGACAGATTTGGTCGAAATGCAAATACGTACAAATAGCTTACGTATGTAACAAAGATGACGAATATGACCTACTGCCTCTTTCAATAAGTTAAACTGCACGATCCTTCCAAACCAGGAATATTGAATCTCATCTGTAGAATACTCGGTCAAGTATGACCGATACTGAGCGGTACGAGCGGTGGCCGGAAGTATATATGCCACCACCCGATTAGGGAGCTGGTCCAAATGAAGGAAAGTAATTTCGAAACGAGTGTGGATGTTATCAGTAAAAAACGAGTGTGGGAGTAAAACGAGCGTGGTAAATATCATTGAAACGGGTGTTGCCCTATATGTCCCTCAAGGTCTCGAGATCGTCTCTAAGATTTACGATTTGTGGGAATTGTAGAAATCCGCTGCGTGAGCAGTAATAATAATGTCAACGTTTGAACTGCAATCGGAAATCGGATTGGCAAAACTTACAGAGTGCAATCGCTGAGCGTTTGAAGTGCCGTTCTTGAGTTGTGAAGTTGACATGCTGAATTCCGAATCGTACACTTGTTCCAGAGCCCCATTCGGCGTTGTCCAGCAATGCTATGTTTAAAGTTTACTGAGCACCTCGCATTTACGAATAAATACGAATACTTACACCAAGCGAACGTTCCTGCAAGTGGGATCCCGTCCTCGTGGATAGCTAGGAGAGCTTCACCAAGATAGGTCAGGAAGTAATCTATTTGCTCATCAGATCGTGCTATAGTGACCGGACGATTGATCTTACTTGTTCGTTCAGTGTCGTCAAGGACGAAGGCCAGGTCCGTGCGGAGGTGTTCCTCTCCCTGCGCAAAGCCAAACTCGCCGATATACTGTTAACTTTGTCAGAAGATCGTTAGTGGAAAGCATCACTCATAATAACGTACGATCTTTTTACTCGGCCAACGCTTCTTGATCTCGCCTAACTCAAATCTGACGTTTTGTGGTGTCGCCATGAGCCAGCCCGCTTTTGCGTCTGCGGCGTATCCCAGAGGCCACCCCGTCGCAGAATCATAGAACACCGGTATGTTGCATGTAGGCCAGTTGGGATGACTTGAGTTCGATGCGCAAGCGGCAATACCATCCTCAGGCGCAGCGATCAAAGGGCTTCGGTATGGGGCAATCGTAAAGACGTCCGCCGAGCCTGCTCATCCAGACCCATGAGACATCCCGACAAGTGGATACAGTAAAACATAGACTTACCTTTAATCTCATTCTTTTCTTCTTCGGTGAATCGGGGTAATATTGTCTCATTCAAGGTATCCGTCATGATCTTGGGCCAGTCTCCTGAACCGTATACAGGCTCAGCGAACATTCCTATATAAAATGCTGCATTGCGCTCCACAGCTTCGGCATCCTCCGTCGAGTTTGTCCGCCATGGCATGCCTCTACGGAAAAAATCAGGACCTAATATACTTTAAATGTACGTGGCTAAACGCACACAAAACCATCATTCTTGAACGCGATTTCACCTTCTATTCCGAGTTCTCGGAAGACCTTCACCGCCTTTGCGTGTGCCTTTACTGTGAACATGTAATAGGTCTCGTCAGTACGCGGAAAAATGGGAAGTTGTCGACATATTGAACTCACACAGATAATAGCCACAGTAGTACATAGCGTTGTCGGCCGTAACGTTTGGAGATAAAGTCGTATCTATTGTGTTTGAGCATTAGTTGTTAGGCGTTGTAGAAGAATATTACGCACTGAATGGATAGGTGGTTATCTGAGAACAATAAACATGAGGCTCGTTGAACGTATACCATGTTTTCACTCGGCCGTTATAGGCCTTGAACACAGTTGTCGCATAACTGGTTGCAAGGGCTATGAGAACAGAATAAATTTGGGAGAAAATAACTCTCACTGTACAAAATCGTCCACGAATTCCTCAGATGTTATACCACCGTAATAGGCACTAAGAGCAAGTGGCATGTCCCAATGAACTGAATAAAGAATATAGAGGTCAGTCAGAACCTCGCAGGAAGGAAAAATGACATACAGAGTGTGACAACGGGCTCGACTCCCAAAGAAATTGAATAATTAATCACTGTAATAAATTAGATGAATACCAATGTCACGGATTATAAAGACGTACAATCAGAATAGTGATCGAGACCCTCCTGGTTCACTGGTGAATCCTTCGCCCCGAACGGGAAAATTCGCGCCCATGAGATCCTGCAAAGATTTTGAAGAGTGAGTCATGAAGATAATTCGAACTGATTTAACCTCGAATGCGTACGAGAATGAATAAGCATTGAACCCAAGAGCAGCAGTCCGTGCCGTATCATTCTTGTAGAGCAGATACTGGAGGTCCAAGATATCTCCATTGGTCCCGTCGCTGATAGCGCCCGGCTGACGCCCAGCCCAGTCCCATCCGGTTGGTCCTTTGCCTTCCAGTTTAACAGCACCTTCAACTTGGTAAGCCGCAGTCGCAACCCCAAACTTAAAGTCCTTTGGAAGCTTGAGGTCCGGAAGCACCTTCTCGGGGGTAACCGCATACCACGTCGGATATACCGGAGGAGCTGAGGCGGGTAGAGTAACAGGCACTTCTGCCTCGGCCGTAGTAGTGAACGGTGGTTCTTCAACTTCCCCGACCTTCCAAGAAAAAGATCAATAAGTTATGTGAGATAAATTCAGAATTGTATTATCATAACGCACAAGATTCCATAGCTCATTCAAGCCTTCATCCGAATAATCACGCGGAATAGAGCCGATCGGGACAAAGGGAGCACTCGTCGGTGTTGCTGTGGTCGTGCAATCCTCGGAACTGGGGAGTGGAGCTGCAGGTGTAGGGGTAACTGTGGATGCAGGTGGAGCGGAACTCAAGTAGCTAGAGGTCGCCCTCAAATAATTAGTCTGTGCGGCACAGACAGTTATTAGAGCAAGATACGAGACCAAAAGAGGGCGTAGAACAGGCATAATAAAAAAAAGGTGTATGCCAGTGCCCTTGTCTAACCCCCGTACGTTTTATATCTTTTTTCTTTTGCAACATAACCGCTAAACAGAACGCTTGACGAAGAAGCGTGCATTGGGCGCATGATACCCCTTTTCCGCCCCGAGGAATTGATCGGGTTCGTTCCCCTCAAGGGAAGGCGCCCGGAGAAAAGCTCTTGGATCCTTGGCGAAATAAGCAAATATGGCAGTGAGTAATGTCCCGTCAGAGCTAGGAACGTTTCTTTTTTCGTTCTACACCATCAGATCAGTGTGAGCCGAGCTGGAAACTGTATAGTCTGTAGCCAAGATCCAAACGGCGATACATGTAACGTTTGACAATTTGTTTTAGACATGCCGTCGAAGATCGCCATGCCATACGTGGTTTAGTCGATACGATCCTATCCTAGTTCATTTTTGTAATTCAATCCAATTGGATGACGTCCTGTGAAGATGTAGAAAGTTAGTAAACGTTGCAAGCGTAACAGGCTCCGCTTTACAAATGGTATGACCGAGGCAGGATGAAAGTGGAGACGACGGTTGCATGGAGAGTAGGCATGAACCCTGGCGTGGTCGAACATACGCAGAGGCTTGCACATCGAAGTTTCCACCACCGCGTCAGATGACGCAAAGAAGTAGATCTTGGCTTGTGCACGACGGCGTACGGCAGACTGTATTGAAGCAGAAAGGATGTTGCTACTTGCAAAGACCTACTGCTATTAAGACTGAGAAGGAATGCCAAAGTAGAAACGAGCGAGTCGTGCAAATTGGATATTTCCATATCAGTCGCTTAACAGCTTAGCACAAGTACTTTACGTAATCAAAAGTTTGTGTCGTGAGTAGTTTGTTTGTCCTTTAGTCGACCAATTAGCTAGCTACACGATGCCTCCGAAATAGCGAAACAGAGAGTACTTCATCTCAACTCCGTTCTTACGACTTATGTGAATTATAGAACTCCGCTGCGAGAGTAGAATACCATCACCGGTTTGAAGAGTTGTTAATAATTAAATAAAGCGAAGCTCACAAAGTGCAAGTGCTGAGCGTTTGAAGTGTCGTTCGAGCGTCGTGTAATTGACATTCTGGATTCCAAATCGCGTGCTTGTTCCGGAGTTCCATTCGGCGTTGTCCACCATAGCTATATTGACAGCTCACTGAGTACCTTGTGATTCAAGAGGATTTGAGACACATACCCCAAGCGAACGTTCCTTCGAGTGGGATGCCGTCCTCGTGAATTGCTAGGAGAGCTTCGCCGAGATAAGTCATGTAGTAATCTATATGGTTTGTCAGATCTGGCCACATAAAAGGAGGATTGATCTCACTTGTTCTGTCAGCATCGTCTAGGATAAAGGCAAGATCTGTGCGGATACCCTCCTCTGCCTGTGCGAAGCCAAACTCGGCGATGTACTAGGTAATTTGTTAGAAGTCTTTTAATGCTTTGTAGCATTTTAAGACATACGATTTTATCGTATGGCCAACGCTTGTTGAGCTCCTTCAACTCGTGTCTGACGTTTTGCGGTGTTGCGGCCAGCCAGTTCGCAGTTGCTTCTGGAGTGTACCCAATAGGCCATCCCGTCGCGGAATCATAAAACAATTGTATATTACATGCAGGCCAGTTGGGGTCACTTGAATTAGACGCGCATGCCGCAATTCCGTTTTCCGGGGCTGCGACCCAAAGGCTTCGGTAAAGGTCGATCGCGAAGAAGTCTGCCGAGCCTGCCCATGCAGATTGGTGAGAAATCCTCTGAAGGTGATGAAATAAAATACCTTTAATCTCCTTCTTTTCCTCTTCGGTAAACCGTGGTAATATTGTTTCATTCAAAGTATCGGTCATGAGCTTGGGCCAGTCTCCCGAGCCATATACGGGCTCGCTAAACATTCCGATATAGAACGCTGCATTGCGCTCCACAGCTTCGGCATCCTCCGTCGTGTTTGTTCGCCATGGCTTACCTCTATTTATGGAGAAAATTGAGGACCCGAAATAATAAAAAGACTATGCAATTGAACGCACACAAAACCGTCGTTTTTGAACGCAATTTCGCCTTCTATTCCCATTTCTCGGAAGACTTTCACTGCTCTTGCATGTGCCTTAACTATGAACACAGAATGGCGGTGTTAGCATCCTCAAATCGGAGGTGGTCGACATATTGGACTCACGCAGATAATAGGCACAATGGTACATAGCATTGCCAACCGTTACGTTAGGTGATAATGTTGAATCTATAGCGTTTTAGCATAAGGAAAAGTCATTAGGTAACCTCACGCACTGAATGGGTACGCGAGTATCTGGGAACAATAGACGTGTGGTTCGTTGAACGTATACCATGTTTTCACACGGCCGTTGTAAGCCTTGAACACAGTTGCCGCATAGCTAATCGCAACGGTCATAAGAATACGAAAACCTGCATACGAAAAACCTCACTTTGCAAAGTCTCCTACGAATTCCTCAGACGTCAAACCACCGTAAAAGGCACTAAGAGCAAGTGGCATGTCCCAGTGAACTAAATAAGGCATAAGGAGGTTGGCTGAGGCGTCGCAGAAGGGAAAGAAGACATACAGAGCGTGACGACAGGCTGGACCCCCAAAGACAGCGAATAATCAATCACTGCAATGGATTAGAAAATGCCACTTTTGTCGACCAGAAGGACGTACAATCGGAATAATGATCTAGACCCTCCTGGTTTACTGGTGAATCACTGGTCCCGAACGGGAAAATTCGCGCCCACGAGATTCTGAACAAGGTTTGAAGAATAAGTTATGAAGATTATTCAAACAGATACAACTTCGATTGCATACGAGAATGAATGAGCATTGAACCCGAGAGCAGCAGTCCGCGCCGTATCATTCTTGTAAAGCAGATACTGGAGGTCCACGACATCTCCATTAGTACCGTCAATGATAGTACCAAGCTGATGTCCACCCCAGTCCCATCCAGTAGGTCCCTTGCCTTCCAGCTTGGCAGCGCCTTCGACTTGGTAAGCGGCAGTAGCAACCCCGAACTTGAAGTTCTTTGGAAGCTTGAGGTCTGGAAGCACCTTCTCTGGAGTAACTGCATACCACGTCGGATATACCGGAGGGGCAGAGGCGGGTAGCGTGACTGGTACTTCTGCCTCAGCCGTGGTAGTGAACGGTGGTTCTTCGACTTCTCCGACCTTTCAAGGAAGAAAAAAGAAACGTCCGCATGTTTCGTGAGATAAACAAGGGATTCTAAATTGTAGTGACGTACAAGACTCCAGAGCTCGTTGAGTGTTTCGTTTGTATAATTACGTGGAAGAGAACCTATCGGGATGAAAGGAGCACTCGTCGGTGTCACTGTAGTCGTTGTACTCAGGGAACCAAGGAGCGAAGTGACCATAGTAGCAGGTGCAGAAGTAACCGTGGATGTCGATGGAGTGAAACTCGAAGGACTTGACTCAGGTAGAGTTGAAGATGCGCTTATAGATAGTCCAGAGGTCGCGCTAAATATACCACTCTGAGCAGCACACGCACTGAGCAGAGCGAGATGCCAGATCGAGAAAGAGCGTAGAATAGTCATAGTGTACGAGTTGTATGCCAGTGCGAGCGCCCAACATGCACATCGCCGTCTGACTCTCTCACATTATATACTAATTTATTGCGACACAATCGCAAGAAGCAGAACGCATGATGAAGAAGCGCGGATTGAGCGCATGATGTTCACTATATTATCACTTGGGCAAACGGTGCCGATGACATGGAAGGGGATCAATCTTTTGATAACTGCGATCTCGTCGTCGTCAGCTGATCCTATGGTCATAACGATTCAGATGTAAGACATACGCTGCTCGGATGGAGGGTAAACATGAACCCTGGCGGGTTGGAAAAATGCGCAGAGGTTTGGACTGAAGTTCCATTCCTGGTCAGATGACTTGATGAAATAAAACCATGACTTGTACACAACGGAATATGGCGGACCGTGGTGAGGTAGGAAGGATGTTAATATTTGCGAAGACAAATAGTGTTCTCCACAGAAAAGGTGCAGGGACATTCGTGCCGTAGCGATGCAGAACGAAGAGAAGACGCGTTCCGAAATTCCGCGATTGCGAAGTACTTAAGTAGCAGCCATTGACTTCACGTGACCTCACTACCATGAATTTAGCTGTCGGTGAGGTAACTTGGTAAGGATCTGTTTTCATTCTTTATTACGGTGGTAAACTATGCAGATTGAATATTGACTGGCTTTACAGCGTATATCTGATAAGAACCAACAAACTCATTGAGGTTGATGTCTCGAATCATTTCCTTCTTGTTATCCACTGGGCCGACTTTTGTACTCGTCGAAGCGCAACATCCTTTAACTCCAGACTTCTCATCGGTGGCACAAGTTGAGATTTTCTGCGTTGTAGCACAGCATCCTGATGTTGATGTGTCAAACGTATTAGCTTTGATCATCGCGAAACTGCAGCCCACCAGCTATCGCCGAGTTCTTGGGAGTATTCCCACTATTACTATCAGAGCCGACTTGCAATATCCCATCCTTGTAAATATTCAGGTCCTTGTTGGTGTTTACAATCGTAATATCTGGGCAACAATCAAGTCAGAATAACTCCGATACCTGCAGATCGAAGTTACAACAAAACTTACCAGAAAACCCAGCGTCTCTCATCCATTGATCGTACTCTGTAACCAAACTTGCACCACTCACACAGCCTATATACAAACTAGCATCTTCTTTGATTTCCTCGGGAAGCGGTCGTTTTGCTAGGATGTCGGAGATGGAGACACGTCCACCTGGAACAAGAAGCCGGAAAATTTCACAGAAGACGAGTGGTTTCTGTACTTCCGGGACAAGGTTAATCACGCAGTTGGACATGATGACATGTGCAGTTGAGGAAGGGATGGGGATGGAGATGATATTTGATTTGATCTACAAGGGGGTGTGCGATACAGAAGCTGATTGATTAGTTCACTTCATGGGTATGAGTAGTAGGAAGGAAGCGTACAAATTCAACGTTTGCATAACCATCATTTTCAGCATTTCGGCGTGCCAGGTCAATCATCTCATCTGTCATGTCGATACCAATTGATTTTCCTGTTGGACCGACCTTCTTGGCGGCCAAAAATACGTCGAGCCCCCCACCAGATCCGAGGTCGATCGTTGTTTCACCCTAAGGCAAGCCATTTCCCAGAAGTATTGAAGCAGTCCAACAATGCTGCATAGAGTAAATAGCTTACTGGTTTGATATGGGCTATAGTAAGAGGATTACCACAGGAGAGCCCAAGATTTGCAGTCAATGGAAGTGAGGAGAGCTCCTCGGCGGTATATCCGAAGGCACTAGCAACGAGCGTATTATACTTCGAATAGTCTTCAGACTCATTTTCTTTGGCATGCAGTCCGTATCTGCCTTGAACAAGGACTTCTGTTTCCATTGACATTTTGTCTGAAATGGTGGGAAGCGTAGCCACTTGGGATGAGGAAGGATTAATGCAGCCCGAAAAAGTTGATAGCGGATGTGAGAGAAAGAGCGTGGGATCACGTAATACTGATTGTGCTTAGAACTTGTTAGCAGTCTGAGTACTCTGAACGTTCTACAGCTGAATTGTCTTTCTATTGCCTGCATGTCAAATTATTCATTTATATAAAATCATGATCTCACGGGATTGTGTTGCCGGCCGAACAGCCCCTTATGTAAGGTAAGTAAATCTATTTTTGCATCATACACTCTCACACTGCCATTGTGTTTTCTGCATGGCAAGTGCAGCGAACAAGCGCCCCTTACCCTTAATCACAACGTCTGGCCACCGTGTGCAACACAGTTCGCAGTCCAGTTGACGAAATAATTGCCCACTCGTCCCGTGTCATTCGATTTCTTCACGTATTACTTATTGAGTTTAGAAGGTTCACCCCTCAAATTATCCGATATACTACTGTGTGTAGGGAAGAAGGGCAAATACAAATCAATATTAGCACTCCAGGCATCTCTCTCTCTCTCTCTGTGTTTCCGTTTTGTTGCAAGGATTGTATTCTGATTGATACAAAGCTAAGGCATCCTGCCGTAAGATGAGCACAAATGCTCTTCCATGCTGGTAGTACCATGTGCTCAGAGAGATTGCAAGGCTGTTGAGAGGCATAAAACGACCAGGATGGCCTTCGGAGCAAAGCTCGAGGGCGGTTCGTCTAGTGCTCCGCACCGTAGCGTAATTTACGGATACGCTTGCAGCGTATACGCTTACGCACCGTATCGTAAGAGAAAATTTTAGCTGAAAATACGGGCGTATATTTACGCGCGTATGCGTATACCATAAGTAAAAAATTTCCGTATACGCCGTATACGAGTATACGGTATTACTAAGCATATTCTCTAATTAAATACTAAGTTTGAGTTTCTAAACCTCATTTACTTTACTTATTTATATACCAAATCATTTTAATACTATATAACAACCTTGTTTAACTTAAAAAGTACTAGTATGAGTACTACAGTTAGTATGGTTACTACGGTACATCACATGAAGGTTTAGAGCTGTCACGTGATATTAACTCACAATACTCAACTGTCTTATTTCTGTGTGTAAACAGCACTACAATACATTTTCTTAGCTCAGTAATATCAAGCATTTGTTTTGAAAGATGATAGTGTACTTTTATGAGCTATTTTAATGTAAAGTATCTTGTTATATTTGGCACAGCGTATACGCCGTATACGCCGTATACGGAAGTAGCGTATCGTATATGGGTCCTGCTGACCCAGTTTACGCCCGTAATTATACGCGCGTATGCGTATCCGTGGGAAATTTTACGCGCGTAAGCGTATACGCTACGCGCGGAGCACTAGGTTCGTCCCAATTCAATGGCCTCTTCCAGATCCTCGGTTCTTCCACGCCAGCCATACCGAGCCGTCAGAGAGGATGCAAGGTTGATAAGAGTCGTGGAGCGATCAGGATGGCCTTCAGGGCAAAGCTCTAGAGCGACTCGTCCCAACTCGATAGTTTCTTCCAGATCTCCCGGCTGACCCCATACCTCGAATCGTCTCAAAAGAGAAAGTGCAAGGTAAAACAACGATTCTAAACGATCAGGATGTCCTTCGGAGCGAAGCTTGAGAGCAGTACGATTCAATATAATAGACATTTCGAGTTCTTTCCGTTCCCCCGATCTCCCAAAGCATTTCGCAAATTCGATGGCGAGATTGTGATACGTCTGAGGATCACGCAGAGCAATAAAAACGTCTGGAGGAATTCGACTCGTGACCACCGACGACCTGGAGGAGGCTATCGAGTTGCATCGAGCCGCCCTCGAGCTTTGTCCCGAAGGTCATCCTGATCGCTCCATGTCACTCATCAACTTCGCAACCTCTCTGAGCACTCGGTACGACAAGTATGGAAGGACTGAGGATCTGGAGGAGGCCATTGAATTACATCGAGTCGCTCTGGAGCTTCTCCCCGAAGGCCATCGTAATCGCTCCCTGTCTCTCAACAACCTTGCAAGTTCTCTGTGCACCCGGTACTTCAAGCGTGGAATGGCCGAGGACCTGGAGGAGGCTATCGAGTTTCATCGAGCCGCCCTCGAGCTTCGGCCTGAAGGCCATCCTAATCGCTCCGCATCTCTTAACAACCTTGCGAGCTCTTTGAGCACTCGATATGACCGGCATGGAAGGACTGAAGATCTAGAGGGCGCCATCGAGTTGCATCGAGCTGCACTCAATCTTCAATCCGAAGGCTATCCTTATCGTCCCACGTCTCTCTACAGCCTTGCAAATTCTCTGTCCACTCGGAACTTCCAGCATGGAAGGAGTGAGGACCTGGAGGAGGCCATTGAGTTGTATCGTGCTGCCGTTGAGCTTAGCCACAAAGGTCATCCTGATCACTATATGTCTCTTGGCAACCTTGCAATCTCTCTGAGCACACGGTACAACCAGCATGCAAGCACCGACGACCTGGCGGAGGCCATCGATTTGCAACGGGCCGTCCTCGAGCTCATTCCCAAAGGCCATCCTAATATCTCTACGTCTCTCAACAACCTCGCAAACTCTCTGAGGATGCGGTATGATCGGCATGAAAGGGCTGAGGACCTGGAGGAGGCCATTAAGTTGGATCGAGCCGCCCTCGAGCTTCGGCCAAAGGGCCATCCTAATCGCTCCACGTCTCTCAACAATCTTGCAAACTCTCTGAGCACTCGGTATAACCAGTATGGAATGACTGAGGATTTGGAGGAGGCCATCGAGCTGTATCGAGCCGCCTTCGAGCTTCACCCTGACGGTCATCCGGATCGTTCCGGATCGTTATTGAACCTCTCAGAATCATTACTTGCCCAGGTTAAAAATCGATGGTGCATGGAACAGTTCGAGGAGTGTATGTGCTTACTGGAGCTTGCTGCTACTCACAAATTCTCAAGTTCGATGGATCGTCTTGATGCTGCGCGACGATGGGCAACGCTTGCACGATCTCACAACCACCACACTGCCTTTACAGCTTACAAGACAACAATATCAATATTTCAACACGCTCTCACCATAGATCCAACTCTCAATGCTCAGCATGATTTCCTTCTCAGGAATAGTGATCATAGAGTACTCTCCTTAGACGCTGCTTCCTACTCGGTGGAGAAAAATCGACTGGAACAAGCCGTAGAGATACTGGAGCAAGGGAGGGGCTTACTTTGGTCGCAACTGCGCGGTCTTAGGCCTCCTTTGGATCAGCTTATCGAAACAAACGAAGAGCTCGTCGAGAGATTCAGGAATGTCAGTCGTCGATTGGAGAAACTTGCAACGTCGCACGAAGCATTGATGTCCAGCTCAACCATGAGTGGAGGTGGATCGCTTGAACCAGACAGCGAATTGAGACGGAAATCATTTGACGCGCTATTGAGATCGAAGAGGCAACTTTCGCGTGAGCAAGAAGAGGTTATCAACGAGATTCGACGGGTTCCAGGGTTCGAGAATTTCCTTGAAGCTACGCCTTTCAGGGCACTGCAGCAGGCGGCATCAGAGGGCCCGGTGATTATGGTCAATCATTGCAAATATCGTTCCGATGCACTTATTATCGTTTCGCGGGATGACTTATCGGTTGTCTCTGTTCCGCTAGACAGTGCCTTCTTTGAGGATAGCAAGAAGGTCTGCAATGAGCTTTTGGAATCTCGTCAACGTCTTGGAGTTGCTTCAGCTCGTTATGACGAGAACCTTCGGGGAGCGATGAAGATGCTATGGGATAGGGTTGTTTCTAAGGTCATTGATAAGCTTACAGAAGTTGGTATCGCAAAAGGCTCTCGTATCTGGTGGTGTCCTACATCTGTGTTATCTGCACTTCCGTTCCATGCAGCTGGTCCGTACAGGGACACAGATGGCACCACAAAATACTTATTGGACGATTACATCTCGTCGTATACTCCGACACTCGGTGCACTAATTAATTCCCGATCTAATTGCAATTCGAGTGAACCAAAACTACTCATTATTGGAGATACTAAGACTCTGAAATCAACTCGACAGGAAATTCGGAATGTCTGGAACAGCACCGGCGACAGCATACTTGAACGGACAATACTCCTCGACAAAAAGGCATCTCGACGCACGGTGTTGGAAGGTCTCCAGAAAGCCACATGGATTCACTTCGCCTGTCACGGCCACTTAGGATCGAGGCCTTTTGACTCCTCGTTCAAGCTAGCGGACGGCGGATTGACACTGCTCGATATCATCCAAGCTAATGTCCCAAATGCCGAGTTTGCATTCCTATCTGCCTGCCATACAGCCGAGCTGTCTCATTCTGGTGCACACGACGAGGCACTACACCTCTCAGCAGCTATGCAGTTCAGTGGATTCCGAAGTGTAATCGGGACGATGTGGGAGATGTACGATGACGATGGGCCATGTGTCGCAAAGGCAGTGTATGGATACATGAACGAATATGAGGATGACAAAGCAAGGTTCAAAAGGGCGGCTGGAGGACTTAGAAAAGCGGCTCTGGAGTTAAGAGCGAAGGACTGGATCCCGGCTGAGCGATGGGTTAACTTCGTGCATATTGGTGCTTGAGTAATGTTATAATACGCTCCACACGTATTGCTAGTATCTTTTATATAGAGCTGTATCGTATTTCAATACTGAATTGGAAAAGAATAAGAACTGGCACTGTATGTTTTGTGCTGTCCAGGATTTGCATGAGTATGTGGAGAGCAGGACAAACAAAACAAAACAAAAAGGAGTGAAGAGGAAACAATCCAGAAATCATCGTCGTTTCTTGTCATTGCTACTACCAAGCTGTATGGGTGTAGAAGTTATACAACTGAGTTGGAGATAAATGAGGGGTAAAAGAAGGCAGCTTCTATTTATGTATCTAATGTGGTGAAGATGAATATCATAATCGCCAAGGCTGAACAACGGATCGGATATCGAATAATATCGATTTGACATCACTCTTCATTCAGTACAGTTCATTATAAACACTAATTTCTGCCTGCGTCGCCCGCTATCACGACTCAAAAGCTCCGGAATATGTTATTCTCAGGCTCAGTACTCACTACAACTGTTTAATCAACAAGGACTACATAGTCAACGCGGCCTAAATGCGGCGGCTTATTTTGTCATCTAGTACCATATCTTAAGTTTTATGCGATGTATAGAACTCCGCTATAAAGAAGAAATAGTAGAGAAGTAAGGAACCTGACGAGCGTAATCATTGTCTGCAGACTTACTTAAAGCAAGTGCGGAGCGTTTGAAGTGCCGCTCAAGGCTGGTATAGTTGACGTGCTGAATCCCGAAGTGCGAGGCTGTTATTCCGGTTGCCCATTCAGCATTATCTATCATCGCTACAGAAATAATTCATGAATAAGACTGGTATCTTCGTGGAGCGGGAATTGATTTGCACGTACACCAAGCGAAAATCCCTTCCAACGGAATATTGTCTTCGTGGATCGCAAGGAGACTTTCACCAAGATATGTCATGTAGTAATCTATTCACCTCATTAATTCACGTCAGCACACAAAAGTGATGAGCAGCATTACTGGTGCGGGGTGCATCGTCCAGGATAAACGATAAATCAGTTCGTACACCTTCTTCCGGAACTACGAAGCCAAATTCGGAGATGTACTATACAGAAACTATCAGCAAATCGACCTTGGCAGTATCAAAACTATTGCACGTACGATCTTCTTTGGTTTCCATCGCTGCATAATCTGCTTCAATTCATACCGAAGATTCTGCGGAGTTGCAGTGAGCCAGGAAGCAGCCGCTTCGGCGGCGATGCCAACAGGCCATCCAGTCGCTGCGTCATATCGCACTTCAATATTGCATGCAGGCCAATTTACGTCGTTTGAGTTCGCAACACATGCCGCTATGCCATTTTCTGGTGCAGCCGTCCATGCACTGCTGTATGCATCAATCGCGAAGAAATCTGCGGAACCTGCAGGTTTAATTTGTTTGAGAAATATCATCATTTGAAGATGAAATTGACCAGAGCTTACCCTTCAGCTCTTTCTTCTCTTCATCCGTGAAACGTGGGAGCAGTGTTTCGTTGAGAGTTTCCTTCATGAGGTCAGGCCAGTCTCCAGAGACATAAACAGGTTCACTGAACATTCCGATATGGAATGCTGCACTGCGCTCCACTGCCTCTGCATCGTCTGTTGAGTTTAGACGCCATTGCTGACCCCTGCGGGTTGACTCAGAACACTTCGAGATGCTTTTGGAACATCACGTTACGTACACAGCACCGTCATTTTTGAAAGCGATCTCGCCTTCGATGCCCATTTCGCGGAACAATTTCACTGCCCTAGCGTGGGCTTTTACTAATTAGGTTCAGTCGTGTCAGCCTTGTAATAATGGGTATACTTTGAGAATCAAATGCAAAACTTACATAAGTAATAGCCGCAGTGGTATAATGCATTGGCAGTTGTCACATTCGGGGACAGCATTGAAGCTATGAGAAGATCGCGAAACATGAGTACATTGCTGTCAGACAAGAGCAACGATCCTCACTGAATGGGTACGTTGTAATTTGGCCACAGTAAACATGTGGTTCATTGAACGTGTACCAAGTTTTCACACGGCCTTTATACGCTTTGAATACCGTACTCGCATAGCTGATACCAGAAAAGTTGGAACTCGGATTAGCAACAGATGACAAGGAGCTTACTATGCGAAGTCTTCTACAAATTCTTCAGACGTAAGGCCACCATAGTATGCAACAAGTGCAAGTGGCATGTCCCAGTGGACTAAACATCCTAATTATCAATAGAACTGCTTTGCTGGAATTGCGGAGCTGCTCCTACAAAGTGTGGCAACAGGTTCAACTCCCAATGAGATGGAATAATCAATTACTTTGAGGACCTTTAGCGATTCAGCTATCACGATAGAAACGAAGGAACTCACGATCGGAGTAGTGGTCCAATCCCTGCTGGTTCACTGGAGAATCCCTCGTGCCAAAAGGGAAAATGCGCGCCCAGGAGATCCTACGGAAAGATATTGCGTATAAATTTATAAGCATGAAAGATGAAAAGCGGGATGACATACGAAAATGAATGTGTATTCAAACCGAGAGCAGAAACTCGAGCAGTGTCGTTTTTGTACAGCAGATATTGTAAGTCCACGATGTCCCCGTTCGTGCCATCAGCGATAGCACCGGGTTGACGGCCCGCCCAGTCCCAGGTAGTTGGTCCTTTGCCTTCAAGCTTTGTTGCACCCTCAACTTGATATGCAGCGGTGGCTACACCGAACTTGAAGTTTTTGGGTAGTTTCAGATCTGGAAGGACTTTTGCGGGTACGGGCGCATACCATGTCGGATAAACTGGAGGAGCAGATGAAGGTAGAGTGACGGGAACAACAGCCTCGACAGTCGTAGTAAATGGCGGCTCCGCAACTTCACCAACCTAGGATAACAATTAGAAATGTTCCGAAAATTTAGACAATGTTCAACACGTGGTGACGTACAAGGTCCCACAGTTCATTGAGTGCCTCCGGTGAGTAATTGCGCGGAATGGAACCAATTGGAATGAATGGTGCACTGGACGGGAATGCGCTTGACGAGCCTGTTGCTCCAGGTGAAGAAAAGGTTGACGTTGAAGGTGCAGATGTGATGGTGAGAGAGGACGATGCAAAACTCGTTGAGCCAGAGACGATACTCGTTGACGGAGCAAAGCTTGATGGGCTAGAAGCTAAGCTAGTTGACGGAGAAAGGCTTGGTGAGCTGGATGCTAAGTTCGTTGATGGCGACAATATCGACGTGCTTGAAGCAGGATTCGTCGAGAAGAGACTAGTGGTAGAGACGGGGGCTGAGCTAAATGAGCCGCTCTGTGCAGCACATAGAGAAATCAAGGCAAAATAAGGCAGCCAGACTGCATTTGGGATTGTCATAATGGAAACAGCTCGTGGAGACGCGGGTCCTCGCTACTCAGAGGCATTACTGGTACTTGTCAGACTTAATATACGATCCGGTGCAGTGTCATTATTACAAAGAAAGAAGATACGGAATGCGCACGACATGACATGACATCGTTTGGGTGCAGCATAGCGGTCGAAGCAGACGGCAGAAATAATCAGCATGACAATCCTGCCTTTTGTAGAGCTCAGCTGAGCCCTAGTCCACCAGAAGCTGTTCAAATAGGACAGGTGAACAGTAGATCCTGGCCGTGCAACAAAATCGAGGGTGCTCGGGAGGTGTTATGCGGCTCCGGCCACTGTCAGATGACTTGCGAAGAAGTACATCGGGACCGTGGATTGCGAACGAGCATCATTCGGTATGAGCGAATGCACCTTACGGGGCGCAGCGGACCGCAGGGAACTGGCGGCATTGGAAGAAGAAAAGGATATGTGTCGTCCCGAGCAGAGTTCGAGGCGGCGGCATTTGTTCGAAACGAAAGCATGTGATCGTGAGTCGTGAGTTCGCTAACAAAGTCACAAAGTGGAACAATGCACCAGCACGTGCCTCACAAGACATTTTTGCTTTCGTTCCCTAACATCATCCATCAGAGCCGTGCCATATCTGCCCATAATATAAAGTTATACTCACGTACTCAAGTTACGTGCAGTATGCTTTGCTATGACGTGAGCAGACGAGACGTAAAGGACTCCCAGTTCTGCCAAGAGAATGTAAGAAAACACTTTGTCATGGCTAGCGCAATGTGCGTATTGCCAAAATACATGATATAATATATTGATAGCAACCAATAGTACCTCTTCTGCACGATAATGCAGTACTAAATAGTCTTTTGTAAATCTGAGTATTGTGTATTCTTCCTTACACTTACAGGGTTGCCTGAATAGCTTACTACTGAGTCTGTCAGAATGGACTCTGATGCACATTTGCAGCTCCCTACATATCCTGACCTGTGTGCTGAGGTGGTAATGTCTGACCTGCTTACTGGCTCCAGCTCTAGCCCAACCGTTCTACAGAGCATTGACTCCACCAATCTTACACTCACAATGTGATCACCTTACAATGTGGTCTGTAGAGCAAACTTTCTGTCTGCTATAATAAGACTAGGTACATCCCTTCATCAAATGCTTTGGATGCACTGTTACTCTTCTGTAATTTTATTACAATATAACTCCGGATCTAATCGATATGCTGTGAAATAGCCCATCCATTCACTTTGTCTGCAATCTTAGATGATATAAATGGTGACGTCCTGAGCATGAAGCATGAATAGTAACTTAAAACAAGCTCAAGGTATGAGTCACCTCCAGAGAACTGGAAGCATAACGCCCTATGCAAGCAGTATCAGCAGCAATCATCGTGGCTCAGGGCACGAGTCGCATGACTCGCGCTTCTCAATTGACGATGAATCTTTCCTTGAGGATGAGTTACCGGTTGTACTGGCCGATTTCGACGTCCAGGTGATACAAATCTGTGTGCTAAAGCCAAAGAGGTCTGTAATTGCGAAGTACAGGATCCTAGGTGTGCTCTTACCGATCATGACAAACGCATATTACATTTTGGTGACAAATCTCAAGAAATTTCTTCAATAGTATATCAATAGGTGGATTGTAAAGTCAAAGAGTAAGTTCGAGAAGTCTCAAGATCCTAAAGTCAAGGAAGAGCTTGATAATTACAGAAGGGAATTAGAATCTGTTCACACCCAGCTCATACAATGCAAGAACCCCAACCGTAAATCATGGGACGAGATTGACAAATACAACAAATTTGTCTTTGGCATATACAAGAAGCCTCTTGATATCATTGCGAAATTACAGAAGATTAAGACCAGATAAATGCTATAAAGCTATAGAATCTCTACTGTTTAAACTAATAATATATAATACAGCAAAGAAGCTAACAAGGCACATATCCGCTTCACAAAGTCAGGGATCAGTAATGGTAATCAGAGCGTCTGTAAGTTGACTGTGATTTCACCTACTTGATATGACAGTTGACAGTACGGATGTTGAAGTCCAAGTAATCAAAATCTGTGTATCAAAATCAAAGACATCTACTACCGTACAATTTGAAATAAAAATAGTGCTTGATGGTCGGGAGTAGTTATGCAGCTTGTGCCATCCATTACATAACATGAGAAGAAGCAAGTCAGAATCCTGGAGTACTAAGAGCCTTCATTTGCTATGAACGAATTTACCACACTGCCGCACAACAGATTACAAGTACAGACTACCGACAAACACCTGATTATGCACCACAGTAAGAGGTGCTGGAGCAGCGTTATTCAGCCTCACCGTCACGGTTCTGGGTGACCTGAGAAACGTGAACTAAAGCTAAGGACTCGGGTATGTCAGACACTGTACAGCCGCCGTTGCAGCAGTCAGCAAGTAACTGATGGTATTGAAAGAATACAAGTCCCATTATTCACTTGACAGAGTTGGAAGGAGAAGTTACAAGTCAGTATAGTATGGTAGGATATGCTAGAGTGCATTCGGCCCACAAGCTTGTGAGTCAAGTTGTGAGACTGTGATTTTGTTCTGGTATGATTTGCAAAAGTCGGTACTAGTAAGTGTAATGATTTCCCACGCAGGTTCCTTTAATTGTTTGTACCTTTGCACTATGCAAATCATAGCTTAGCATGGCAAAATCATCTCCGTGCGAGAATGTAACCAAAACTCACCTTAAGCCAATAATTAGCTTTGCTCGCAAACTCGGTTAGTACAAATAGTGAAGCCTGGGCCATAAAGCAGTAAGTGGACCAACCCTGCAGTACAACGAGTAAACAGTTATGCCTCAGCATCAGAGAACTGGAAATTCGACTTCCCGCGCAAGCAGTGCCAGCAGTAGCAGCAATCATCATGAAGGAAAACACAGGCATGCATCACACGGCTCTGAATCAAGACGGGAGCCTGATTCGCATGGCTCCCGATTCATCATTGTCCGAGAGGTCTATTATGACTCGGATGACGCAGACTCGACGACATCAGCTGCCGATGAAGACTATAATATCTCATTGCTCGAATTCTGCACGCTGAAGCCATCATTCTGGGAGGCGGACTGCTGGTGGTGCAAGATGATAGCTCTAGTTGCACCTCTACTAGTGATTCTATTTTACTATTATATCACATGCTTCAAGGGGTTTCTTCAGTGGGATGCTAATATGTGGCTGAAAGAAGCAAAGGCTGGGTCTGAGAAGGCTAAAAATCCTAAAGTCAAGGAAAAGTTCGACGGCTATAGAAGAGAATTAGAATATATCCACAACCAGCTTTCTAGCCTCAGGGATCCAGATCGCAACTCTTTTCAATCGATGGCATCATACAACAATTTTTGCGTTCGTCTATTGAATGAGAGGAAGCAGTTTGATATTGGTCGTAGAATTGCGGGTACTAAGATAGAATAAGTAATGTAGACATACGACACCTTGGCTGTTGAATTTAGCTTGTAATGATATACAAGTACTTGATTAATTTAGGAATGTGTTGGTGTGAAGCACAAGTTGTTCACTCAAAGCGTGTGTAAATCAATCATCATGTGAGTATCACGTGCGCGACATCTGCCAAAAACATCTTTGTTGCGGGTCCTGACTCCTAACTTATTCACGCTGCAACTGCAGGTCCCAAGCTAACAGTATACTGACCGTTTCCTGCTTTACACAATCCGCCCACGACACCGTCCGACTCATCGAAAACGCACTGACTCCATGCCCGCTCTCCGATGAAGTTCTGTACGAGAACAATATTAACGAAACATCATAGAAGCGTTGATCGTGGCATTAGCTTCATCCATTGTAGAATGAAAAAGATAGACTGACAAGGTTATCCCAACAGTATTCTACAGAGGTACTCTGCATGTTCGTAAACACAAGCGAGCAGGTTCTCAGGGTAACGACCTCAATCCCGTTTGGTTCGACAGTGAAAGTCGGCTCTCCCTCATTTGCCGCAGTGACAGCGTTTAATAGCGAAGTACAATCAAACTCTTCCGGTGCGTTGGTTCCCACAAAGCATCCGCATGTAACTATTATATAGGTTGGTTTAGTAGAGTTCAGTATGGTATAGGAATCGTTCAAATGATTTACATTGTGCCCCACATTGGCATACTGCTGGCATATTCTGCGGAAACATGCACTCGATTTCTTCTCGTGCTTCGAGTGTTGATCGATTTGCGGTTACATTTTCCCCGGATCCGGACATCGCATGATTCGCGAATTTGCCATCGGGACAAACGAACGACTCCCGCAGGATCTCTTGGCCATCAACGGAAATCGTAGTCGAAGAAACCACGTGAGCTGTCGGACAGTCGTCAGTCACAGAGTTGGGCAGCGGAGGAGCGCTCAGGGCGTGTGCAGAGACGACACAGGCGGCGAAAATCATCTGAGACGTGAGTAACCTCATGTTCTACGACTGTGTGAGAGACGCCGGGTACAGGCTGGGTTTCAGCGACTGCTCGTCTCTCGATTTTATAGTGAACGGATCGAAAGAAAATGTGCCTTGAAGGACGTCAAGATAGTAGGCACACCAAGGCTTCAGAATCCATTTAGTGTAACACTTGAGCACGCTTGCTTGCTAGACTGCTGCTAAAGCGGAATCAGGTATTGCAAATTCCGATGTTTTCCTGCCACAGGCACAGTTGATCAATACTGTTCATGTGTGCAGCACTTGTGCCGATCCGACCATTCATTTAATAATTAGAAAAAGTGAGCTTCTGCTAGCTACATACCATCCATCCGTGCATCGCTTTTGCTGTAGCGAATCGAATAAACACATCTCTGCTTGGGCGAAATTAGGCTTTCTGTATTTCGTCTGAGTATTTGCTGTCAGTTCGAGCTTAACACTCATGGTAGTACTTGCTATATAAACACCATTCTGAACGGAGCTGTTGCTGCAAGCACAGTGCTCAGGTCAATATTCATAACGAAAGGACGAGCGATATTGTTAAGCGCGAAGAAAACGTTAATGCTCTTTGCTGGATGCGGAATAATCTGTGCCACATTTTGTTTCATATGATACGTGCAGCATCATTAAACTGTTGTCAATTTCAGATGAACACGGAAAGGAGAAGATACGATGCTGCCAGACCGAGATGATGTGAATATAGGAGCAGGAGGACTCAAGACACGACACTCTTATAAGTATCAAACAGAAAGTGTCTTTTGAGAGCAGGAGCTCTCCAGAACTTCAGAGGTGATCGAAGCTTTGCATTGCTTTACTCATACGTAGTAATACAAAGAAGATGCAAAGTTCCTAGCCAAAAATGACTGAGGCACCCAGTTGAACGTTGTATTGATTACCAGTTGAGATACACAATCCACTCACAACACCATTCTCCTCATCATCGGTAATACATTGTAACAATGCTTGCTCTCCGATAAAATGCTTTAAAGTGAGATTAGAAACAAAAGAGTCAGACAGTATTAATTAAGGAATATTCGTTACAAGGCTCACAAAATCATCCCAGCAGTATTCAATAGCAATATCCTGCATGTTGATAAACGCGAGCTCGCAAGTTTGCAAGACGATACGCTCAAGTCCATTAGGCGGAACGGTAAATGTACGGTCGCTTCCGCCTGCTGAAGTAATGGAGTCAAGTAGCAATGAACAGTCGGACACTGCAGGTGGATTAGGGCCGTCTAAACAACCGCAACTAACTAAATAGATGTGCTCTCATCAACATTTCGCATGAAACACGGAGTTATTAAGCTTACATTCTTCTCCACAGCGGCATTCACCCATGGTTTGTCGATCTTCACACTCTATAGTACCTCGCGTCTCCAGTAAGGATCGCCTTCCGGTAGGAATCGAGGAGAAAACACTGGAGCTGGTCGTCGCGTTAGTCGTGAATTTCCCATCGGCGCAAATGAACGACTGGTGAAATAATTCCGTGCCGTTGATGGAGAGGACGGATGAAAAGATTTCTTGTGCCGATGGACAATTGTCGGCTACGAATGTGGACAGGGTACGTGAGGCTAGTACCTGCATACTGAAAGAATATATTATGGTGGCCAGCAAAGTGGGGCGAGCCTTCATGCTTGTATCCTAGCGGAACGGACCAGCTCTAGCCAATACTTCAGGACCGGTCCATCTCATATCCTTTTCGTCAGATACGACTTGGACAGATACGGAATTCAACAAGAATTCGAATCTACCGACTCTTCAGGATCATGTATAATCCGCAGTTGAAGTCGGTACTAGACAAGAAGAGTACAGTCGTGCCTAAGCGCAGAATCTGAGCATTTGTAAATTCGAGGTATTTCAGGAAACTACCTTGCTTCTCGTCCCTGCCCGTCGACCCAGAATTGGCGCCCAGTGATTAATCGCCAAAGCCTTCTCCCATCACTCAAATTCGCACCTATTAATGAAAAGAACGAGCATTGATCCGATGCAAGCTTTGGAGTCCTGATTCATGATTCCGTACCACGTATTAAGGGGTGATTTCCGACTCAGCGAGTTCACGTGCATTGTTCCCGAAGATGGCTCCCATGGCTGACCAGCGCATAGAAGAATAGCTAGAAGAGATTGACTCACTAGGGGATGTGGAACTTGGATAGAGCAGGATAATATTCTGAAAAAAATCGGCTACGAGCATCGCAGCGGCTAACCTTGCGACTCCTGAATGCTCCTTGCTAGTTTTAAGCTATATTCTATCCTGTATCTGCGAAGGTAGTGCAAAAAAAGGATCAGATTTAGAAGTGCTCCTATTGAAAGATCACTGGCTGAATGTTGGTGTGCGCTTGCAATTTTACATGGTCATCATTGACGGCGGAGACAGTGGATCCATACTTTGCATCGATCCGAAAAGTGCGTTCCAGCAACAGGCGAAACAATGCAGCAAGCACTCTGAGCAAAGAGAATTCTGAGAAAGAAGGCATACTCAGATTTGTAGCTTACTGGCGCGTAGAGGAAAGGCGCGCAAAGTGAGATTGAGAGCGACCAACTTGGTCTCGGTTATTGCGCAAACCATCGCAGCCAAGGATACATCTGTCTCGTAGAAGTCTCTTATTTGTTGTCTTCGTGGAGTAATGATAGCTAACAGGAGATTTCGATGTCGAAGAAAATGGGTATCCATTGCCTCGAATGAATTCGTGATTTCGTCAACTGGATATTGAGTTTTTTTGGGTCGTATTACGAAATCCACGCCATCAGATGCACTTTGACTCGTACTCCCTAAGGTACATCAGATCTCTGTCAGTTGTAAGTGCGACCCGCGAATCGTAGAAGTAGCGAGCTAAGAAAAGTGACATAAGTAGGGCTCCCATTTCTAACTACCTACAAATTTAATAACAGTGGTACTTACATGTGCATCGGCTGTCCCGCGCTGGGAATTGAGTTCACTATTATAAGAATCTGCACCCGAATGCGGAATGAATACAGATCAGTATCAGTGGAACCAGTATGCTTCGGATTGTTATCAAGTCGCCACAGGGCCAACAGTCCACTATTGTTGCTACTCGCATACCTTTCAGAAGCAGGAAAAAAATGATTCTACAGTCAAGTGGTCAGTCCCGGTAAAGAGACGGCAAACCGTTCTTTTCTCTTTGGAGGTGAGATTATCCGATAGTTTTTAGTTGAGAAGTCTTGCTCGCGTCCAGTCATCTCCCGAATTTGACGGCAGTATTGGCTTTCTGTGTGAATAACAGCTTGAAATCGGGAAGCACGTCGATGCCGATGTTCAGCAACTCAATTATCGTGTAACTTTTTTGACTATACGAGGTTTTCTCCGGAAGCAGTCGACGTTTACCTCGGAAATCCGAAGAAAGGACCATTGAGCGAGCCGGATTAATTGAGTGCATGCCATAGCACGAAATAAAGTGGTTGTCGCGCGACACAAGCCTTACAGTCAGAATTTACGGGATGGGTCGTAGGTGACGTTATGTCCAATTTGTGACAATCGTGACGCAGCGTAGATGTGACAAAACAATGGCAAAGAACAAATGCACTGCAGAGACTGCACCTTTACTCTCTACGAGCTCTCTGGCCGATTCTATCTGACTGGGTTAATATCAATGCGTGAATGAGCGCTCTCGTCCAAGGACTGCTTTTGTAGCCCTGTGTTATTTCTCACCTCGGAGCGCTGCAATCGACCCAGGTCATCCTACTGATTATCCTTCGTGATTGAAGCGACACTGGGAAATTGCACTCAGATTAGTGCCTCATTCTGAGAGGGGAAAACACTTGGAACTCCCATTGTTGTCGGGCTATGACCATCGTGGAACTAGCAAGATATGATCTGAGTATGCCTTCTTGTCGACCTTGAAATTTGACTTTGAAACGGAATTTACTTTGACTCTCATAGTGGCAGATGGGATTTTGCCTCATCTGTTGGGCTGCTTCACAGCTCGGAGCAACGAATAATGGTCGTAATTAAGATCTATTTTCCATGTATGTACATCCTTGCAATGTATTTGTTCTGTCCTTACTAAAATTATAACAGGATTAGACAACGACTTATATGAGTGTCCTGAATTGGACTGAGCTGGACTTGTGCAGCAATGCTCGTGATTCGGAATCAGCTGCATCCTTCGTGACCTAGATCTACGAAGTTGTACTACTGCAGCTTTTTCGTTAGGGTCAATGGTTCTTATCCAGGCACTGGCATTTGCTTCTTGAACCGTTAACGCTCTGTTTGACCTTTTTTGCGAATTATCGCTAGAGATCCTTGAACGACGGATGTTCTATTCTTGGCTTGTTAGTAAGTGCTGCATCCACAATGCGTTGGACTCCAGCACTCTGCAGATACTTCGCTCTTGGTCGTTTCGGCTATATAAACCAGACAAGTCCCAGCAAGACTAAGGCCAGAGAACACACATAGCGATCTCTTATCCTTACAGGAAACGTACAATCACCATGAAGTCTTTTGCGGCTCAACTTGTCATCCTCGCATCTTGCCTCAACGTCTTTGCTTTGAGCGTACGTTCTGTCCCGCAGGCAGTAGCAAATGAGTGCTCCTCCGCACAAGAGGTCAGCTCGTCTGTTATTAGCGTCAACGGCTTGGACATCGTACGCCAGGTGTTCGACTGCCCGGATGGCAACTTCACGTCGGCCTCGGTCGGCTCATCCAATGTGCGTATCCTGAATTCCCGTTCGCTCCTCGAAGAGCGTAGCCAGAGCGAATGCACCACTCCGAACCCCGAGTGTCAATGCGGAGCGAGTGGTGAGCTTTGATCAAAATTTAATCGCGTAGAATTAGCTGATAAGTGATGAATCAGTTGAGTGTGGATGCTTTGAGGAGAACACAGCACCCTCGTCCAGTGACTGTTCATCCTTGCTTGGCTCGACACCGATCATTGCATCACTCCAAGGACCGACGTTCAGCATCCCCTCCAATCAAGTTCACGCATTGTCACTGAGGACCTGCACGATAGCCGTCGTTAATCTGGCGAGCACTACCACGGAATACTGCTGGGACGATCTCGTCAGTTTATTGGATCTCGGTATCTCCGTTGCCTATACTGAGTGTTAATCTTTCCTTGTTTCGCAGTCGAGCTCGTTGAACAGCGTTATGTCTTGCATGAACGAGGCATCGTTCGCTAATGCCGTTTGCTTGGCCTTGGACCAGCGTTTCGTGTCACGTCTGGGTCGCAGTCAGTAAACGCGAATGCAGACAAATGCTGCTGAATCCGCGGACAGAACGTCGTGTGCCCTTGTCATGGGTTATGGGTTAGAAAGAGAGCTTGTGATTTTTTTCGTTTCGTTTGGGGAGCATGTTGTGGTTCTTTTGAGGCTTCTCGCATGTTATGTCTTATGTGTTTGTCTTTCTTTCACTATGGGTTGTGTCGTAGTGTTTATTATGGGAGCGCATCCTCTCGGAATCCTTTGTCTAGTATCAAGCTACTCTCGGGTCTTGTCGTTCCCCAAATTCTTACAAACGTTGTGTTGACACACGCTGCCGTGAAAGTGTAAGAAACGGTGTTATATATAGATGAGCGGAGATCGATTATGGCATCTCTTCCATTGTCGTGACATAGAATTCGGATGAAATTGGATTGAATGAATGGGCGTGAGTACTAAGCGCGTCACTCACTTCGACCGGCTTTCCATTGATACTCTTTTACCGCCACTTATGCCTCTGGGGGCTGAGATACACGCTGCTCCGTCTTGCCAGCTTATTCAATTGAATGCATAAATATAGAGGTCTGTACCGAATAAACATATGCGCGTGATCATTACACGGCCTTTACTTGGATATTCACATCGCCGCGTGTAGCTATTCCACGAACAAACTCTGTCTGTGCGGAATTGAGTACGAACACGCAGAGTTTCCGAAGACTTCTTTTATGAGAAAGTGACACTTTCGGGTCCTCCTTATAACGAGATGCACATGCGCTTCAGGGAGTCATGGCCGCCTTTCAAGCGCATTCTCATACCCCCACTAGACAACCGAGGCAAAAATGTCGATGTCCTCAGGAATCGTTCAGGAGCTCCTGAACGTCACTTTCTGGCTTTGGTTTTTTCTCCTAGCTATCATCTTCGCTGTGCATCTCGATGCTTATTTTATAGACTCGCACCGGATTCGAAGAAATGGCATCTCAGGTCCATTTCTTGCGAGGTTCTCGGGTGCTTGGCTGGGATGGGTCGTATTCCAAGGACGTCAATCTGAGGTAGTCCATAGCTTGCACAAAAAGTTCGGTTAGTATTTTAAATCACAGAGATAATTGTTTATAAAACTCGACAACTCGGCATTTACTTCCCTCATCTCGACTCGATTTGCAGTCAACGGTACTAATTCTACTCTGGCTTAGGCACATTCGTGCGTCTGTCACCCAATCATGTTTCTATTAGCGACCCGGATGCTCTTCGCTTAGTTTACGGCCGTGGTAATGGAGCCTTGAAATCCGATTATTACGATGCTTTTCTTGCTGTTCGTCCCAGCATCTTTACTACGCGCTCAAAGGAAGAACATGCGAGAAAACGCACTGCTATAGCCCACGCTTTCTCTCAAAAGAGCGTCCTTGAGTTTGAGCCGTATATCCGCCTGCATGTTGCGGAGCTTTTTAATCAATGGGACAGAATGTGCAACAGGGGAAAGAACGGACTTTCTGGTACTGAGGGTGAGGGAGGCTGGATAGGTCAAGGTGGGCGTGTCTGGTTCGACATCATGCCGTGGTTTCATTATTTGGCCTTTGATGTCATGAGTACGTACTCCTCCAACATATCTCAGTACAACTGTCCTTATCCGCTCTTCTTAGGCGACCTTGCTTTTGGTGCTTCGTTTGGGATGGTTCGGAACGCGAAGGACGCTGCTCCAATCGCAGTTGACCAGAGAGCCGCAATGGCCCAATACCAGGGAACGAGAGTGGATAGCCTAGACCTAGAGAAGCCAAGTATCGATGTGAAGGAGGTGCCGGCAGTGACTATGTTAAATGCCCATATAAAGGTCTCCGCTCGCATGGCTGCTGTCCCGCCACGATGGCGCCCAATTCTACAGCGACTACCATGCTTTGCGAGAGATATGCGAGCTTCAGAAGACCTAGTCGCGCTTGCTGTTGCAGCGGTGGCAAGGCGTCTAGTATTTCCTGCGGAACGAATAGATGTTCTAAGTAAGTTGCAGGAAACCGAAGACGAGCACGGACGAGTGTCAAATATGGAGGACCTTACAACGGACGCTTTCACGCAACTCGTCGCCGGCTCTGATACCGTTTCAAGGTGGGTATCTGGCCAGTTGTCGCCCCAGATCTCTTGACACTGCTGAATATTGATTCTCTTTATTTGTAGCACGGCATGTGGGATAGCGCACTGCGTCGCTGCAAATTCGCGTGTACGGGCAAAGCTTCAGCAGGAACTTGACGTTGTATTTGGAGGATCGTACGACCCAGTAGCGACATATGCACAGATTAAACGCCTACCATATCTCGAAGCGGTGATTATCGAAGGCCTCCGGGTGCACTCGACGTCTGGCCTCGGACTACCTCGCACCGTCCCGAACGGCGGGCTCATCGTTTGCGGGAAGTGGTTCTCGGAGGGCACTGTCCTGAGCGTACCGACTTACACTATCCACCGCGACCCAATCGTATGGGGAGAGGACGCGGACGCTTTCCGCCCTGATCGATGGTTTGAGCGCGACCAAACTATTCTGCAGAAAGCGTTCAGTCCATTTTCATTCGGACCGAGGTTCATATATACATTACCGTGGCACTTTCATATTCAACCGGCTAACTTCAAGACGAAAATTCAGGGCTTGCATTGGCCGCGAGTTAGCGATCATGGAACTATGTATCTTTGTATCTTCCATCTTCCACCGTTATGACTTGGAGCTCGAGGCACCAGACAAGCCCGTAAGTGACGTTTTTAAAACCTGGTGTATGATTACTATCCTTTGGAAAAACTTATTCGCAGCTTACGATACGTGAAGATTTCATACGAAAACCGGTAGCTTGTCGTGTCGGCATGAAGCGGCGGAACATTTGACGACGAGCATGAATCAAGGACGCGCAATTCCGGAACCACTGGCTGGTGAAGCGTTCTGACGGGCTACGTACCACAAAATCCTGTTAAGATGAAGCATGACTCTTGTATCATTCTATTTATCGAACTGAAGATATCCTATTTCGCTCTCATCGCAGTTGGGATGTGTTGAAGGAAAGCTTAACAAATCAAATTTGAGATCTGAGCAGAAAGGTTGCTCGAAGTCACGTGACTATGTATTTATCGGCAAATGCCGATTCACTTGATCGCCAAAGTTGCAACTGTTGCAAGTGCCCTGCCCTACAACCTATAGGACGGCATTCATGTCATCATCAATATTCCGGCTCTCTCCCCTTTTCGCTTTGATTGTGGGTCATTTGTATTTCAAATCATCAGATTGCGGCTGCTTCGTTTTATCAACTCACACGCAAGTTCCGTCCGTCTTCCGATCTAATGGAAAGTTTGTCATTACAGTTCGCCATTATAAAGATATCGATCTCGCCCACAAGAAGACTGGACTTCTCGTGGCTAAGAACTAGTGCGCTGCAGGTTTCTGGCTGACTAGGGCAAAAAAAACCGTCTATCATGATCTTGATCATACTGCGGGTATTTGTTGACATTGGCTATCGCATCTGGTTATTCCTCCCGTGGATTTTCTTGGTCGTACATTTGATACCTTATCTCGTTGACCGGTATCATATTCGGAGAAATGGTATAACAGGTCCAAGTCTTGCCAGATTCTCAGACGCCTGGCTTGGATGGGTCGTAGCTAACGGTCGCCAGTCCGAAGTCGTACACGAGATGCACAAGAAGTTTGGTAAGTTCTTTGTTCCTTATGAGAATAGGCTTGCTTGCTATCAACCGGTTATCACTTCATGATTACGATTATCGTTGTGAACTGTACTAAGTAATGCTTTCTAGGTCCAGTTGTGCGTTTAGCACCTAATCATGTTTCTATCAGCGATCCGGGTGCCCTGCATGTCATCTATGGTCATGGAAGCGGACTATTGAAATCTGGATACTATGAACCTTTTACCGCCGTCCGTCCTAGCATTTTCAGCACACGATCAAGGGAAGTGCATTCGAAGAAACGCAAAATTATCTCCCATGTCTTCTCTCAGAAGAGTGTGTTAGAGTTCGAGCCTTTTGTCCACCTTCACCTTGCTGAACTATTCGAACATTGGGATAAAATGTGTGACGGAGGTAAGGAAGGTCTTTCCGGCACTGAGAGTGAAGGTGGCTGGAAGCGCCGTGGCGGACAAGCCTGGTTCGATATCATGCCGTGGTTCAATTATCTGGCTTTCGATATCATCGGTATGACTTTATCTAAGGATTTTCAATGTGCTATCAGCCTTAGTCGCCATTACTTAGGTGATCTCGCTTTCGGTTCTCCATTTGGCATGGTTCGCAACGCGAAAGACGCTGCCCCAATTGCAGTAGACAGGAAATCTGCTATGGCTCAGTACGGGCCGGTAATTACTGACAACCGAGGCCTGGAAAAGCCCGTTATTGATGTGAGGGAGGTACATGCCATAAGCGTGTTAGAAAATCGCATGAGGTTATCTGCTCAGATGGGCGTTCTTCCGGCATGGTGGCGCCCGATAGTACGACAATTACCGCGATTTGCACAAGGTGTTCAAAACTCAAAGGACCTTGTGGATCTCGCCGTAGCAGCAGTTGCAAAGCGCATGGCGTATCCGACGCAGCGAGACGACATCCTGAGCAAGCTTCAACAGAGTCGAGATGAATACGGAAGGCCCTTGACTCAAGAGGACTTAACAACAGATGCGATCACACAGCTGGTTGCCGGGTCGGATACAATTTCGATGTAAGCCTTCAATAAAAATAATACAATTTCACGCTTATTGTCATACTCTGCAATTACAGCTCATCATGTGGGATAGCGTACCACCTTGCTGCAAACCCGGATGTTCAAAGCAAGCTCCAGAAAGAGATCGACGACGCGCTCGGTGGATTTGACGACCCGATGGTGACATACGCGCAGATCAAGCACCTGCAATACCTTGAAGCGGTCATTAATGAAGGTTTACGCGTCCATCCAACGCCAGGCCTTGGACTACCTCGTGTTGTCCCAGAGGGTGGGCTTAATGTTTGCGGGAAGTGGTTCCCAGAAGGGACGATTCTCAGCGTTCCGACATACACAATTCATCGTAATACCGGAGTATGGGGTGAGGACGCAAACGTGTTCCGCCCCGAGAGGTGGTTTGAGGGTGATCAGGCTGCTATGCAGAAGGTGTTCAATGCGTTTTCATTTGGCCCAAGGTCTGTATTCAAGAATTTCTGATAGGACGAACGTAGTTGCGGTTGCTGACGATGCAATGATCTAGAGCGTGCATTGGACGTAATTTGGCCATGATGGAGCTATACATCATTATTGCATCCATCTTTCATCGATACGAGCTTATACTAGAGGAGCCAAACAAGCCAGTAAGTCATGCATATTGCGACTGACGCCGCAATAGTTCTAACTGTTCTAAATATGCAATCACAACTCATTTCTCCTCCGGTATAGCTCGAAATTCACGAGGCGTTTATGCGTAAACCAGTAGCCTGCCATGTCGGTCTGAAACGCCGTGGTGCTTGACAACAAAGGGTTGTTTTTAGCAGTAGATTAAAGAATAGAGAGATATACGATATGCACGTCAATCATTAATATTCTAGTAAATCTACCGCGAAATATTGCAGATGTACAAAGTTAGGTTTAGTACAGCTGTTGTATAGTTATATTAAAACATATATACAGATCACTGGATTACTGTAGTGTCTTCGTTGCCCGCGGAGTTGAGACGGAACCGAAATGAAATTCCGTTCACTTTGAATTTGAAATACAATTCACAAAGAACAGTTCTTTATGTGAAGGACAGAGAATGATGCTCGAATTGAAGAGTGATTCGAGAGCGAGTCCCCCAAGTTCGGAGGATCTGCAAAAATAGGAACAGACGGTTGGTCAACATGTGAATAACAGCATCAATGAAATTAAGTATTCGCCTAAAGTATATATAGATGACTTAGGACGAGACAAAATTAACTGCTGGTAGTTTTACTGAAAGCCAGAGAGAGTCGGAGAATTATCAATCTGCTCAAGGAACGGACAGTGTAGCTTCTTATTTGCACTGGGAAAGCTGCCATTGAGAAGCAAGGGACCGTCCCGATTTCAGACGGCCAACTATTTACCTCGCCCTCGAACCTAGTTTTTTATTACCGAAAAGTAGATGGGCAGAGAGGAAGAATAAGAGTAGAACGTGTTTCATAGCTATCATATTGTGGTAAAGCGATTAGAGAAAGCCTCGAGTCGTGGTCAAAATCAACTTGTGTCCACTACGAGTGTGACTTACGTGATGTCACAGTTACTTCTATGAAGGATGCATCTGCGTTGAATCGACACCTTCTTTTCTCGTAGCCACTAGTCAAGTCCGCAACCGCCTTCCGTCCATTGGAGAGTGTAAATATTGGGAGGTGCGCAGCCATACTTACCTCAAATACGCTGTCAACTATTATACGAGCACTGGAATTAACTGATACACTGTTAACTGATGGTCTGATCTCTGGACTTGCTGCATCGATTGAGGTGGTGCTGAGGGCTTCTGGTCCACCTCTTCTGCTATCTCCGATATACACTATCCTGTGAACTAATTCTATTCGAATTTGATGAAGCTGAAAACTTAAAAAATTACTGTAATATGCCTATCACCCTCATCATTGCAGAAATGGACTACAATAATGTTCTAAAATTATCTGTCCCGATTCCCAAGGAGGATGAATCCTTCTCATCTGGATAAACTTGTCATTTAGGCGGACCTGGAACGTGCAAAATGGCACGACTTCTTTTCGCGGTATCTTATACTTCATCTTTCCACCTCCTAACTGTCCTGTTAATTACCTAGCAAAATGTAGCTCCGTTTCCAATATGAAAAGCCTTCTCAGAGCATTGGACGCAAGAGATCGCGTTGGTCTAGAATTTTCTTTGTGGATGCCACTTCGAAATACATGGAAGTGAAAGGATAGTGATATGCTGGCTAGGATCGCTGATCAATTCTCACTCAGGCACTAGAAGTCAGTGCAAAGGTGGTCAGATCTTTGTTTACCTCTACGCACATCATCACTGCAAGATCCTTGGGTGGCGGACGAAGTTATTTTCGGCTTACGAGTGATGCTTGTACCGAGACTCACTGGTAGCAGGTATCCCAGCAAATACTTCAATGGGGATGCGCGCGCATATATAAACCAGACAAACTTCAGCGAACAAAGACCAAAGAGCACACAAGACAGTCTCTTAACTCCACGCGCAGTTATTTCAATTGACCATGAAGACTTTCTCTGCTCAACTCATCCTCCTTGCATCCTGCCTGGGTACCTTCGCTTTGAGCGTACGTTCTGTTCCGCAGGCAGTGGTAAACGACTGCCCGTCTGCACAAGAAGTTAGCTCGTCGGTCATCAGCGTCAACGGCGAGAAAATCCTGCGCCAGGTGTTCGAATGCCCAGAGGGCAACTTCACCTCGGCCTCATTCGACCCATCCAAGGCGCGTGTCCTGAATTCACGTTCCCTCTTCGAGGAGCGTAGTCAAGCGGAGTGCACTACTCCGAACCCTGAGTGCCAATGTGGATCAAGTGGTAAGTCGCTAATTGGCAACCAGTTAACTGCAAACGTTGCTAAGTCAACATCCCAGTCGAATGTGGTTGCTTTGAAGACAGCAGCGGCCCCTCTTCAAGCGACTGTAACTCCCTTCTCGGCTCGACGCCCGTCATCGCATCAATCCAAGGCCCGACATTCATCGTTGGCCCCAACCAAGTCCATTCTTTAACGTTGAGAACGTGCACGCTCGGTTTTATCAATCTGGCGAGTACGAATTCTGAGTATTGCTGGGATGACCTTGTCAGTTCTTCCGACTTTCTGTCTTCCCTAAATGAGAGTATATTGAAAATGATTCGTTCCTCTCTCTCCCAGGCGAACAGCATGAACAGCGTCTTCTCGTGTATGACCGATTCACCCATCGCTAGTGCCGTATGCGTCGCTTTGGACCAGCGTTTCGTCTCGCGCTTGGGTCTTAATCAGTGAAGGCAAAGGTATGAATTGTACTGCGGTTGAAAACACGGCTTGGAAACGGTACATGCTCGCCCCGTTTTGTATACAGACACTTAGAGTGATAAGTATCTGTATAGACTTGTTATTTGTTCTTGTGTCTGGTAGATTCGTTTGCCTTCTCATGAATGATATTATATTCTTCTGAAATGAAAAACGTCTCCGGCTTACGAATTATACCTCGAAGAGTTTATACTTTCGTTCGGAATGAACTAGAATTCATTCGATACGATCCTTGCCACTCGTGTTCCGAATCAACGTTGCCACAGACACTCCAAGATCTAAGGGCGTACAAATTAAACTGACTCTAACTGTTGAATAATGCACACTCAAGTCAGTCATGCACCGCGACTTCAACACATTAGGTATCTGAACATTCAAATATCGTATGAACCACATATAAATATTTAAATATGCGATATTACGCGCATAATAAACCCAGAACCGAATATTGTAGCTTTACCGATAAATACCACTAATCCTTGAAGAGTAGCTTAAGCAATAGTCCGTTATGGCGATGGCCTGTTTCAAGCATGAATATTATGCGAGTTCAAGATTCGTCGCAGGTTGCTTCGCCAGGAGGGCAGGAAGGGATCGTCGTTTCGGCACCAGCTGAAATAGGAAAAAAGTTAGGTGCGATAATGTAGCACTTGTCAAAGACAGGAGTACTCACGGTCCGTAGAAAGAGTAGGGAAGGGATGGTTGCAGACTTGCTGGATATCCGAGAAGTTCTTCGTAGCAGGAAAAGTGATTGACTTGGTAAATTTCGCCTTCGGTGCGGGGACAGCTTCCGAGCAGTCGATGAGTTGGTTCCTGTCATGACCGAGGATTGCCATCTTCTTCATGGACTGATTATTCGTTCAGTGCCGTGTTGATTAAAAAGACGAAAGTGAAGGACTAACCGTTTGGAATGCCGTCATCATGTGAGATTGTTGGTTGATCATGTCCTGCCAGAAGCACGCTGTCTGCGGGTCACGCGCAATCGCAAAGTCAGATTGCAAGCGCATCTCGCCTTCGTCGGGGAGTGGCGACAGAACTTCTGCACCGTCGGAGTTGTTTTTACCGAAGGGGAGACCCGTACCCTTGAGCAAAACTTCAAGGAAGATCTGCGAATCAAAGGTAAAAGGCGTCGTGTCGAAGGGAACAGCCGTTTCTCCCGGTATGAGCGTGTCGGAACGCGCAACGGAGTGCGAAGCAAGAAGATTGACTGTGTCTTCTGCACTGAGCCCCGCATCTGCCATACGAGCAAGAATCTTGCCAACAGGGTCTTGTGGCAGAGGAACGGTGCCCTGTTGTGCAGGGATAGTCGCGTTGGGACGGCCTGCGAGGAACTCGAGTTGAGGTGCTCCTGGACAGTTCGAAACCTGTCACGATAAGTCAATAACTTTCCACAGAAAATCATCACGAAAAATACATACGGCAACTGCTCCCGCAAATTGGATGAGATCCCCGGCCGTGACATTGAAGCTATGGAGGAGAGGCGAGAGCAAATCGACTGAATCATCGATGCCGGCGTTGGCAGCTATAGCCAAAGAGTTAGATAGATCAAAGTGGAGAATCAGGAGCTGAAAATAACTCACGATCATTGAGTTCGGTTTTGTCCGTGTCGGCGAACAGCATGATCGAGCCATCGGCACCATTTCCCCTACGAAGAATGTAAGTATAAGTCATTGAATAGTCGAACAGTTCTACATACTTCAGCTTTCCACTGGCCGAAAAACCGATAGCGTCATGGAACGTCAGGCGCAGAGACTCGTGAGCTGTTAAGCACAAAAATCATTAGATGCATGGATGTATGCATGAAGAATGAAATTGACATACCGTGTTCTCCACATTCATTGTTAAAGAACTGGTCGGTCTGAAGTGTGTCGGCGAGGTCGAAGAATACACAGCACGCAGGGTTCTTAGCAGTATGCTTGCCGCCTGGACATGCAGCCCTCTGAAGGTCGATCAAAACATACGATTAGTCACGAGCAGTAACTATGCAAAATGAACAGCACCTTGAGTGTGGCCGCACTAGCCAATGAAGCGAGAGCAATAAATGCAACAGAGAGCTTGAACACCATAGTGAATAGAGTCAAACGAAAGTATATGACTGAACGAAAGGCGAGAGGTATCGATGAGACTTGAGAAGTGAAGAACTTGAGATTCGTATGGAAGGTCTTTTATACCAAAACCGCAGTTTACTATCAACTCAGAGCAGTGTTCGCCGTTCATAGCTGTGAGACCACAGCGACATTGATAACTGCACTTCGGCATATCGTTCCGGACATTTACAAACACCAGGATACACGGCTCGGCCAATACTGTCCTTCACAAAGCGCATCCTCACGTTCAGCGCCTAGTTCGGTACCCGTTTCGATAAATATAACATAACTCACCGCCCTGGCTTTGCGCAATGCCTCGCAGCCGATTCGTCAAACGTACCGCCCATCCCGACTTTCATGAGTCAAATCGCGGTATCGGATCGATGCCGCGTGAACAACATCTGTTGCGTAGGCGAATAGTCGGTGAAACGACACAGCAGCTGAGACGTAGTCTATGATGGCCTCCCCGGAGTTCGCATGAGATAGGCATCTAAGTCGTACGAAACTTGGGTCCATTGTGTCGGTGTGCAACGAAATAACCTCTAAGTGAGGGCGCCGATATGCCTGCCGAAAACACCATTACCGCACAGTCAATGCGGTTGTCGACGACACAGCATATAAGTATTGCGATGGGAAGGTCAGTATTGTTTCGTGAAGGGTAGAATTTAGTACATACTTGCATCCTGAGTGTGTATCTCACCTAGTAGATGGACCCTCGAGGCTTGATGGGGCATTGAAGTCGGCAGTTAGTACACTATGTCTAGTGAATCAATGGCGGTAAGGTGAACGAAAAGCATTAAGAAAGGCATTGTTGCTGCACAGCGGAAGTTATTAGTCCACAGGCTTCACCGTCATTCATCTTTCGGCACAACAGCTAAGCACAGCAATGATCGGTGTTTCAAGAATCTAGCCATAGGGCCGGAATAGCAGTACGTCGAACAAGTTCACGATGTAGAGGAATACTATTACAGAGGAGAAGCCCAGTGAGAAATGATCAGAGTCCATTATCTTCAGCGTATCAAGTGTCGGGCGTCGGCGTGAGGCACCCGTCATTTCAAACGTTGAAGCGCACAAGCACGTTTCGACGAAGATACGAAAGGTAGTTCTCATGACCATAGCTTACTTGATTTGATTGAGCGTGATTAATCAGTGCAAGACATTTGTTAATAGATGGGCGGCATTGGTTGGAACTGCTCTGCGTGGGAGGCAGAATCATCGTCATTGACGAAAGCTGATGCCATGTCGCGAGCAAGATGACGGATTATTCTATCGGAAAGTTCGGCGCGCCTCTTCGGTGCTGACGAGACTCAAATTATTCCGAAGTCCGGGAAATTTCAGCGAACGAGCTGAGAGAGAGGTCCACAATATTCCCAGGAGCTGCAGGTTTATCCGTAAATAAAAAAGAGCAGACCCGCACTGTCAACATCCTATAGTTAGTCCGCCTTGCAAGGCGTGGGAAGAATCGTGCGGCCGTGAAAATACGAGCAGCGGTCAGCCTTTATTTTCCTGAGCTTGTCTAGTAAGATTCGAGTAGTCAGTAACACGAAGCATAGTCTGATTATTCCTATCGAAGTATAATCATAGGAGTCGTAGGAATGCCACAAAGCAAGCCCGTAAGAGAATTAAGAGATGCGTTTTGGTACTCCATTTGGCACGATTCGTAACGAAAGGTACTGCACCGAACCCAATAGGCCAGAAAATTACCACGTACACACAATTACCCAGCCGGGATAGAGAGCAAGGAGCTAAGTTAAGAAGCCATTGACTTCAAGTCAGGGTTCTGAAAGAGTTGCAGAGTTATAGTAACTTATACAACGAGACTCGGAGGTTGGTGCTTGTTTGTTCAGACGTTTTAAGAAATTGATCGACGCAGTCGACGATGCAATACTTGCCGACCTTTTGAGAAAGAAAAGGACAAACTAATGCTGCATTGATAAAATAAATACACATGCTGTACTTGACAAAATACCAAGAGATAACAACTCAAAAATATTAATCTTTTAACAACAAAAAAATCTAAATGACAAAAAAAGCCAGGCAAACAAGCACTGTTATTGTGCCATAAGAAGCTCATACCACGCCGTATACTCCTCCGGACTCATCTTCTCGTCCGCGATCTCCTGCGTCACTAAAGAGAACGGCATCAGTTGGCCTCCAACTACAAGGGGAAGAATATCTCCGTCAGCACAGCTAGCAAAGAATAAATTAGAATTTGGAGACAAGACGTACCCATAACGGCAGGTTCGTCGATTGCAGGTTGACTGCCAAAGTCCATACTCTCGGTACTAGTGTCCAAATCCGTTTGCGGAGGACCGGGTTCCGAGTTCGGGGAGAATGGCACGGGGCTGTTCACAGCGCTAGACCACCCACTTGCCGACCGGGAAAACACTGGTGTACCCATGTTATCACGCAAAGCCTTGTTACCACGATCACTGTCTTCATCAATAGACAGAGAACGTTTTCTCGCTGCATTTGGTACAGCTGCTGCATTCATCATGTCCAGTTGAGCGACGTTCGGTTTTCGCTCCTCTTCTTCAAAGTCGCCTGAAAGCGAGGGCATGACTGGTGTCTGTGATGCAGATTGAGCTTGGGACGCAGCTTCGAGAGATGCGTAGTACTGCTCATAGACTTCCCAAACAGAAACAAAAATCAATGTGAAACCTTGCAAAGAAGCCAGGGAATACTTACAGTCCGCATTGTGGTCAATAGTTGGTTTCGTTTCTTCTACAATTGGGCTCAATTCGACTTGCTCCATTTTAGGCTTCACCAAGCCCAACCCACGTAACGCATCCCCGTTAGAAGTTGGACCCTTCCCCAGACTAGACAAAATCGCCTCGTTCCCAGTTAGCTTTCCGTTAGTCTGTTGATTGACTGCAGCAACGCCCAACGCCGTAAGGTCGTTTGAAATCGTACTTTTCAAGTGCCACGACGGCATAATGTTTTGCTGTCTTTTCGCCTCCGCCTCTGCTTCACGTTCTCGCCTACGCGTCGCCTCGTCTTTATCGATCGACATCATCACACTAATTCCCGCATCCTGGTGTTTCCCATCTGCTCCAGCAATCTTCAGTCCACCATTCTGCGCTTGCTTCTGCTTCTCCGCATCGTGCACGTTGTTCTTAACCCACACCGCAACGTCAAACGCTGGAAGTGTCATGGCTTCGCTCTTTCGGAGCCCCTCGCGAATGAATTTCGTTTGCCAATTGAAACGTTCCATACGGTCTTTACTCCCTCGCACGGATTCTTCATCTTCATTTAATACAACCTCGTGAGGTCCACCGGGTGACGTAGGACATTGATCGCATAGAAAAGCCCCTCGTTGGAAATCCATCAGTCGATCCACTTCAAGTGGTTGGAAAGTTGCTTTACAATTTGGACAGATATAACCCTTGTTGTCGAGTTCCTATCCTTGCAGTAAGCAACACAGTAATGGACTAGCGGAAGGTGTCATAACGAACATTCCGCAGTGTTGAGTCAATCAAACGCCGCATTTCAGCGACGCGCCACTTGACGACATTGCAAAAATGTCGATAGTCTATAAAATAATATTGCTTTCCTATGGACCTTTGGGCGCCATCTTTCAGCTCATTTTGTCGATGCCTGCATGAATGCAACATTAACGATGTCGTGCTTCGCAAGAAAGCATAGGAGACACGCACACTTGTACCAATCGGTCATTCAACAACACCGCCATGAGCTTGTTTAACTCCTTCGCTTGTAATCCTATCCGCCCGGCCAAATCATCGTCCTTCAGGCTACACACATATAGTATTCAGAGCGCCACGAAAAGACGCGGCTCAGTTATACTCACACAGGATGCCGTGCGAGCTGGTCCATAATAATGACGAACTTGGGCTCGTAGAAGGCGCGAGAAACGTATTGTACCAACAGTCGAAGGTTCTCTTGGTCCTCTTTTGTTGCCATTCCTGCGGGAAGGCAAGTTGTGAGCAGTCTAACTCATCAAATTGCACTTTGGCCGAGCCCTACGGCTGTACTCGCGGTGGCCGTTGTCGATGGGTGATGGTGGTTGCCTGAGAGTTGCAAGATGACATGGCGGAGTCAAGTCAGTGGCTTTACATGTCGCATGCAGCAATTGCCTCTCACGGATAACGTGACAGATGACGGACACGAATTATGTAACTCACCTAACAGAATAATTATGACCTCGTCGCACTCGTACACAATTTTGGCGGGTCGCTCACCTGTAACAAGAACAAATTCAACACACTTTACAATCAAAAGAGCTGACAAGGAGCTACAAGACGTGCATTTCACATATTTATACTTATACTTAAAGTCGGATCAAGGATGCACTGGGCCACTAGCTGCATTCTGAGGCCCGAGTGCTACAAATGATAAGAGCAGCAAGCATTCCGAGTGAAACAAAGACTAGTACCTTGGAGGTTAACTATAATGCTGCGTGTACTGTATTAATTACAACATCTACTGGTAATACTTAGGTAAAGAATAAGTAAGCAGAGTAACAGCAAAGTTCCTATTTCCCATTTTATAATTCAGTAGTACTTGAAGTTGTTTAGAGGAAATATCGACTGTCTACATAGTATTAGTCTGTGTGTAACACTCTGTATGTGTCTTGTCTTTATCAGTATACAATGTAGCTTATCTGACTTATACAACATTCTGCCAAATTGAAGATAGTATACTATTAGAAAGCAATTGCACCTGGTTTGCATGAAACAACATTTAACTGTATT